AGGGAATATTTTGCAAAGTCTGCAGACACTTTTGACTGTTGTAGCTTTGGGGGAGGGGTGCTATTTAATGTATCAGGTGGAGGCTTTGGATGCTGCAGATCATCCTACAAGGCAGAGGACACCCTTCTTCCTCCCCAACAAAAAATTATCTCACCTCAAATGTCAATAGTGCCATGGTTGAGAAATCCTAAATTAGAGTGATGATGACAATTACAAAGAAGAAATAGAGTGTTATGAGAACTTACATATTGGGGGGAATGGGAATGATTATGGCATTTCTTAAGAAGGGAAAGATAAATTCAGACTTAGTGAACATATTGGCCCTAACAAGTAAAGGATGAAAGCAATGGGGTGGGATAGAGTTCCAAGCAGAAATAATAGTGGCCATAAGGAAATTATTTTATTTAACTGTGAGCATGTAAGTATGTATGTATTTATATCAATATTATATGTATCTCATGTATATCTTATCATACACGTATATACATTTAATCATGTTTAGTAATATCTGCTGACTAGTAATAACTAACATTTATTGAGCACCTACTATCTATTAAGTACTGCCCTTTATGTGTATAATCTTACTTAATCCTCACTATTACCCCTGCAATAGATAGTTGTAGTATTTCTGATTTATCCTGGGAAAACATACTTGGTAAAGTAACTTGTCTAAGATCATGTGGTTGGGAAGGGCCAGAATGAGGATTTAAACCCAGCTTAGTCTAACTCTCTCAAATTACTTTAACTAATGTACTGTAAAAGTAGAGAGAGGGGAGAGTGAATGATTATCAGGAACAGAAGGATTCACTGAAGATATGACGATGGATGTGAAACTCAGCTGTACTATAACAAAGGACTTAGGTAGAGGCAGCGGGGAATAGGAGTAGAGACTCAAGCTTGTTCATTGCAACAACCGTTTGAAGTCAAACTGAATTTTTTTTTTCACACAGCAGAAATGCACTTGAGTTTTGTTAACCATAGGAAACTGTTTACTTTTATCACCTACTGGATATTTTGTATTTGTTGTGAGACTTAAAGTTGTATGGAAGGGACAGTTATGTAACAGCATTTAGATGCTTTGTAGATATTTAAAAAAATGTCATTTTGAGAATGTTTCTGTATGCCAACAATAAAATAGTCATTTTAAAGATTCCACAGAACTATTGAAGACAACTTATCCTCTCTAACCATTATTTTACCTTTCTAATTTAGGTTTTCGGTGAATTATGCCTTTTCGGTTTGGGACCCAACAAAGGAGGTTTCCAGTGGAAGGAGGGGATTCTTCAATTGGGCTGGAACCTGGGCTGAGCCCCAGTGCTGCCTGTAACGGGAAAGAGCTGTCACCAGCCAGGTAGAATAACTTAATCATGACAACTGATCAAACATGTGGTGGCTATCATCAATACAAGCTAAAGCTGATATTAGCAAGAGAAAAACAAGGAACTTTTTTATTTTAATTTTTAATTTACTTTTTAGCATGGTCTGTATTTTGTACATCTGTAAGTCTTAATGAAGACCAATTTTTTAATAAATTTCTTTTGGTAAATTTTGACACTTTTAAAAATTAATAGTTTCAAGTTTAGATAGCATTCAAGAAGCTAAACTGTTTTAAACTTAAAACTACAAATATAACAAGACTCAGTCCTCAGATTTGGTGTTGCTTTGGCTTTGATTTGACGTGGGACAGAAAGAGAACAATTTATAGAGTATGGGTATTCTATAAAATAAAACAATTTTTGTAAAATTAAAGAAAGCTATAATAGGATTTATTCCATTTTTTCTACCGCTTATTGTGAAATGTCAAATACTACTTTGTTAGATTTCTTGTGACTTGGAGATTTTTGGAACACAGATTTAAGTATAATGAAATAGGTACTTAAAAACCAGACTTATTCAAGGATGGGCTAGGTTACCTTGGGAAGTACTGACTTGTCTTTAGAAATGTTTAAAGCTGGGTGATTATTTGGTGGGAATGTTGGAAAGGAAATTCAAGAACTAGATGTATTTTTGGGCTAGATATCATTTAAAGACTCTTTCAAACTGAATAACATGTGATTCTCTTTGAATAGTATGTGAAATAGTATAGTTTTATGTTTTTCTAAAAATATTGTAGTTTTTAAATTATTTGACTAAAATAATTTTTAGGCACATACCTGTATGAGTTGCCATAGTATTATCATTTTTTTTTGCCATAGTATTATCATTTATTTTTACGACTTTGAACTCCTTCCTCTTTTTTTTTTTTCTTGCTGTGTAGTAATTGCTGCATACCTTTCAAAATGAACATCTGGACGGTTATCTTTGTATTTATGAATTTCTTTGCAACATAAGTCTAAAATGTCTGCCTTGTCAGTGCCACTATATTTTAATTATTTTGTGACATTTAAAGACGTCATAATGTAAAGCAGTTGACTATCACTTAAATTTTGGCATTCTGAAAAAAATTTCCTTTTTAGTATCTTAGCTACATGTCATTTGTTCTCTTTTTTTCAGGCAACTCCGAAGATGCCCTGGAAGTCATTGCCTGACAATAACTGATGTTCCTATTACTATCTATGCAACAATGAGAAAGCCACCTGCACAAAGCAGCAAGGAAATGCATCCTAAATAGCATCATTAAGTCTTTTGTAGAGGTTTGACTAGGTGAAGGGTAATGGGCCAGGATCCTCTTACAATCTGGTAAACAAATAAAAGTGGTGGCACCTTTGGACAATGACAACAGTTGAAACAATTACTTTAGTAGGAAAAGAAATGTCGTCTGTAAAACACGTGTAGTGAAAAGTCATTAGTTACATTTGTTAAAGAAGACAGAATAATATTTCACAATTAGAAAGTACCTTAGAGATCATCATTTTCACAGTGGATTATTAATATCAAAAATTCAAGATGAAGCTTAATTCACCTTGATTAGCAATTAGGAAACACCCAATCTACACAATGTGTTTTAGACTGGTTTCCTTTGTTTATATGTGGGTTTGCTACTTAGTTTAATTCTTTCACTTTACTTCACTTTTCACTTCATTTAAAATGTGTATTCTTTCACTTCACGAAGTCAGTTCTTGGCTTGATTTTTTTAATAATAAAGATATTTTCTTCCCAAGAATAATTATATTGAATGAGAAATGGAGCCTATAGGATGTGAATTTTGGAATACCCAAGACCAAAGAATGTTTTTAGTATGAGGTTAATCTGCAAAGCATAGGAACTGCTTGCATAGACAGTTCAGGTTATAGGTTAAATTATAATAATGAGGTCAAAGCTCTGGTTCCAGCCTCTATTTTTTCCAGAAACATGATGTTCCATCATCATATTGTATCTTAAATCTCAATTAATCATCTTGAAATTTTCTAAAATTGGTATTGAAGCATCAGATCTTTTTATTAAATTAGACTTAAGGATCATTTTTGAGGTCTGGTCTAGTGCTCAGTGTTCTCTTTTTCTTTTTGCAATAGTCCCAGGAACCAGTCTGTTTTATTTTCCTCTTGATGGCTGCTATCATCAATCCCTGAAACTGTCTTTTCAAAAAGACTAATTTTAGGTTTAGCCATAGTTCCCCAAGTTTATTATATACCTTATTGCTCCTGAAGATATATACATAAGACTATAAAATGAAACGTTTGTTAGCTTAATATTACATGACTATAGGTGCGTGTATATGACATGAGGTAAAAAATAAAAACTGCCATGGATTTATAAATAGGAAAATTTGAGAGCCCACATAGTACAGGGAGATGTTTAAGTTCTAGCCAAAGTAGACATACCTCATTGAAAGTGTGAGGCATTGATTGGAGACTCAGAAAGGTCAGGCACTAGCAAGAAGTCTAAACTAGCACCAGACTAAAAGCTAATGTATACCAATTTTCAGAGAGCTAAAAAATAAGACTTGAGAGATTCAAAATAATCTTTAACTTAAGTATCTCTCAAGTAAAAATGAAATACTACTGAATGAAAGAAAACAAAGCCAGAAAAGAAATTACCCAAGACTGGGGAAAGAATACAGGAAAGGAGAAAAATTTCTTAGAGCACATATAGTTTGGTGATAATTTGTGTTTCAATAGTGGGGAGAGCTCCTAATACATAGAACATGAAGTAGAATCCTCAAAAGATAATGCCTTAGGTGAGGGCTGGCTTTGGGTTGAGGTATAGGAATGACTTTGGACTGAAGACTGCTCTGGACTTGCCCCAACAAAACTTAAGAGCAGTACTTGAAATGATCAAACATTCCCACTAATTAAACTGTATCCAACAGGGGAAAAATAAAAAACAACTCCAAATTTAAAGTACAACAGTACCAACAATATGAAATCCATAATGATAAGCATTCAATAAAAAATTGCCAGTCATGAAAAGAAAGGAAGGAGAATTAAGAGAATCAGTAGTAATAGAAGCAGACTCAGAATGACAGATTATAGCATTAGCAGGCAAGACACCATTAATGCTCAGATGAAAGCATAATCATCATAAGGAGAGAAATGGAAGGTATAAAGGACCCAAATTGAATATCGAAAATAAAAAATATCTACTAAATGAAATTAAGAACAGATTAGACACTGGAGAAGTAAAGAGTAATGAACTTGAAGACAGCTATACAAAATATCCAAAATGAAATACAAAGAAAAAAGACTTAAAAAAAGCATAAATTTCATGTTTCAATATCAAGCCATCTAACGTGCAAGTCATTTCCCATAAAGAAAAGGAGAGCGTATGGAAAAATATTTAAAGAAATAATTGCCAAACTTTTAACAAATTTAATGAAAACTACACAGATCCAAGTAGCTTAACTGACCCAATGGGAAGAAGTATGACAACAGAAATAAAATATTACATAATCAAATTGTCTGAGAAAATTAGGGATTAATCTTAAAACTTGACAGAAAAAAATGACATATTCATTCAGAGAAACACTAAGAATGAAAGCACATTTATCATCAGAAATCAGAAAATTATTTTAAAGACATTACAAAATATGAAGGAAATCAAGAGCTGACTCTTTGAAAAAATAAAAGATAAAACCACTAGCTACACTCACTAAGATAAAAAGAAAATTCTAATAAACAGAAATAAATGATAGAGAAGTTAGAACAGACATTTTAGAAATACAGGGGGCCATAAGTGACTACTATGAATATCTTTATGCTGATAGACTGGATAAACTAGAAGAAATGGACAAATATTTGGAAACCTAAATCAGGTTCTAAACCTAAATCAGGTAGAAATAGAAAGCCTGAACAAGCCAATAACAATCGAGTGGATCAGTAATCAAAAGTGCACCTCCCCCCCATAAAAGCCCACTACAAGATAATTTTACTAGTAAGTTTTACCAAGCCAATGATGACCAATACCTTCTCACTATTACTTTGATACCAAATGGAAACAAGGGCATCACAAAAAAAAAACAACAACAACAAAAAATCAAAACTGTGGATTAATATCCCTGATGCAAAAATGCTCAATAAAATCTTAGGGTTCTGCATTCAACAATACATTTAAAAGATCATTATGATTAAGGGGATCTATTAGTCAACAGATGCAAAGATTGTTCAATATACACAATCATTGTAATTCACCACATCAACAACAGGAAAGATCGAACCATTATCATGTCAATAGTTAAGAAAAGGCATTAGACAAGATTTAACATCCATTTTTGATAAAAACCTCAGAAATGAAAATAAAGGGAACATACCTCACCATAATAAAAGCCATTTTTAACAAAAACCTTAGCTATCACTCAACGGTAATAAACAAAGCTTTTCCTGTAAGGGAGGTAAAGATAAGGATGTCCATTCTCACACCATTACTATTCAACATAGTGTTGGAAATCCTAGCTAGGGAAATAGGGCAACAGAAAGATATAAAAGGAATCCAAATTGAGAAGAATAAAGCTATCACTATTTACAGAGGACATGATAACAGAAATTTCAAGACTCCACTAAAAAACTATTACAATCAGTATAGTGAACTGGCAGTTTGCAAAATCAATACACAAAAATCTGCTAGGTTACTATACACAAACTGAATTAGAGAGAAATAAATCAAGAAAAACAATTCTATTTATAATCCTATCAAGGGGAACGAAATACCTGGAAATAAATTTAACAAAGTAGGTGATCAGCCAGTTTTAGACATAATTTAAAAATATGTTCTGTTGAGACTGCTGATGTAGTTCATTGTAAACTCACTATGGTCTGACCGGGCTAGCCAAGTATTCAATGCTGACTTGTCACTGATACTACACTTCAGGAGCTTCTTGAGAGAGTCAACTGCTATTCTGACTGGCAGGTCATCTTTCATTCTTCTTGTGCCTCTCTATGTGTTTTGGCAGATCATATCAGGTTTTTATTACCTAATCTCATTCTCTACCTGTCCCATTCTCCTCCCTAGCAGTGTTTCTTAGAAATAGTTTCCTTTGGTGTTGTGAAGTTTACAAGCTGAGCAGCCTTATCTGTGGTAGCCAATCTTCTTTACTTTTCAGGACTAGAAAGGTTACTTAAGACTTGGGGGAATGCTTCTTGTTTCTATTTTTTTTTTAAACCCCTTCTGTCTTTCCCCCATGCCCTTAGGCAAATTAGAGATCTCAGAGGCTCAGTGGATAATGACAAGTGGACAAGTCATTATCAGTTTTTCCATTACTGAGACTCCTATGCAGCTTATAAATGATTCCCTTAAGAGATGAGGTGAAGAGATAACCTATGGAAACTCTGCCTTCCTGAAATTCACTCAACTATTTATTGTACATACACCTCCATGCCATGTAGTGTTTGGTTTTACATTGTTGGTTGTGCTGAAATGGCTTTTCTGGGTTGGTTCCACACATCAAAGTTCAGTGAACTTAAAATGTAATATTTTTACTATTTTATGGTCCCAGCTACAGGTTGTAGTTACCAATTTAGGGAAACTGGATACCCTATACTACCATGTTACATATTAGCAAATGGGAGCCTTCAGAACAGATAAATCCCAATGTCTTTGGAGATACCCCCTTTACAACTCTGGACTGAAAATTGAGGTGGTTCTTGGTAGACAAAGAGCAGGTTCATGTATTAGGTTTATGAGGTGGAAAACTCTTTTTTTCTTTTTAATTTTTTATAAATGTGTTTGGTAAACATGTAAAATCATACTTTTAGATAGAATTATTTTGGTTTCAGTTTCTATTGCTAAGGGTAAAATTCTTTCCAAATTCAAAATTTCAAGAGAAAGTATATAATTGTTTTAACTTACCTTTTTGTATTAGTTAATGAGATGTTTGCATCAGTGGGAAGTTATAGAATGGGACCCTTGTCAATTCAGCTGTGGCAATGAGAGCAGGTGGGACATGGTTCAAATATGGTTATTTTTTTAAGTTGGAGCTTTCAAAATCAGATAATAGACTGATTTGCCAGGGACTATGAAAAAATAGTCAAAATTACTGTGTGTAGCATTAAATCCACATTTCTCTCTATGAAGTCCTGATTACTATACCTTTAAAAGAGAAAAAAATATTACTTCTTTCTCCTCAGACAGAAGCTGGGAGAAAATGGGACCCCATCTAAGAAAACTGAATCAAGTTTTTAGAAATAGTAAATGCAAGGTTTCAGAATCGAAACCTTGTGGTTGTTAATAGGTATGTGTCAGGAAATTCTCTTTTGCTAAACTTTAGAATATGAAATCCTAACTCTGCAAAGAAGTGTCCTTGAAAATTATTGAGAAGGTAGAAGAATTTCCTTGGTTTCAATAAGCACATGCAAGTAAATGTATGTGCACTTCTCCTGAGGTCCAGGTAGGGTCTGCAGCTTGACTGGCGTAGTTTACTTTGTACCACTTCTGAGAAGGAGGGGGTAAAACAGCCTCCTTGAATGGTAGGATGTTGATATGTGGGCCTATTTTCTCTCATTCTATATTCAATGTTGACTATCTTTTTCATGTATAAGTCTCTCAGTTTCTGGATTTTAATATTCTATCAGATATTCAAACCCATTTTTCTTTTTCTAGACTTTATTGATATTGATACCTTAAGAAAGATTATAATTTTTTAGAAGTAAAACTACTTGTATTGAAGGTATGTGAGGAAACTTTTAAATAAAGGACTTATATACTTTGAAATCATTTTTTTTTTTAAATTTTGTACTATTGTCTGCTATAATGTCTTCCATGGTTCAGCACCCATAGTAATAATATCCTATAGGAGAATTTCCTCATGCATAATTTTTTTTCTTTTAAAGAAGTAAGGAAAAATAGTAGTTTAATTTTTTTCTCATTTAAAAAATTGTACTGCCATTTTCTAATAACTTGTTAGAAATTTAATAAAATATTGATAGCTGCTATAAACCTAAAATTTCTTGTTTTACTGGTACACCAAACAAAAGTGATACAGTAAATCTATTGTCTAATTTTATATTTTATGTAAATTTATAAATCTCTTCAGGATAAAGAAAGGTATGTCAAAGATATTTTGGTACAGATTGGAAGTTATCTTCTCTGAAAGAAAGATGAATCTGAGAATCTAGCCACACTTGAAAAATGTGGGCCAGTGTTTATTTAGAATCCCTTCCATTTTATTAGAAACAGGAACAGTAATTTCACCAGCAGGGATAAGTATACTCTCAATACAAGTAAGTTTAGCATTCCTTTGCTTGTTATCCACTGCAAACATGTTGGTTTCAAGGTAAGAATCCAAATGAAAAATAATAAACATCCAGTTCTGATGATTCATTTAAGTCCTGCTTAACTAGATGGAAACTTCCACAGAGTGAGAAGAGTTTCTGTTCTCCTGGCTGATTCTGTGTTTCTTTCAGTGCTCTAAAGAACTTTGTACTTGGGCAGCTTTGCTCTGCTGTGTCAGGCTGCAGGGCAGGAGTTGATGCTCACAGCGCCGCTAACAAGGGCTGCTTTATTGAAGCTCACTGGACGTCCATCAATCACAAAGTGACGGATGCAGCCTGTGAATGGTTTGCTGGGTGCCAAACGTGGTGTCAGCAGAGACTCTGAGAAGAGGAAGAAATACAAAGATTATAAGTGAGGCATCCTAAACCCAGATATCAGGGGAAAAAAAAAAGATTGCTTACATCATTAAGATTTACATGCCCAAATCCCACATTATTTAGAAAGAAAACCTGCCCTCCTATGTTTATTGCAGCACTATTTACAATAGCTAAGAATACCTGCAAACAATAAATGGATCAAGAAGACGTGGTATATATATATACACATAATGGAATACCACTCAGTGATCAAAAAGAAAACTCATGCCATTTGCAGCAACATGGATGGAACTGGAAGGGATTTGGCTAAGCAAAATAAGTCAGAAGGAAAAAGAGAAATATTAGATGGTTTCACCAATATATTTAATATAGAGAAACCACACAAAGGATGAGAAAAAAGACAAAACTTGCAAGCTGACCATAGAACTGTGGCACACAGCCTTGGGGAGGCATAGGGAGAGGGGTCAAAACAGGGAAGCGCACAAGGGACTATGATGATGGATCACGAGTGCTGTGGTAGTGGGAGAACCATGGAGAGTATACATGGAGAGTACACAAACACTGTACAAAATGAACGATGATGTAGGAAAAGAACATGGTAAAATTATTCTTCACGAGTACTATTTTTTGAAGAATCTACTTTTTTGAATATAAACATGAGGCAATTTTAAAATTTTGTCATGTTTTCCATGATGATATTTCTGAGTATACAGGCATACCTCATTTTGTTGTGACTTGCTTTATTGCACTTCACTGATACTCTATTTTTGCAAATTGAAGGTTTGTGACAACCACACGTCAAGCAAGTATAGTGGCACCAGGTTTCCAACCATGTAATTCTCATAATATCTTGGAAATTTTCATAACATTTCAAACTTTTTCACTCATATTCATTTTGGTGATTTGTGATCAGTGACCCTTGATGTTAGTATTGTAATTGTTTTGGGTGCTGCAAGCTGCCTATATAAGACTATGTAAACTTAATTGAACAAATGTTGTGTGTATTCTGATTGCTCCATCAACCATCAATTCCCTGGTCTGTCTCTTTTTCCACAGATGTCCCTTTTCCTTGAGTTACAACAATAATGAAATTAGGCAAATTAATTACCCTACAAGGCTTGTCTCTAAATTTCAAGTGAAAGGAGAAGTTGCATTCTCACACTAAAAGTTGAATTTAGTTTACTGAGGAAGGCAGGTTGAAAGTCAAGATAGGCCTTTTGCACTAAAATAGTAGATTGAGATGTAAATGCAAAGGGAACATTCGTGAAGGAAGTTAAGTGTGCTATTCCAGTGAACACATGAATGATAAGAGCAAAATAGCCCTATTGCTAATAAGGAGAAAGTCGTAGTGGTCTGCATAGAAGATTAAATCAACCACAGCATTTCTGCAAGTCAAGCCTAACACACAGCAAGGTCCTAACTCTCTTAAATTCTATGAAGGCTGAGAGAGATGAAGCTGTGGAAGAAATGTTTAATGCTAGCAGAGGTAGGTTCATGATATTTAAGGAAAAAAGCTATCATAACATCAAAGTGCAAGGTGAAGCAGCAAGGGCTGATGTAGAAGTTACAGAAAGTTATTCAGAAAACCTACATAAGAAAATTGATGGAGGTGGTTACACTAAACAACAGATTTTCAATGTAGACATAATCTATTGGAAGAAGATGACATCTACAACTTGAGAGAAGCTAATGTCTGGCTTCAAAGCTTTAAAGGACAGGCTAGCGCTCTTATCAGAAGTTAATGCAGTTGGTGACTTTAAGCTGAAACCAAAGATCATTAACCATCTGGGAAATCTAGGGTCCTTGTGAATTATGCTGAATCTACTCTTCCTTTGGTCTATAAATGGCACAACAAAGCCTGGATGACAACATATATTTACAATATTGCTTATATACTGTTGAGACTACTCATAAAAAAGATTCAAAATATTACTGCTCATTGGCACCTGATCACCAAAGAGCTCTGATAAAGATGTACAAGGGTATAAATATTATTTCCATGTCTGCTAAATACAACATCCATTCTGGAGACCATGGGTTAAGGGGTTGTTACAACCTTCAAGTCTTATTACTTTGGAAATAAATTAAGTAAGGCTATAGTTGCAATAAAAGTGATTTTTTGATGGCATATGCAAAATCAGTTGAAATCAGTGTGTAATTCTGGGATCAGACTATAAATGGTTCTGGAAAGGAGTCACAATTCTAGATGCCATTAAGAACATTTACGTTTCATGGGAGGAGGTCAAAATATCAATGTTAATAGGAGTTTGGAAAAGTTGACTCCAATCCTTACGGACGACTTTGAAGTGTTTAAAACTTCAGTGGAAGAGGTAACTGTAGATATGGTAGAAATAGCAAAAAGAGTAAAATTAGCCTGAAGATGTAACTGAATTGTTGCAATTTAATGATAAAACTTTAATGGATAATAAATGGCGGCTTTTGGAAGTTTCTTGAGATAGAATAAACTTCTGGTGAAGATGCAGTGGACACTGTTAAAATGACAACAAAGGAGTTAGAGTGTTACATAAACCTAGGTGATAAAGCAGTAGCAGAGTTGGAGAGGATTGACTAAGATTTGTTTTTAAGATTTTAAGATTTATTTATTTATGCATACAAGAGCTGGGGTACAGGCCAGAGGTGTGGGGGATCAGAGGATTCACCAGAGACAGAGCAGGCACATTGACTGAAGTACACTGCTAAGGGGAGCAGCAGGTAGTAAGGAGAGGTCTGCTGCGCCAGGGTTTCTCCCTGGCTGGGGATCGAACTCCTTCTGCAGTGGCTGCGGATAGCCTCATAGGTTGCATCTTTTTTTTTTTTTAAAGATTTATTTATTTATTCATACAAGCACTGGACACAGAAGCATGGGAGGGTGAGAGAATTCACCAGAGCCAGAACAGAGAGCAGAACAGGCAGACTGACTAAGTACACTGCTGAGGAAAGCAGCGGGCGGCAGGAGAGGTCTGTGCACCATGTGGGAAGCGCCAGCAGCCGGGAATTAAACCGGTGTTGCAGAGGCTGCAGGCAGCCTCGCAACCCAGTGCTCAACCGCTGTGCCACTGGGGAGGCCTCATAGGTTGCATCTTAACCCCTTCCATCTCTGGGGAGGCCGGACTAAAATTTTGAAGGAAGTTCTATTATGAGTAAAATGCATGGCATGCTATAGAGAATTCTTTCATGAAAGGAAGAATCAGTGTGGTGAACTACATGGTTGCCTTATTTTAAGAAATTGTCAGTCACCCCAAACTTTTGCAACCTCATCCTGACTGACTGAGCAGTTGTCAACATCAAAAAGATTATGATTTATTGAAGGCTCAAATGATGACTAGTATTTTTAGCAATAAACTTTTTAAATTAATGTATATACCTTGTTTTTTTCCCTAGAGACAATGCTATTGCACACTAAATAGATTATAGTATAATGTAAATATAACATATACTCTGAGAAACCAAAAAATTTCATGTCACTCACTTTATTATGATAGTTACTTTGTTGCTGGATAGTTACTTTATGATCTGGAACCCAACCCATGATATCTTAGAAGTATGTCTGCACTTTAGCTGCTTTCCAAGGCCAAAACTTACCATTTACAGGTAAAACCTCAGTGTGAATTTTCAGAATATACCTATGCTTTTTAGAATTTTACCTGAGATGGAGGAAAGAAATTTTAACTTTCATATTATTTTAGATGTGGTTAATGGTTACTGTTCCCATTTAATTCATATCATTATTTCTCACCCTTAAGCCTCTGCATTTTGCCAAGTTCTTAAAATATAATGAGAAAATAATGAATTCAAATAAGTCAAATTTTAATTTTTCTGAGCTCAGGGTTTAAGAACTATAAATAGGATAATGATAACTAGCTTAGTCCTTGTGTGGGCACAGGTGCCCTGAAGTATGCCAGGGGGACTTTCTCCCCTTATCTTAATGAGAGATCTAGGAGAAGCCTAATGCTTATTAATTGTACAGACAGAATTAAATGTGTTGGGATGATAGAAGCAATATAGTTTTAAGTAATTTGGAGAGCTCAGAGATATCATGAAATCAAAATCCATTTAGTCAAAGCTTATGATTATGTACAAATAGATGTGTGAGCAGAAGCAGATAAAAGATGAAAAACACTCAGAAATCAGTAACTCAGGAAGGAACATAAAACAGGACAGCAAATTAAACATCATCAAGCAGCTGTAATGTTTCCTAAGCAATGCAGATTAATACACAGAAGATTTGTACTGAAAATAAATCATGGAAATAGCATTTCATACTTAGAGTAATTACAAAGTTTTAGATTTGGAGGGAACTATATATATTCTTCAGCCCTGCTCAGTGTACTTCACCATAAGCATAAGAAATGAGTGAATAGGAAAGATTAGGGTAAGGAACATTTATTTTTCCTGTCCATCTTGGAGACTAATCTCACCCACCCAGTCAAGTTCACCTAGGATCTTATAACTCTTGTAGTATGGGGGGTGATGGCACTGTCTAATGCTGGGATCAGACTCTAAAAAACAAACATACCAATGAGGAAAATACTTATTTGATAACAAAGAACAAATACTATAACTTGATGAGGGAGGGTCATACTTCTTTGGTCTATCTCCTGGAGCCTAGCATAGTGCTTAATACGCATTCAATAAGTGCTGTGTGTTGAATGATGTCATGTTCCTGGCAGCAAGTAGTGTACTACTAAACTTCAACAATATTTAGTGGCATGCATAGCATATTCTAAGCAAAGAAGAGCATGTCTGTAAGTAGAAGACTTAAGGGTCAATGAAAAGTTAAGTTGAGGGAGAAGTGAGAGAAACTGTTCCCTAAAAGGTACTAGGAAAGGAAAGAAAGAATATTTTCTAGAAATTGATAGACTGTGCACCAATGCAAAAACAAAGAGAGATCACTGAACATTCAGAGATGCAAGTCCCAGAAGGAATGGGGAGACCACGAAGACACGGCAAGAAAGGGTCAGAAGGTCAGGACCCTGCATGCTATGCTCAATTTGATCCTTAGGCCGTTGGAAACCTGAGAATTATTTTAAACTATGCTGTGATTTCTAGGAAGAGAGCAATGTGCAGAAAATCAAGAACTGAAATAACACTTCTTCCACATTGTACTTGCATGAAGTGCAGCAATGGCCTTTACCAGAATTTTTTCAGAACAGAAACCAGAGGCAGGAGTAGTCTTGGGGGGATGGTTTTGGATAAGGAAATCAAAGGAGAGGGATGGTTTCTTTTTGAAGGTCTTAAATATTTCAACAGCAAGTGTAGGGTAAATGAGTTAATTAGTATTTTTATGTCACTAGCTTCTATGGCTAGCACCTTCGGCCTTGATAGCATTAATACAGAAGGCGATTGGGAGCGTGGGTGCGGGGCATGCATGCCTGATTGTGGACACAAGATATGCATACCTGAGCCTAAAGGTGGGGATAAAGGGTGTTGCTGTGGCAGCAGGGAGAGGACAAGTAGCGTGGCTACAGAAGAGACCACTAGACGAGACCACAAGGCGAGAGAGAGAGAGAGAGAGAGAGAGAGAGAGAGAGAGAGAGAGAGACTGAGAGAGAGACAGTCCAGAGAAAGAGTACAAAGATTTGTGGGGGTTTGGGGGGAATTTAATTGCCTTCCAAGGCTCCTGGCCCACCCCCACCCCCAGCCTGGCCAGCCACCTGCTTCCCCACCTTACCTCTCTGCAACTGTTTGCACCAGAGCTAGTTACTCTCATTGTCAATACTGGTGTTTGATAAATTCACATTACAAAGCAGTGGAATCTTTAGTAATATTTTGGGAAAATCCAAGCTTATTTTATTTCTTTACATTTGAAAAGGACAGGTTTATTAGGAAAAGGAGAAAGTAAAAGACAGGCACCTGCATAGTCACAGGTGGGCAGAAGAACTGCTGCTGCAGCTTTGCAAAGGGAAAAGGTTTGTGAAAAGAAACACCTGCATAAACACAGGCAGGCAGGAGAGCTGCTGGGAATACCCAAGTCTAGATGCCTCAGAGATAATAATTAAAGCACTTTTTTTGCTTTTACATGGGCCACTTTAAAATAATCTTGTTAGAAGGCAAGCATAAACCATGTTAAATTTTTTCATCAAATCCACACCAAATTCCAGATGTAAAATCTTGGTTATCTCTTTCTTACACCCCTCTCTTTATTATAGTATTCAATTTTTTCCAGGTAATGAAATGTGTGAGAACACATTCAACATAACGTCATGGTTCCTGTTTCAATTCTAGGTGCCTCCTGTCACCATCCTGATTAATACACCATTCTTGGCAGCACCAATGTTCCTGATGATGTTTACAGAACTGCAACTCGAACTTCTCTTAGGGGATTTCACTACATAGAAACAATTTGGTCTGCAGCTGTTTTCACAGTTCAGACTATTCCTGGACAGGGAGAACTGTGTATTCTTACCTACAAAGAGGAGGACCAATTGTCACCAAACCTCTAGTCCTCCAAGATACTATTAAGATCCAAGAATAGAATCAATAAATGAATTCTCTTTGTATTGGAGATAAAAGAGAATGTTTCACTTTGTGAATGTGAGGAATACATGTAAAGGAAAGAGAAATAAGCAAATATAGCAAGGAAAAACTAATATCTATGGTCATAATGCTGGCATCTAGTTCTTATGTGTTATTTGTTGTGATCCTTGGATAAGAAGCCACAGTTATTAGTATGCTTTTTCCTATGAAAGGCCATAATACATTAAATCCTTTGAGTTATTAGGTAAACTGTGAACACACATGGCTCAGTTCAACGATAAGAATGTGTTTTTTTGGGGCCTCCCCGGTGGCGCAGCGGTGGAGCGCTGGGTTGCGAAGCTGCCCGCGGCCTCTGCGGTGCCGGTTCGATCCCCGGCTGCTCCCCGGCCACCGGAGGAGGGTCCCACATGGCGCGCAGACCTCTCCTGCCGCCCGCTGCTCCCCTCAGCAGTGTACTTCGGTCCTTCTGCCTGCTCTGCCCCTCGCTCTGGCTCTCGTGAATTCTCTCACCCTCCCGCGCTTCTGACTGTACCCAGTGCATGTATGAACAAAACAAACAGGCAAACAAATAAATAAAGAAAAACATGCCTCTATTAAAAAAAAAAAAAAAAAAAAAAAAGAATGTGTTTTTTTGGATTTACAAACTTGTCCCTCATAGCAACTCTTACCTGGAACACCGCCAACAAACACAGGCTCCCTGTGATCAACTGGTTTGGGATTCAGAGGTCCAACCACATGGTTCACTTCAGAGTCTACATCCAACTGAACCACGTTTGCATCTCTAATAACTGAAACATAGGAAAAAAACTGGTCATCAATCACTGGAGTGATTAATTTTTACATGAAAGGGACTAATTTGTCATGATAAAGGCCTTTATTCCAGAATAAAATCTATTTCTAGATCATCAAAATATTGTCTAAGCAAGCAAGCAATCTCCCTAACATCTTCCTTTAAAAGGGAGACTATTTAGGAAACTCTATTCCTTTCTTGCTCCTTAAGTTATACATTATTTAAGCAACTACCCAAGATTACTTTGATTGTATCCATGTTTTCAAATCACGTGTGGATTCAATATACACATTTTAATACAATAATATTATTACTATTATTAATATATAATATATTTGATATAATTTCTTGGCTACTTGTAGAGTGCTATCCATCACCTATTCCTTCACACAGGTTGTAATTATAGCCTGAAGTTCTGCCAAGCCATCAGTTCAAAGGAAAACCTTTTTTATAAGGGAAACCCCTTTTTCACCTGTAACTCTGTGCCATCTGCCGTCACAAAGACTTTGCTTGGGTGTCACTGAAGTGGAAAAGTCTCTGATGCCATTGTTGACTTTCACAATGACCTGCAAAAGACAGGGTGCATTATATAACTTCATCTCAACTCTCTTCATTGTGATGAAACTAAATTTCTTAAGGAATTCACTGCAGGGAATCAATACTGGAGCAAACATCCACACATGCTTAGCTTTGCAATCTGAACACAAGGTGTCACTCTTTGGTAGGTTATTGAAATAGTTTAAACTGACAGGAGAGAGGACAAAATAATGACACAGCAGAGAAGACGGCTTAAAGGAACAGTAAGATAACTGAATTCCTTAGATTTTTTTTTAAATTTAATTTGTGTTATACGAGCAGGTTAAGTTATTGATGAATACACAGACCTTGCAGTCAGATTGTCTTTTTTTTTTTTAAAGATTTATTTATTTATGCATACAAGAGCTGGGGTGCAGACCAGAGATGGGGGGTGAGAGGATTCACCAGAGACAGAGTGGGGAACAGAACAGGAAGATCGACTGAAATACACTGCTGAGGGGAGCAGCAGGCAAGACAGGAGAGGTCTGCTGCACCCTGTGGGTAGCTCCTTGGCTGGCTGGGGATCAAACTCATACTGCAGAAACTGCGGATAGCTTCATGATGCTGTGCTTAACCCTTGGTGCCACCAGGGAGGCCCCAGAATCGTACTGTCCTAATTCACACTATAGTGCTTCTACTTCTTACTCTGTACCTCATTTATTCATCTGTACAAGAATGATAATACTACTGACCTCACAGGAATCTGGGGTATTTAAATGAATGATACCATGGAAAGCATTTTGAATCATACCTGACACACAGTAGGCACCATATAAGGATTTGTTTTATTATTATAAGCTTAATAGAATATAGTGGAACTTAAAAATCAGTTATATTAATGTAGGACAATAATGAAAATATGCAGCTTTTTATACTTTTATGAACGTTAGCAATATTATTTTAGGATGAAAGTAGTATTATAACAATTTATATTTCTGTTATGAAAAATATAAGTGTATATATACATATATACATCTGGTTTACGTATATGTTATGTTTTAGCATTTGTTGATTTTGATAGTTGGATACATTTGCTGATTTCATTGTTGTGAAAGAGCTTTTCAATTTTTTTGTGGAAACAAAAGAATTATGTTGTTGCTTTAATTATGTTGTTGCTGATTTTATTTTCAGTTTTGCCACATTTTCACAGCTCTTACATTTCATGTTATAGCTTCCCCACATTTTTTCTCCAGTTAGAAAAGATTGATGAAATCATTCTGTGAAGTAAATTGGCTATAGATCTAGAATCCAAGGTCAGAGAAGAGAGACTGTTAAAATAATTTTCAACACACTACCTGCCCATTTTTTATGTGAACATTAAGGTATTCTCCGTTGACGCTGTGGCCATGAACAAGGGTTCCGGAACTGCTTCTGGGACGGACTTCAAATGCAATCTCAAATTTCAATCCGATATTGAAAGACTCATCTGTGGAGAAAAGATACTATTAACTCTCAAGAATGGAAACCTAAATTTGTAAATACGGTGTAATTTTGTAGCCATATATTTTCATATCTTTTTGAAAGTGTGGCACATGATAAGTAGAAAGTGACATTTTTCATTTCAACACACCTTGGCTAGCTCTGTGGGGGGCTGAGAAAAAACTAGTACACTGCTGTTTTTGGTGGGTGTGGGCAGGGACAGCATGCTATACAAGCTCAGGGAGGAAAAACTAGTTCCAACTAACCCCACCATTTAATACTTCAAATGTGGGAAGGAGGAAAGGACAATCTGGGCAAATGAAGTAGTTCAAACACAAGTGCAGTAGTTGGAGTGTTTGGAGAGCACTGTGGAGGTCATGTGACTGGTCTGTCCTGCACAAAGGGTGGAGGAGGCATGGTGAATGGGGCAGGCTGTGGAGCAACCAGGCAGAGTTCCAATGCATAAGTATGGAATTTAGACTTTATTTTACAGTCATTAAGTAAGAGAGCTCACTTTATCATATCTGCATTTTAAAATAGCTCTTTAAAAAAAGATCACCGGTGCCAGGGCTGCAAAGCATTTCAGAGGAAAGAGAAAGAAGAACAAAAGCAGTTAGGAGCCGCTATTGCAATGATGCAAGAAAACAAATTCTTACTAAGAATAGTTGTGTTCAAGAGATCTTGGCATTTTAGCAATGTTCACATTATGTGTTTCCTTATAAATCACTTTTTAATTTTTCCTATTACTGTTCATGGAGAACATCAGTTGTAGACTACCACACATTTCAAGCTATCCATTTTGAGTTCTCATCACTGAAATTCAGTGAAGGGCTGAGAAATGTGAGTACAGGTGTTTTAATAGGGTTAAAGGAAAGTAGGAGAAAGGAAAGTATAATCATGAGCTAGACAATGAGAGGAAACATTACCTTTGTTTATTCTATTGGGCTTGCTATTGATTTTAGAAATTAGACTTGGGTGCATTGGGATTTAGTTTTTCGGGGGATGTTTTAGCAAGGGAACACATGGATTATGTCATTCTGTTCTCTTTCCCAGCACCTAATCTGGGCCTTCCTCACACTTAGTGAGTGTGATATAGAATGTATGTTGGAATAGATCAGGTGGTGATTTGGGTGGTCTGCTGGATTCTATTTATATTTAGAACTATTTTGGTCTATCACCTAATACGGGGATTGCCATACAAAAACATTCAAAAAAACATTTTGTTGAAAGAGTAAGAGAGTATTGCTCAAGGGGAATAAAGATCCAGAAACAAAATTTCTGAGGGAACTTAGGTTGTCTGCTAGTGTTGCAAGACAAGGTGATGGAGTGGACCTTTCTTTAGCAGGGAAAATGGGTAATGCTAAGAAGATCACAGAAAGACCTCGAGTGCAAGGAGATCAAGAACCAACAAGGATGAGATCACAGAACTGCATGAGGCATTTTAGAGAAGCCTGAAGTTAGTAGCAAGGGAGAAGCTCTGGTTGGGGAAAGCAGAACAGAAGGGCGCTGTGTGTCTGGTCTGCAGTGGCAGGAGATAAGAAAGGTGGTCCTGTGGAAAAAGATCATTTTCTAGGACTGAGTGAGTCTGGCATTCTTAAGTTTCCATTCTGGACTCATATCCCTATGAACCACCTCCAGGAAGGAAGGATTTCATGATTCATATTTTCAGTATAAACCACTGTTACCTAGAACCACGTATCCTCCTTCTGTTGAAAAGTATGTTCCTGTTTCCATCGGACCTTCAAAACAAGGAGTCACGCTAAATGTCTGAGCTGCGGAAGTGATGGAGGCACCGTTGAGCTGGAGATTGCTGAGACAGCCACTGAAGCTGTAGACTGAATTTATCTGAGAGAAGAAGACATTTCTTAATGATTTCAACACTCACAGAAATAGCAAAAGGAACCAAACCGAAAGGGTTTTATTGGAGAGTAACCAAGTAATTCCTTGCCTTATTTATCTTAGCTCTCTCAATGATCAATAATTTTCCAGGTAGTTTGCTTTCTTTGAAGTTCTTTGAAGCTGAAACTTTATATTTGGTAGGGTCAGCCTGAAATAATTATGCTATGAAAATACTATATGTAACATGAAAAAATAAATTGCAGTTGTGGTTTCTTAAATTAATATTAGAAGTATCTTAGTTTGTTTTCTTTTAAGAATGACAGCTATGCTAAGGTTAACTAATGCTAATAAGGGTTAGCAAAATTCCTAACTGTTAAATCTACCATGGCTAAGTAAATAGCAGAAAACTTGCATTTCTGGCTTCATTGGCTGTTTTTTGTCATTGAGCATTTATCATACAAAAGGAAATGAAACTTGGGTCACTTTAGACAACAGATTTCATACTGCTTTGGAAATCTTTCTTTTTAAAAAGGGTGTCATAGAATGGGACTATTTACCTAAAATCCAATTAAAATGTAAACCTCTCTTTAGTTTGCTTTATCCACCCATATTAATGAATCTTAGAAATGTATTAACTCTTTGTGCTAATGCTAAATCTATATAGTAAGAAAAATTTTGTCTTTGTAATCATTTCCTTTGTTGCTCAGCATTTCTTTTAAAGAGCTAATATTTTTAAGTTTTAAATTACAAAAGTAACATCATGCCTTTACTACTCCTCAGGGGGAGCCACAATTCCTTGCATATTTATAAATCATGTGTGTGTAAGACACAAAAATGAGATTTAGTGTATGTAATGGCCTAAAAAGCCTTTTTCCACTCAGTAATATATAACGGAATGACTTCCTTTGTTTCTTGGTATGTTTTATATTAAAAGTGTGGTACTTGAACAAATATAACGACCTCCTTGAGACACTTTATACTTTGAAAATTTTCACCTCATCTTTACCTTGGGATCAAAAGATCACTCCAGACTTGTGATGCTACAGGAGAGACATCTGCAGTACACATTCACTTTGCTGCCCTAGAAAACTACCAGTTTCTTAATAGTAAATGGCTTTCCAGTTCTAAAGATCAGTGGATCCACCTGGTCATGCCTGGCTTACCTGGACATTTTTCACAGCCCTTCCAGGAGCCACACCTCCCAAATAAATAGGACCCTTGATCTTCCAGGCAGCTTCAGTAGGAGGAAGACTTTCTTCTAGAACGCGAAGACCATCAATTATGAGTCGGCCACTGCTCTTTTCCCGAATAAATATCACCTGGATGGAGAGAAGGAAGACAGCACATCTTCAGTATACCCCAAGTTCAGGGAAAGGCTGAGGTGCTTCTGTCCCCAACTTTGCTGCTGTAATACTGTGGGGAATCGGCTGAAGTTCTTTGAAAGGCGTGGCCCTTTCAATGAAGGTCACAAATTTGTTACAGACTTAATTTCTGAATATAACTTATAGTTAGGGGAGTTCTCCATGAACCTCTTCCCAGATGGCCAGACCACAAGCTCTAGTCCTTTTCTGAATTTATTCTAATTATTTATAATGCAGCTCATGTTTCTTACTTTTTCCATTATATACACACCAATTTACTTTAATATTTAGGTAATTTTTCCTGTGGTATCCTCTTTTCCTGACAGATTTATACTTCACAGCTTAGCTTATAAAGGACAGTCATAATAACTATTGAAATTTAGAAAGTTATAGGCAGTAGGGGGGTGAAAAGTCAAGGAACGGCTCATTAGAAATCTAACTTCAGTTTAGATTTGTTGGCCATTGATCCTTCCGTTAAAATAATTGCACTAAATAATAAAATAAAGTGAAAGTTGATCTGTGAAAAAATTATACTCAGCCTGTATCTTTTTTACAACAGCATGCTTCAAGATTCTTCTGAGGAATTACTCAAAGTATTTGAAATTGAACTCTGAACGTATATGTCCCTCTGTAGTGGTAGGCATATAGTAACAGAATTTAATGGGTATTTCAAGAGACACCGAGTGGGGCATTAGTGTAGCCAAATAGCAGTAATGGATATTTGTTGGTAATATGCTCTGTCTTCAACTTACATCATGCCATAATCCATCATTGTATTTCTCTTGGCTTCTAATCTTCAATTTCTTGTGACCAACATTAAACATGAAAACCAAGCGACCGTGGGCTAAGAATAGAGTCATGAAGTCATTCTCTTCTTGATCTGAGACATAGAAAATCATCCCATGGGAGGACCGAGTTTTGAGACCAATGGAAAACTGAGATCTGGTAAATGAAAAAGAAAAGTTTATCCTGTGTAAATGAGATGAAGGGAGACCTCCAACTTCCCAAAGCCATACAGCATAAGGAAGGATAAGTAGCCATTCTATCCAATCCCAAGCAGCATTACTTCTAATTATCACGTAGTAATACAAATGAATATTAAGTAAGCATGGCTGCTTCAAAAATGTGGGCCCTTCTCTACTTCCTCATTTAACAGGGAGACAGTCCACATTTAAGGAAGTGTTTCAGTTAAGGATCACATCATATTTCACATTGAAAATATGGTTGCAATTAGCTTAGTAACAATTTATATATTAAGGAAGCATGTTAGTGTGAACAGATTACAAGTGAGTAATTAAAAGTCATATAAAAGTTTGCACAGAAATGGTATGATTTATGACTATTGAAAATACAGATTCAGTTCTTACCCAGTAAAAGTTAATCAATAGATAGCATGTGTTAAAAAACAGCCACCAGAGTGTGTAGAAATCAAACAAAACTCTCCAGAAATTTAGCTCCAAGACATAGATAAGATTCATTTATTAAACTAATTTCTAGTTTGATTGAGTCTAAATTTTGCTGAAGAATATAAAAACACTGTTTCTGCCTATGAAGCAAGTAGCAAATTAGAAGGCATTTGATGTTTCTTATTGAATGTATTGCCTATACTAATGTCTGAAAGAACTATGTAAGGCCTATATGAGAATATTTAGGTGCTAACACTATAAAAAGAAGTCTTTAATCATGCTAAATCACCTGGAGATTTGCAAAATACTGGGAAGAGGTGCTGAGCTTTAGAGATAGCTTGAGGACAAGTAGAGATATGTGTACTTGTATATTCAGTGTCTTTCCTTATTAACCTAGCATTTCAGATGTGTTCCCATTTATAATCTGAAGGCAATTTGGATGTGAGAGGGAAGGTGATAGCAAGGTTAGATGATGCGTCATTTGGCATTTGCCCCATTTGATGCCCCATCTTCTTTTCTTTGATTGTCTTTTCCTTTCGTAAAATATAGGAAACTCCTAGGAGAATGTTGTTTCATGTACCTTACTTTTAGGAAGAAAGTCAGAGAATATAGTTTACTGGCAAGTATGAGTTATGTACTATTTATTTTGTTGATAAAAGAATAGAATGTAAGTGGGATGGCAAACTCAGGAAAAAGGTAGCACATGGCAAATAAGGATGAAGCCAGTCCAGGGTTTATGTTTTTGGAAAGATAGTGTGTTACTTTACTTTTCACCAAAATCTCCTCTTAAGTGTTCAAACTCCTGGCGGCTGTTTGCTGTCCCTCCATACTGGTAGGCATGCTCTATTGCTCTTGGCCTGCTGGAAAGGTGGCAATGAGAGTCTCTGGGGGCATTCTGTTCTGGAAACTTCAGGCCAATAGGATCCGAGGAAGGTGCATCTTTACTTTTCACTCCCTTTAAAAATAAGAAAGGGACCATTTTAAGGGATAAAAGTGATCTACTAATAGCAAAAATTCATTTATGAATGCCTTATCATTAATAATAATACTTGAAGTATACATCTGGGTATTTTACATTTATGAAATGTTAGACCCCTGTCTTTCTTTCTTCTACTTCCACAAGCAAATGATAGCAGTAGCAACAACAAAAAAGAGTAATAATTTTACAAGCCCACAATTGCAGTCTGTCATAGAAAAGCAGAGTTAAATGGAAGCTACAGAGGTTGCTGCTCTATCATTTAAATTGCACATCTTAAACAATTTGAAAAATGAAAAGTTGGTAATAATAAAACCCTGACAGAACCAATCAATGAAACATATATCATAGGAAAAATATTACTTTAAGACATAGGGAAAATATCACTTTAACGTGTCTATTTAACACAGAGATATTTATTTACAATGCTGTGTAAAAAGTTAACATATTTAGTGATAGCTTCAAAATGATTTAACAATATTTTTGGCAATAGGATATAAGATATACAGCAAATTGCTTTGCTGATTTTAAAATTTAGAGTTGTGAAACTATAAGCTAACATTTGATGGTTATTTAGCCTTAATTTTTGAAACAAGTTAAAAGTAAATGCAAATAAATTGGGTCATTCAGTCATTTATTTATTTGGTCAAGCAAATTTTTATGGAGTATCTAATAGGCATAGTGAAGGGGAAGGAAATCAATGTTCCTGCATGCCCTCCATGCACAGAGTGTGGCAGGGAATAAAAAGGTGAGAAATGGTTCCTGTTTTTAAAGGAACCAAAAATTGATTTGGAAAAACAAGCATAAAAATAGCAAATTGGAAGACAGACTGGTACCACATAGACACGACCTTATATGACCTGCCAGAGGATGGGCTTTATTTTCCAGGTGACGAGGTTTTGAAAGCACTGACCCACTTACAAGGAAAGCTCGCAATGAAAGGATAGGAGAAGAACTGTTTGATAAAAGAAAAAAAATGAAGAAAATAGAGTCAGGATGAGATAAAGGATTAGATAGGAAAGATGACTTCTGGTTCAGGAATATTGCAAGAACTTATACATTTAGTTTTCTCCTCCCAAGTTCCTAATAAGAAGAACTATACATACAGAAAATTCATTGTAGTCCTGGAAAATTAGGGAATTTCTGTTCATAGAAAAAAGAATTTCTGGGAGATAAAATAAAGATTAAACAGATGGGCAGTAAAAAATCTCAATCTCACCTGTGCAAAAGAAAAGACCTCCAAAAAATTCAGTGTTCCAGGCAAATCCTAGAATCACCCTCAAAATCCAGGTACAGTAGGCAGAGGACAGGAGAGTTAATTAAAGTGCAGACAAGCTGTGCCATGCCCTCTTTTTAGGTGGCAGCTGCTCTAGTCAGGTGTTGGCAGTGGAGACTGATAGCGTGATTAGCCGGGAGTGCAGAGACTCATATACCCTAAAGAAAAGCCCACCAATTTGCACCATCCCTTTCCCATCCTCACACAGTCAGGACTTGGAAACAGATTCACATGCTACAGAAGCAAGGCTTCTCTCTTGAATGTGGGAAGTATGTCCTGTTACCGTTATTTATGGACCCAGATTCTGACCTACAAATAATAGCCCATACCTTCAAATAATGGGTAGACAGAGTGGGCCTACCCACTGGAGGGCAATATTTCCTGCAACCCCATGCTGTATTTCATCTCTGGTGGAGTAACAAGCCTTGTAGTGAGAGCTATGAGCTCAGTGAGGGACACAGTGGAAATACATACTTTGTGCAGAATCTGGTATGTGGGGATGAGAGGCTGGTGGGGCCTTGGGGTCTTCCTCCAATTTTGGTTATTCCATGTTCCCTCCATTCCTATGGAGAAGATCTCTCTCTTTCTAAGTCAGTGCATTTACTTAGTTATGGAAAAAGAGTAACTACAGACAAAAGGTACTGGGTTATTGGACAAAGTGCTGGGTTATTGGACATGAAAGTCTACTTTACCAGCTCGGTGAATCTTGTCTTTTTCTGCTTTATTGTGGGAATATATGGACTAGAATCTGTCTTTTGTCTGCTGCAGAAATTAGTATTTTCTGACATCTTTATATATGGCAACCAAATACTTTAAATCCTCTGTGGATATGTACTCTAATAATAAGTTATAACTTAATCAATTACACCACTGCCATGTAACACACTCCATTTGCCAAGAGGTAATCCTAAAATGGATATGTGTGGGGGGCTTCTGAACAGCAAGCACTACAGAGAATTTTTTACTCTGAGAGTCTACTAGCTGTCATTTCACTGGTGGCATCAATTTAAATTTAGCAATGCTATTTTACTAAATAGTATAGTGAAGCTATAAAGATGATAGTATAGTGGGGTCCTACTATTAGGGGGAAAGGATGTCCTGAGCAAACTCCATACCGGCTTTGTGGACTCCACACCCAATCCTTCAAGACACTGGGAACTACATATCTCATCATCACCAAAGGGAAGGTTGTGAGGACCTGAGGGCGGAGTTAAGCCACTGGGTTCTTGGTTTGAGTATTTAACTGGCCATGTGGCCAGGGGTCGCACTCTTGGCCACTCAGTGTGCTTGTTTTTTTGCCAGCTCGGCAGGTCATTGGGATTCTAGGAAGGGGTAGGATGCATTTACGAACTTATCTTCCTCTTTTTCTCCCTGAGTTATTCATTTCCCCATTTCCCCTTCCCTTGTAAATAAACCTTTTATCAAGCTTTTGTGTATGTCTGCAGTTTAACATTAATAAGTCTCCTTTAAGCACGTGGGTGAGGACCCACAGTTAGGCAACCCGTTTTATATTGGGGTTGCTCTGTAACACTATCGGGGGCAAGAATCAAGAATTGGAAATCTAAGAAGTATCAAACACTTCTTTTCTGAATGTTTCTGTGTGTGAGCTTTGTTTTTCTTAGAGTATCTGCTTTTATTCTTCCTCTATAATATAGCTTTTGCCTTTCTCTCTTCCTATAAAGCAGCTTTGTTTCTCTGTGCATGATTAATATAGAACTCTTAGTTCACAAGTTTTCTATTCAACCACCAACCTAGACTAATTTCTCTGGGTTCGAAGTTTCCAAGGAAGCAATCTAACAGATTGGCTTGGTTCACATGATTTACCCTGGTTTAATCATCTATATCCAGGTAGAGGAGGTCAAATACCTAAAATAAGTGGGCCAGCAGGTGGGTGGGGAATAATTCTCAGAGAAAGGAGTAGTTGGTAAGATACCTCAAATGGTGTCTATTACAATACACACAATGTTAATTATCATATTAAACACTGAGATGCTTTCACAAATAATTCTACCTGTAGGAATCTGTACAAAGACATATTTAGTAATATGATCAAAAATCAATGTGCAATGATCTTTGCTCATAAAAGGAAGAAAACTGGAAACATCTAGAAGTCTATTAGCTATTAAGTGAATTATAATAAATGGAATATCTGGAAGTTATTATGAAAATAAATTACTAGAAGTTCAACTCTCTGTGTGATTCGGCTTTAATAAAATTTGAACCAGAGTTCACACATTTTTCTTGGTAGCTATTTAAGAAGCTATTGATACAGGCTAAATAGAAGATTAGCATGCATTGACATTCTGGTTACCAGAAAATATAAGTGAAATTTATAGTGATATTATATCTTGCTATTATAAAGTTGAACTTATGAGATCATTTACCAGAAAGATTGAGAAGTTTCCTATGATATTGAAAAGTTTTTGTTAATAATTCAAAGGGAAGTTGATTGTAACCTTGATAATTTGTAACCATAAAAGTTTGTTAGGAAACTACATTTGATAGACAATTTCATAGAGAAAACTGTATTTGCTTTGAAAGTTGATTTTTCTCATCAGCCTATGATGTAAACCTGCCTGTGATCCCGTCCAGTGTTCATGTCCCAGTTAAACAATTCTCAGGATAACCCTTTTAGCATCAATATACAAAGGTGACAGTAAGACTTTATCAGACATTCTAGTCTTCTTTGAAAAATCCTTCATAATACCCACTAGCAACATTCTTCATAAAAATCAATGAAATTATCTCTCTACACGAATCAGTCATTTAAAAAAGTCCTCCATATGAAATTCAGGAAGACATTGCCCAAATAACCAAGTTTTGATTACATGTGGACAAGATTATTTTATTAATGATAAAGATACCATTGTGAATATGATGTTTCACAGGGATTCTCAAAAGAATCCACATAAACCCAAACACATGGTGAAATGCTCAATATATAATGATCAGTGAAAAACCATCACAAATGAGAAACTGGTGAGGTTGCTTCTCTCCTGTTAATAGCTCAAAACCCAGCATTGGAAGGAAATCTATTTTTCTCTGAAAAGACTCTCAGCCTCACTAGCACTCAAAGAAATGCAAATTAAAACCTCAATGAGGTTACTGAATGAGGTTATTAAAACCTCAATGAGGTTATCAATGAGATGTTATTTTGTTCATTCAATTGTCAAATTATAAAGATTTTATTATTATATCTAGTGTTAGCATTGCTTGGAACAATAGGTTCTTTTAAATGCTGTTTGTGGGAGTATAAATTAGTATTGCCTCAATACTAATGCACATTCCCTGAAATCAGACAATACTGCTTCTGGGACTTGGTCCTCCAAAAACTCACAAGATTTTATAGAGGTAGAAAAGCTAATATTCACTGAATGTTTACTCAAAGCAAGGCACCGTGCTAAGCACATTTTGTGCATTAATTCATTTAATCCTTAGAACAGTCCTATGAGGCATATATCAATAGATATTTATTCAATATCTATTAAGATCATTGTTCTAAGCTCTTGGGATACATTAGTAACCAAAAAAAAAAAAAAAAAAAAAAAGAAAAGAAAAATGAACTTGCATCTAGCAGAGACAATTGATAATAAATAATAAACACAATAAAAGTCTATAATAAAATAAAATGTGATAAATGCAATGAAGAAAAGAAAAAGCAGAAAAGGCAAAGATCAGTGTGTAGGGTAAAGAAAATATCAGGCATTTCTGCCCTTCCGCCATCAGGATAGATGATGGATCCTTGTCCTGAATGCATGCCTGATGGCGGGCACCTGGAATAGGGTGTGGGCATAGGTAGATGGGATTCAGCTGAGTTAAGACTGTGCTTTTTAAGGGTGGCGTCACGGGGACACCAGCAGCAGCAGCAGCTGCAGAAGTCGAAGCAGAAGCCGAGAAGCAGCCGAGAAGCAGCAGAACGAACGCCAGAGAGTCCAGATAGAGTGAAGACTTGCTGGGGGCTGGGAGGCTGGCAGGCCTCTCAGCCCCCCAGCCAGCACCCCTGCCTGCCATATGCCTGGTGAACCCCAAATAAAAAACCTGCAAAATTACTGAGGACTCAGACTCCTCCTTTACCCGGTCTGCATGGGATCAGAGAACCTGCACTGTGGTCCATTCCGGCCCTTTACACAGTGGTACTAGTAGAAGGCAGGAAGCAGGCTGTGGTCTTGCCCAGGTGCTTAAGGAAAGCCTTGCTGAACATATGAGAATTGAGCAATGCGAGGAAGAGAAGGGGTCATCTCTGCAGATATTTAGGGAAAGAGAGTTTAAGAGAAGGAAAGCTTAAGTGAAAACTGTAAGGAGAAGTGGATGTGTCCATTCTAGAATAGCCAGGTGGCCAGTATAAGAAGAATGAGTAAAGAAAAGGAGCATGGGCAACATAGGGCCCCTCATGACTTTGTAGGGACTTGGGCTTTTACTGAGTGTATTGGAGGCCATTTTGAGCAGGGGTGTGACCTAGTAAGGCTTATGTTCACAGGGTTTAGCTGCTGTGTTCGGACCAGATGGTTGGCAACAGATAGAGTCAGGGAGGTTTGTTGGAAGGCTATTGCAATAATTCATACGTGAGATGATGGCATTTTTGGACCAGGTGGGAGTCCTGGTACCTGAGTGCATCATTAAAATTAGACTAGGAAGGTGGGGGGGGGTGGTTAGATTGGAAGATTGGGAAAGAACTTAGAGTTTTGTTTGTAATGAAGGCAAATATTAGAAAATGCATTTTAGGAATTCAAGATTTGATGGGGAGCAGGTATAATTGATGTTACAGATCAACTGTCCCTATATGTGGCTGAAGTGAAGGTCACGGAAGGAGAGAAAACAAAGGTAAGATCTGAAACTTTAATCATTTCCATGACTGTGACAAAAGACTGTAACATGACAGCAAATGCTACTAGACATTTCTTGTACTAAATCATATACATTAGATATGAAAATTGTTGAGCACCAAGCAATTTTAATCCTTGTAATGATAAGACATTGGAAGTATGAGTAAAAGCTGATTCAGACTGTTTCTCTGGGAACAGGAATTGATGCAAAAAATCTAATACTATAAAAATTCCATCATTCATCTGTGTGCAGTGAAAACTAGAGTAAATTCTATAAAGCACCAGCATCTAGAGTTGTGTGTGTGGACTATGAAGACAATTGGAAATATAGCACAGCATCAACTTTTACCTTTTTATTCTGACTTGTTTTAGATTTTGAGGAATTCTTTCCCTTTTTGTGAAGGAGAAACAAAGGTGAAGACTCAATGGGACACTCAAAGAGAGAAGTATGAACCTTTTCAGAATACCGCTGGAAATCTTCCACCTCTACATCTCTGTCCAGCCTACATTTGTAACAGAGAGAAAAAAAAATAAAAAACATTGCTCAGAGTTATATTATGAAAACTGTGAAAGTCAAAGAAATTTGGCAATTAAATTTGTGTGTGTGTGTTACGGACCTTTATCCAATAGCCACTATCTCCATCAGCACATATTAAATGATCATTCAATCAATTAATCGATAATAACAATATGCTGGCACCAGCATTTTCTGACAGATGAGCATCTTTCTCCTTCCCACACTCTGTATAATTGGCCCACCTCTTTGTTAACTTAAAATTTCTCCTGTGCTTGTTTTTGTACTCAGGGAGTTCTTGTCTTTATGAAGGATCTAGATTAATGGCTTTGTCTAAAGTCATGCATTAATTAAGAAGTCTCTCTTAAACCTCTAACAAGTATTTGGGTATGTAGCTCTACATCCAATATTTATAGTTGCTGTATGCCAGGGGCTATATGTACATTATCTCACTTAATCCTCATAAAAAGCCTACCAGGCAGGCACTATTATTATTTGCGTTTTGCAGGTGAAGAAATGAAGGGTCTATTTAATCACGGTCAAAAAGAATTTAAAGGGCAAGAAACCCACACAAAAATCCAAGTATGTTAGTTGCCCATGCAAGTTTTAATACTGCCTTCTAATGCCTCTGCATTATAGAATTAGAAATTTTATAGTTTAGTTTCAGTAATGCAAACATTTTCATTATTGACTTGATGTTCTTTATCAATCATATCTTTATGAATAATAAAAATACTATACCTGGTAAAGTAGGCATTACTTATACAGCCAGTAAAATTAGCAAAATTGGGACTGATAGGTGAGCCACCGAAGTAAAACTTCTTTTCATCTGCTTGTGTTTGTTCTGCTTTTCCTTTGGTATCGTCCATACTCCCAAGTCTGCTTTTATCTACTATCAGTTCATATCTGCAAAGGAAAAAGTTTCTTTACACACTACAGAATCACCTTGAGATACCACTGAATTACCTTAGTTCCCTTCTCGGTTACAAATCTTCTCATGAGATTGAAATGGAACATCTGGACACAGAGGCGGCACTCTCCCACCGGCAGAGAGGAGGAAAACAACAAACCAAAACGGCCAACAAGAACAAACGACGCAGCAAGCGGGACTGTGAGTGGAAAGGAACTATTGCAGCCACCACACCCCGTGAACGGGAGCTGAGGCGAACCCTGCAGGATTCACCGCGGCAGGGAGCGAACGGCTCCGGGCGCCATTAGAGAAGAACAAAGACCCCGGGAGACGCGCACACAGCCCGGGCTGCTGGTAAGCTTGCGCAGGAAAGGGCGCGCTCGGCGCGCTTGAAAAGCAAGTGCAGACCGGGATCGCGGCTGCCCAGGTCCCCGCGCCTGCGACCTAGGCTTGGGAGACGACCTAGGCTTGCGGGGAGACACGCGGAGGTCCTCACTGAGGTGAAGGTCCCTCCCTGAGTGAGCAGGAACCAGGCGTCCAGGCACGGGAGCGGTGCAAAAGGCGCCATTCCCGCGCCACTGAACTGGGCTACAGCCCGCGTCCTGGACCTGAGGGCTTTGGAACTGAGACCCGGGGCACGAAATTAGGGGCGTGGGTTCCCCACGACGGTGGGGCACAAGGCAGACACAGCACCCCAAAGCCGTTGAGGTGTACCCTACCATCCCCGCTCTGCTCCCTGTCCCACGGGGTGGAAAATCAGCTCCCCAAGGGCTCTAGGAGAGATCTCTGGTGCCACCTAGCGACTTGAAGCCAGCACAGGCTCCTGAAGGAGCTAGTGGCCAGCTGGGGAGTTAGCCCACACCGGGCCCCTTCCGAACAAGTAGTCTGAGCCCACAGGGAGAGCGAGCACCCACAGCCAGGGCAGACCAGGCACGCAGAAGAGTGTGCCTGACACCGGACACGCAGGGAGTGTGTCCCACATCACCATTTTAGAACAGGGACATTTCTTCAGTAAAGACTACCTGCAGAAGGCTTCCTCAGGAGCCAGAGGTGAGCGGGGGAAGTTCACCCACGACAGACCCCCTCTGGCCTGCAGTCCAAGCCCAGAAGGGGAGCAGGAACCTACCGCCGTGGCAGACCAGGCGCACAGGGGAGTGTGTCCCCACATCGACATTATAGGACAGGGACCTTTCTCCAATAAAGACTGCTTGAAACTGACAGATGACTCCTGGAGGAACCAGAGGGGAGCAGAGAAGCTCACCCAAGATGCCGGCCAGTCCCAACAACACAGTGTCCCAACGCATACGGCAAATTAGAAAACAGACAGTAGGGAGGAGAAGAACCACACGCAACCTAGCAACTCTCCAGAGAAAAAGCACACCACAAAAAGAAAACCAGCCCCCAGATGGCAACGACAGTAACTTGGAAGAACTTCTGAGCCTTCCAGAAAGAGAATTTAAAATTGCCGTGATTAAAAAACTGACAGAAGTCATAAAGGAAAACAATGATAAGGGAAAAATAATCAACGATCAGAAGAATGAAATTGAGTCCCTAAAGAGGGAAGTAAAAGAAATGCAGGAGATCAAAGAATTAGTGGAAGAACTAAAGAATTCTGGGAAAAGCAATGAAAGCAGAATTGATGAAATGGAAGAACAAATAAGTGCTCTTGAAGACACAGAAATAAAAAGAACCAAAACAGAAAAGGAAAGAGAAGTACGAAGGAAAAAGAATGAAGAAAGACTTCGGGAACTATCTGACTCCATGAGGAAAGGAAATATAAGAGTTATAGGAATACCAGAAGGACAGGAGAGAGAAGTAGGAACAGAGAAAATATTCAAAGAGATAATTGAAGAGAACATCCCAAATGTGAAGAAGGAGCTGAAAATTGATATACAAGAAGCAAGAAGAACACCAAACTTCCACGACAAAAGAAAAAATACAGCAAGACACATAATAGTAAAGCTCCCTAGAATCCAGGACAAGGAAAAAATAATGAAGCTGGCAAGAGGGAAGAAACAGATAACATTCAAAGGAAAGCCAATCAGGCTGACATCAGACTTCTCCGAAGAAACACTACGGGCAAGGAGAGAGTGGAGGGACATAGTCAACAGACTCCAAGAAAACAGATGCCAACCAAGAATACTCTATCCCGCAAAGCTCTCCTTCCTCTTTGAAGAAAGAATATGGACCTTCCCAGACAAACAGAAACTCCGGAATTTCATTGCAACTAAACCCCCACTCCAAAAAATACTACAAGGAGTCCTAAAGCCAGAACCTCAGAGGGACGAATAACAATGAAAGAAGGCCAAAAAAAAAAAGTTATTAAAAGAATAAATAAATAAAATCAAAGGACAGACAAACACAATGGCAAATACAGATGTTAACATATCAATATTAACTCTAAATGTAAATGGACTAAACTCTTCAATAAAAAGACACAGAGTTGCAGCCTGGATTAAGAAACAAAACCCAACCTTTTGCTGTCTCCAGGAAACACATTTAGCTACAAAAGATAAAAATAGGCTCAAAGTTAAAGGATGGAAAACAATCCTACAAGCAAATGGACCAAAAAAGAAAGCAGGAACAGCTATACTTATATCAGATAAAACAGATTTCAAACTCAAAAAGATAAAAAGAGACCCCAATGGTTACTACATTATGATCAAGGGGACAATACTTCAAGAAGAAATAACACTCATTAACATATACTCACCAAACGAAGGAGCACCAAAATATATCAGACAACTGTTGTCCTCTCTGAAAACAGACATCAGAGAAAACACATACGTAGTGGGAGACTTCAACACACCACTATCAACAATGGATAGATCAACAAGACAAAAAATAAGTAAAGAAACCGAAGCTCTAAATAAGGACCTAGAGCAATTGGGCTTAACAGACATCTATAGAACACTAAACCCCAAAAAAACGGAGTACACATTTTTCTCAAGCGCACACGGATCATTCTCCAGGATCGATCACATACTGGGGCACAAGACAAACATCAACAGATACACCAAGATTGAAATCATATCAACCATCTTTTCTGACCATGAAGGCATCAAGCTAGAAATAAACCATAAAAAGAAGGCAAGGAACTTTCCTACCTCATGGAGATTAAAAACCACACTACTGGAAGACCACTGGACTAAGGAGGAGATCAAAGAAGAAATTAAAAAATTTTTTGAATTGAACGACAAGGAAGACACCAATATCCTAAATGTATGGGATGCAGCAAAAGCAGTAATAAGAGGAAAATATATAGCAATAGAAGCTCACATCAAGAAACAAGAAAGAACTCAAAGAAACAACCTAATCTCGAAGCTCAAAGATCTAGAAAAAGAACAACAAAAAAACCCCAAAACCAGTAGAAGAAAAGAAATAATAAAAACCAAAGCAGAAATAAATGAAATTGAAACTAAAAAAACAATCCAAAAGATCAATGAAACCAAGAGCTGGTTCTTTGAAAAAATCAATAAAATAGACAAACCCCTAGCCAGGCTCACAAAGGAAAAAAGGGAGAAAGCACAAATAAACAGGATCATCAATGAAAGAGGAGAAATCACAACGGACACAGCAGAAATCAAAAGAATAATCAGTAACTACTATGAACAGTTATATGGAAACAAGTTTAACAATCTAGAGGAGATGGACAAATTCCTACAACTCTACAATCACCCAAAGCTAGATAAAGAAGAAATAGAATACCTAAACAGACCAATTACAATTAGCGAAATTGAAATGGTAATCAAAAACCTCCCCAAAAACAAAAGCCCAGGACCTGATGGATTTATAAATGAATTCTACCAAACATTCAGAGATGAATTAGTGCCTATCCTTCACAACTCTTCCAAAAAATTGAGAAGGAAGGGACAATACCAAACACGTTCTATGAAGCCAACATTACACTAATACCAAAACCGAACAAGGACAACACAAAAAAGGAAAACTATAGGCCAATCTCCCTAATGAACACTGATGCAAAAATCCTCAATAAAATTTTAGCCATCAGAATCCAACAATGTATCCATAAGATAATTCACCACGACCAAGTAGGATTCATTCCAGGGACACAAGGATGGTTTAACATCCGAAAATCAATCAACGTTATCCAACACATCAACAAAAAGAAATATAAAAACCATATGATAATATCAATAGATGCTGAGAAAGCTTTCGACAAAGTGCAACACCCATTCATGATAAAAGCCCTTGAAATTCTTGGGATACAAGGAACATACCTCAACATCATAAAGGCCATCTATGACAAGCCAACAGCCAGTATCATTCTCAATGGTGAAAAGCTGAAAGCAATTCCATTAAGATCTGGAACAAGACAAGGATGTCCACTCTCACCACTGCTTTTCAATATAATACTGGAAGTCCTAGCCAGGGCAATAAGACAAGAGAAAGACATCCAAGGAATCCAAATAGGAAAAGAAGTCAAACTATCACTATTTGCAGATGATATGATATTATACATAGAGAACCCCAAAAACTCCACAGAAAAGCTAATTCAACTCATCAATCAGTTCAGTAAAGTGGCAGGATACAAAATCAACACGCAAAAGTCAGTAGCCTTCCTATACACAAACAATAAATCTGAAGAAGAAGAAATCAAAAAAACCATCCCCCTTTTGTTATTGAAAAAAAAAATCAAATATTTGGGAATAAATCTAACAAAAGAGGTAAAGGACCTATACAAAGAAAACTATAAAACACTGTTAAAAGAAATAGAAGAAGACACAAAGAAATGGAGAGACATCCCTGCTCGTGGATTGGAAGAATAAACATTATTAAAATGGCCATCCTTCCAAAAGCAATATACAGATTCAATGCTATTCCAATCAAAATTTCAATGTCATTCTTCAAAGAAATAGAACAATTATTGATGAAATTCATATGGAATCACAAAAAACCCGAATAGCCAAAGCTCTCCTGAAAAAAAAAGAAGGGAATGGAGGCATTACACTCCCAGACTTCGAACTATACTACAAAGCCATAATCATCAAAACTGCATGGTATTGGAACAAGAACAGACATACAGACCAATGGAATCGAATAGAAAATCCAGAAATAAACCCACAGATTTATGGTCAACTAATCTTTGACAAAGGAGCAAAGACTATGCATTGGAGCAAAGAAAGTTTGTTCAATAAATGGTGCTGGGAAAACTGGGTCGCTACATGCAAAAGAATGAAGCTTGACCACTACCTCACACCATACACAAAAATCAACTCAAAATGGATTAAAGAACTAGACATAAGACCTGAACCATAAATATATAGAAGGAAATATAGGCGAAACACTACGTGATTTGCACATCAAAGACATCTTTACAGACACATCACCCAAAGCAGTGATAGTGAAGGCAAAGATAAACAGCTGGGACTACATCAAATTAAAGAGCTTCTGCACAGCAAAAGAGACAATAACAAAAACAAAGAGAAACCCCACCAACTGGGAGAACATTTTTGCACCCAACACTAATGATAAAGGACTGATCACAAAAATCTGCAAAGAGCTGATGAGACTCAACAACAACAAAGAAAAGAATCCAGTCAAAAAATGGGCAGAAGAGCTAAAAAGAAACTTCTCTGAAGAGGAAATGCAAATGGCCAACAGGCATATGAAAAATGTTCAACATCACTTGCCATCAGGGAAATGCAAATCAAAACTACCATGAGATACCATCTTACACCAGTGAGAATGGCACATATTAAAAAAACTAGCAACAACAAATGCTGGCGAGGGTGTGGAGAAAAAGGAACTCTTCTGCACTGTTGGTGGGAGTGCAAACTGGTCCAACCACTGTGGAAAGCTGTGTGGAGATTTCTGGACCTACTAAACATAGAGCTTCCATATGATCCAGCAATTCCACTCCTAGGTATTTACCCAAAGGACACAGAAACAATCAATTCCAAAGAACACCTGCACCCTATGTTTTATAGCAGCACTGTTTACAATAGCTAAGCTTTGGAAACCACCCAAATGCCCAAAAATAGATGACTGGATCAAGAAGATGTGGTACATATACACCATGGAATATTACTCAGCATTCAAAAAAGATAAACCATGCAATTTGCAGCAACATGGATGGCGCTGGAGGGATCATGCTCAGCGAAATAAGCCAAAAAGAAAAAAAAAATACCGGATGGTCTCACTCATAGCAGGAATCTAGAAAACTAAATAAGGGACCAGAAAATGAATAACTATAAGAAAGTGAAAATCAAAATCAACAAAAAACTATGAACCAGAGACACTTTAGGGGGGCGGGGGCGGGAGGGGAGGGATTGGGGTCAGAATGGGGGGGCTGCAATTGTATGGGGAATATAACAATAAAATTTATTATAAAAAAAAAAAAAGAAATGGAACATCTGGTTAAAGGAAAGATAATGAGTTGTCAGACTCTTCATGAGGTCCAGGATAAAGTGGTTAAATGGTTCTATATGCAGAAAAGGCCCTCCAAATCACTACTGGAATTTAAACTCATAATATCAAGAGTTCAGATGATTAGGCTCAGCATTGATTTCTTCTTTTTTTCCAGTTTTTGTTTTTGTGGGAAAAACAGAACATGCCTCATGGTGATCATTTAGTCACTTTTGTGGGAAACTATTTTCATTACAAAGCACATTGAATGGCCAGAAAAGGCCTATTAATGCTTTTTTTTAATGGAAGATTCTATAGAAGTAGACGTACAATCGAAGCATCTACAGCAGATTCATTTCTTATTTCAGAAAGCTTTCTTCTTTTAAAAAAGAAATTCAGCCTTACAACAGATACTAAAATTAATTCAAAGTGTATTAAAAACTTTAATATAATATCTAAAATCATAAAATACATAGAAGACATAGGTGATAAGTTCTTTGACACTGGTTTAGTGATATCTTTGTATATTTGTCTCTAATAGCTAGAGAAATGAAGAGAACATTTTAAAAATGGAGCTATATCACACTGAAAATCTCTGCACAGTAAAATAAACCATTGTTAAAACAAAAAGGCAGCCTAGAATGGGAGAAGATATTTGCAAACCATATATCAGATATGGAGTTAACATCCAAAATATATAAATATACGACAGAAAAAAGGACAGTCTTATTAAAGTGAGCAGGGGAACTAAATAAGGATTTCACCAAAGAAGACATATAGATGGCTGACAGACACATGAAAAGCAGTGTACATCTTTTGTCATTCGCTAGGTAAATATATATTAAAATCACTATGACATACTGTCTCACACCCCAGAGAGTGACTCATATTAAAAAGACCAAAAACAACAGGTGTTTGCAAGGATGTGGAGAAAAATGATCCCTTGTGTTCTGTTGGTAGGGATGTAAGCTGATGTAGCCATTGTGGAAAACAGCATGGAAGTTCCTCAAAAAATTAAATACAGAACTATCATATGTTCCAGTAGTCCACTTCTGGGTATTTACCCCAAGGATATGGAAACATGATATGAAAATATATATGCGCCCCTATGTTCACTGTAGCAATATTCAAAATAACTATGATATAGAATCCTCTCAATGTCTGATGATCAATGAATGGATAAAGAATTGTTGTATATTCACAATGGAATACCACTCATAAAAAAGACAAAATCTTGCCATTTTAACTATATTATGCTAAGTGAAATGAAGGCAAATAGCAAATGATATCACACAGTTGAGGAATATAGAGAAAAAAGTAAGCTAACAAACAACAAAAAGACAAACCCAAGACTTTGGCAGCAGAAGGGTGGTTACCAGAGGGAAAAGGGTGGAGTGGGGGCAGGGAGAGGAGCAGATTGGTTGGTGGTGCCTGGTGAGTAGACATGTGGTAGTGGGCATGGTAAGACACATCAGTGCTGGGGTGAGAACTGTACACCTGAAACCTACTCAGTGTTGTAAACTAATGGTACAAAGAAAGAAATTCAGTACTACATATATTAAAGATGAAATGAGAGCTTTCAAAATGTGACCATAAAAGTAATTTCAATTTTCTCCATTAAAATCCACATGAAATCAGAATTAGTGGGGCTCCTTTTATGTGCAAAACACTGTATTCTACCCAGTAAGTGGTACATGTGCAGGCACTTCCTTCAAGATGATAGCCTATCATTACACTGGGGGAAAACTTTAAGTAATTTTATAGTGATTTATTTGCAATGTCTTGAAAATTAATAGCACTTTGCTTGAAAAGTTGTCTCTTCCATCATTTGAAAAAAATACTAGAAAGTAAAAGAGCCTGCAGTTCATAACAGTCCTTTGAGAGAACCATGCTGTACTAATAGTTATCGGGTGGAAAGAATATAAAGGCATATGCTGTACCTCCCCTGTGAGACAGAGGCGATGACCAAGTGGGGCAGCCCGTCGTGGTACTGCCGGTCGGATGACTGCACTTTGATCCCCTTCACATCCATGAGCACCGTGCCATTATCCAGCGAGATGGAGAACACGTCTGACTGAAAGGCAAGTACAAGTGTGTCAGGTGGTACTGCTTCAAGGAACAGCCAGCGAGGAGGCATTTTACTTGTGAAATAATTTCTATTCTTTTTTAATATTTTATTTTACATAATTCTTACATCATTTTTCAGTTTTGCACAATGTATGCATTTTCATTTTGGTTATATTCCCCATACAATGCACCCCCCTTATTTTGAGCCTAATCCTTTCTCTCCCCCCCCTTTGTGAAATAATTTCTATGAATAACACAACACAATGACCTATTGAGCTTATTGGTGTTGCCTATGAAATTAGACAAGTCTCAAGGGGCTTTTCTTTAAATCTTTTATGTTTTGAACTGAATGTTTCTGGTGATTTTGTCGTGCTGAGATGTACCCAGTGTCAGTAACTTTCCTAACTGGGGGCATTTCTACTCTACCCTCAGTCTTGCCCTGGAAAAGGCAATATCTGACTCTCCTCAGGGATACTGCTAGGTGATGAGACATGGGTTAACTTGCTAGCTTATCTTTTAAAACGTTTGCTTTTCATTGATAGAGGAAGAAGAAAAATAAAAAGAAGTAAAAATGAACATCTCTTTTTCCAAATATGCTTATTGCTTGTTTAAAAATATTGACAAAACGGGCCTCCCCGGTGGCGCAGCAGTTGAGTGCTGGGTTGCGAAGCTGCCCGCAGCCTCTGCAGCGCCGGTTCCATCCCCGGCTGCTCCCTGGTCACCGGAGGAGGGTCCCACACGGCGCGCAGACCTCTCCTGCCGCCCGCTGCTCCCCTCAGCAGTGTACTTCGGTCCTTCTGCCTGCTCTGCTCCCCGCTCTGGCTCTGGTGAATTCTCTCACCCTCCTGCACTTCTGACTGTACCCAGTGCTTGTATAAATAAATAAAATAAATAAAAATAAATCTTTAAAAAAAATAAAAATATTGGCAAAATGACCCTCCCTCTAGCTTCTACAGTTAGCTCTTAACGTTACTTTCTTTGGACAAAAAACCAGGGTCACCTGAGGCAAGTTTGGTGGCAGAAGAGTTTTGGGTGAATTTTCACAGATGCTACTGACTTAAATTCAACATAAATTTAATGATTATATAGGTGAATACAATAATTATAAAAATATATTTATATATATGATATACATTATCTAATATATATGTATATATATTATGGCCTCACCATCAGTGTGTATGTAGTTGATGACCTTTTCAGAGAAAACTCATTTGGATCATAGTGTCAAGGAATCTCTATAAATCTTGCTTTATTCTTGGATAACATATCTTTATAAACTGAACTGAAGTGTCCTATGGATACCCAAGAACAGAAAAGTATTTTCTTTCTACTATTTTATAAAATGAGTTACACATATGTATGTTCTTAACATACACATAAGAGCTCTTAACATCTTTTTTGTGTCTGGGGCTGCTTTGGCAGTTTGGGAATACAACTGGATTCCTTATAAGTAATGATTTAAAATGAATGAGACAAAATATGTAGGAATAAAAAGAAAACCAATTATATTGAAATGTAGTCTCAAAATATTAAAGCAATAATTCTGTGATATGATAACATGTTTTCCTTTATTAACAAATTAAGTAATGAAATCTGGTAACAGAGCTTATAACTATTGCTATTTGGAAGTAACAATGAACAACAGTAACATTTTGAGATATCTGTGACAATGCTAATAGGAAATGAAAAATTTCTATTAATGACATAGTCACAGGTACTTGCTAAATTACTGTGGTTTATTGCCAACATTCACAGTTGAAGAAAATACTAAATTCTTGGGCCTCCCTTGTGGCACAAGAGGCTAAGCACAGCACTGTGAAGCTATCTGCAGCCTCTGCAGCATGAGTTGGATCCCCGGCAAAACATTTTTAAAATGTTCTCTTCATTTATCTAGCTATTAGAGACAAATATACAAAGATATCACTAAACCAGTGTCAGGGAGATACCCACATGGTGCAGCAGACCTCTCCTGACTTGCTCGCTGCTTCCCTCAGCAGTGTACTTCAGTAATTCTGCCTGCTCTGTTCCCTACTCTGTCTCTGGTGAATCCTCTCACCCCCCCGCACCTCTGGCCTACACCCCAGTTCTTGTATGCATAAATAAATTTTTATATATAAAAAGACAATACTAAATTCTTGTTAAAGAAAGTAAAGATGTAATTTTTCCCTCCCTGTGTCCTCAGATTCACTGAATTCTTTCCATGTACCTCTCAGGGATGGGTTTACAAATCCTGGGTTAAGAACTCCCAAGGGACAATATTTATAATATCTTATAAAATTCTGAAATAAGGCACTCTCCATATGTACATGTGAGCCAAAATTAATATGAATAAACAATCAATTCTAACATGCTTTAAAAATATTTAATAGATGAAATAATTATCACAAAAAAATTTCCTCAGGGAAAAACGAATACTTACTCCTGAAGCATGATAGAACAGTAACCCATTTGGCTGTAATGTTCGGAAATTAAAACCTCCTTCAAAACCATCAAAGAAAGATATTTTCTGAGTTGAAGCAATGAAACTCTGTCCATTAAAATATGCTCTGCGAGATATCTGTGTGCCAAAAAGAAAGAAAGAAAGAAAGAAAAAAAGGAAGATTAACGCGGTACTTGTGATGATTATCAGATGGATGTTTATCAAATTTCTCAAAGGCCAAAGGCCTTACCTGTTAGTTTCGACATTAATAGTTTTAACTTCTGATTTATATTGGAATGCAGGCATCTTAGCCTTCCTTCTGCATTCTTCTACCTGATGGGGTTCCAACTTCTCTATTTCTCTACTCTGAGTGAATAACCATGCTTGCACAGCCCTCTGGACTTTGGAAGCCCTTACCATGGGAAACTGAAGCAACTGGAGAAAACAAAGGGGATGCCCCCACCCACCCACCACCACCACAAGCCATTCTAGCTTAAATTACTCTTTCTGTTGGTGGCAGAGGGAACCAGGATGTACCTAGTATCCCAGAGAAGTTGATACTAACTTTTCTAGATCTGAGAGTGATGTTTTGTATTCATTTAAAGGCTTTTGACTGACTGGTACTTACAAGAGAGTCTTCTGGGCACCCATAGCCAAGTCCCAGGGTTTCTGTCTGCTCTAATAGATTGAAATCTTTCCTTTGGAACTGAAAACCCTTCATGCATCCTCTGAAGTTGATATCTAGGGGAAGGTGTACTTTTAGGGTCCTGGAAAAGAAAATTAGTCTTCACTGATATAGATAATGATGATTTATTTCTGCATTTGTAAGCAATGAAATTTGATTTTAGTTAGTCATTTATAGTAGCTTCAAAATCAGTCTTATCCTCATGCTTTCTTTGATAAAAAAAAAATCCTTTAACTTACAGTTTTCAAAATCCTTTAACTTAACATTAGCTAATTATATCTCTAAAAATTCAGGAGATCAATGCTGCTGCTGTTATTTCCCATTTACAGATTATTATCTTGAACCATAAGGAAGTAACATATTTGTAGGTTGAAATGGTCAGTTTTTGGCAGTTTCACATGGTTTAATCTATAAAATTAAACTAGGAAATATTAACTTATTTCTCATGTCACAATGTTAAGTTTGGATTTGAATCCAGTCTTTAGTCTTCCAGTAATCCACATGGATCATGGATTCATCTTCTCAACTACATCTACAACATGTTGTAATCAACTAAGGGTGGAGGAATGTCTTAGTCAATGCTATGTCTTTGGATCAACAGGAAAGAAATAAATCTTTTATCGTTAAGATCAGAGATGGCATTTAGCTCAGTCTATATGCCTAGTATATAGCAGGTACCCAAGAACAAGTTATTGGATATTGAATAAATTAGTCTGAGGTGAGATTTGACCAAGCCACAATGACTTCAATGTATTTTAGATGAACACTGGCCAAACTATATTTCGCTTTGACAAGTTCACCCATGGAGGGCCACACTGACAGGATGAGGTGTATATAATGGCAACCATAGGGTTAAATATCCCATATGGCATGGTTGAAGGAACTGGAGAAGGTATTTAGCTTGGCAAGGAAGCTTGATGTTGGAGCCTTATCCTAAACCAATTACAATTTCTGGAGCATGGTCATGGGCAGTGGTATTTGTGAAAGCTCTCTAGGTTATTCTGATGAATAGGTTGAGCCAGATTTGGCTGGAATTGGACTGGAATTTCCTAAAGTTTTCTCTTAGTTTTAAGCCTGACTGATACTATGAATTCATAATATGAATGGATACTCTCATATTATGAATTGAAGCTGAATTTTTGAATGCATGAGAATACCACCTAGATAAATTTAAAATTGTTTGTGCCCTCAGATGCTATCTGAGAGTTCAAATAAGTTTAAATTAAGACTAAAACAATAATAAAGAGCACAATATTGCCTTGTTTTCATATAGTACACATGGCTCTGCCTTTCCTTTTGCTAGTGAGAAATATTGCATCAGAATATGTTCCAAAAGTAATATAATAGTTGAAGAAACTTATAGAAACTTGAAGAGTAACAAAATAATTGCTGATTTAAGGGGGTCATGAGGACTGGCTGAGAGGGTGCATGAAGGTACATGCCTCTACTTGTGTAGAAGAAGCAAGGGGAAGTGCTTGGCCTTTTATAGATCTCTTTTGGATGTCAAATACTCAGCCCAGTGCATTAGGAATAGCCAGCTACTTCATCTCGACACACATACAGACCTTACCTGGATTGTAAGACTTCTGGGGGAGCCCCTCCTATGTATATGTCTGTAAAGGGTATTTTCATCTTTTCATTGTCCATGCTCTTGACATGCCGTCTATCAACTACCAAAATCATTTTCTTATCATTGTGGTAAATTATTGAGATCTGGGAGAAATAACATGTTGTAAGTCTTGATCACTGTTTAACAATCAGCTTTTTGAAGATGGCTATATATTTTAATTTTTCTAGTTAAGCTGGGCTTCCATGTTGTGCTTGTGGGTTCACAAAATGAGGAGTTGACTTTCCTTTCTTACTCATAGACATGAAAACTCTTGTTTATATAACTAGAAGTTCACTTTTTTTGGAAAAGGAGTTTCACATGGAGAAGGAGTCAGTCTAAGAAAAATTTTGTGATGAGACCTATTGTATTTGAAGTCTCTTTGAGGGGATCTGAGAATGAATTATAAGCAGGTGATTTCTGGACCCTAAACTATTACCAGTTGTCATTTTTTGGTGCCACAGTGAGAGGCTCTAACGAATTTGTGAAAATGCTAGTCATCAAAATAGTTAAAAATATTCTTTTATTATAAACTATTTCCCGTAAACACTGTGAACTGAACTGAAAAGGGAAAAAATTATGACCTCCTATGCCTTGCAGTTCAGTTTAATTTAAAAGATACTATATTTTTTATGTGTTTTACTGTACATCTGTTTTAAGGTTAAAGTTCTTTTTTTGTGGGCTCTCTTTATAAGGAAACCTATATTAGTATTTTTTAAGTTCTGCACAATGATTTAAAAAGTTTTATATTTACTTACATGTACTCTTTATATACTTAGTAGGACTCAAAGGATAAATTAAAAAGTGGCTGTGTAACTACACTGTCATTTTCAACAAATTGTAGAAGGATTCTATAGGAGTGCCATAGTAATTGAGATATTGAGCACTAATGGGAATTTTTTGGTCAATGAAGCAAGTAAAAGGTATCTTTTTTTTTTTTTTAAAGAGTTATTCATTCATTCAAGACCGGGGTACAGGCCAGATGTGCGGGAGGGCAAGAGAAGTATAAGGCATCTTTAAATGATTTTTTTATTGGAAATGTCAATTGATTTTAAAAATCCATTCTTTAAAAGTAATTGTTGTCCTGTTGCTGGGTGGATGAGGGCCTTGCAGTTGTACTTTAGGTGTGAAGGTATTTAGTTTAATTACTATCCCACCTACCTCATTTGACCCTCTGATTGGATCAATAGCTCTGAGTACAACAAAACCAAACAAACCACCTATATCGCAACAATTTGTACCTCATGGTATTTTGCATCATTTATACGAGCTTTCATCAATGTGTCTTCAAGATGGACAGGGCCATTGCTAAATCCAAAGTCATAGAATACATGTAGATAACCATTGCGCATTTCAAGGCTGAAAAACATACTCTGTGGAGAGAAAGAAGTTAAAAGATATGAGAGCCTGCTATTATGAAAGTGAAGATTTAGCTGAATCTGAGAAATAGCACTCTTCTTTTTTACTGAAATTGCTTGACTAAGGAAGTCTCATGAAACTCTTGTTGTGAAATAAAAATCACAACTACTTCCAGCAGTAATTAGGTATTGTAGTCATATAACAAAGTGTTAATATTTATAGACAAATTAAAACTATCTTCTTTTGCTTTTTTTACTTGAATTAATGAAATTTTAATTCATTTAAAATTTCAATTTTAAAGGTCAATTTCATTGATCTTTTGAAATTCTTGAAAACAGAATATTATACATCATGTGAATTCAACTGCTTTTTCTCAGACAACTTTTGAAAAATCATAACACAATTGGTAATTGCATTTTACTGTGAGAGGAAAATGGGTGATATTGAAAAATAGTCCCAAGGAATGTGGAGAAGAAATCCCCAGATTTTGGGCAAATCTGGATATTTAAAAATGAAAGTCATTTCTCTGTTATTTTGAAACAATGGATTTATGCAAACAAATATGAAATTATTATGCACTTGAACCACATGATGTCCAAGAACCAAAGTAATTCTGTAACACTCAAGTAATTTTCTGGCCAGACTTGTCTGCTTCAGAAGATGGTTCATCACAAAATTCAGTGGACTTGAAAAACAAGGTGTTGTGATGAGGTCCCTATTCTATAGGAAGTGCCAGAGTGTGTTTGTATACTGTTGAGAATGTAGCAAGCGATCTGTTGGGGATAGAAAGAAATTATTCCAATTTCTATTTATATGACTCATTTTAAAACTCTGAAATAGAGGGGAGAAAAACTAACCTTTAATATTTAATGCATGAATTGACTCTGGGCCTTAATTTTGTCCTTTAGATAGATTTTCATAGGGTTCACATGGTATGTGAATTCCACACTTGAGATAGATTTTCATAGGGTTCACATGGTATGTGAATTCCACACTTGAAGGGGCTGGTGATGGCCCCTCACTCATTTCTGTGATCTCAGCCTGTTGCAATGTATTGCAGGTTATGTGTACCTGGTCATGTGGATATATGAGTGAGGTGAATTAGATTACTAATTTTTCAATGATTTTCTATTGAGAAAATATTTTGAGCCACCTCGATATTTACAGACAACTTTCTACAAATTCCTAAAAATTCTGTGAAGGATAAAGATAACTACATATTTTTCTTTACAAGATAAATTATTTTAAATTTATTGACCTTTATTTGTGATGATGAATATATTTTAATAGTATGAAACCCACTAGTTATTAAAAAAAAATACTTGATTTGTCACTTCAAGGCTAAGGTATTATTATTGTATAATGAATGAGAGAGTAACTCTTTTTTTTAAGAAAGTTGTACTCAGGAGAGATGTTTCCTAAAAATGGCAGGAAGTTTTTTATTGTCTTTACAAAATTTGTGTTTTATTCCTAGTTTTGAATATTATATCCATATGTAGAATATACTTATCATTTATGAGTATGCGTGTGTGTATATATATATATATATATATATTTAAAGATCATTTATGCATAAAAGAACTGGGTTGTAGACCACAGGTATGGGGGGTGAAAGAATTCACCAAAGAGAGTGGGAGCAGAACAGGTAGAGCTATTGAATTACACTGCTGAGGGGAGCAGAGGGAAAGACAGGAGAGGTCTGCTGCGCCATGTGGGTTGCTCTCTGGCCTGCCGGGGATTGAACTTGTGCTGCAGTGGCTGGCGATAGCTTGATAGCACTGTCTTTATCCTCTGCACCACCAAGGAGGCCCCTGTATATATATTAAAAGCGTGTAAACTTATTTTTTTACTGTCAGTGCTAAATTTTGGCAGACATACTGCAGATCTTGGTCTTGATTTTCCTCAAAATTCCTTTAGTTTATTAAAGGACATATATCATGTACATCCAAAAATACATTTGAGGACTGCTTATATTTACTGCTGATCTCACTTTCCTAAAGGGAAAATAAAATCTAATTTTGTTTCCTAAACTGAAAAAATCAGCCTGATGTCATGACACACTCAAATGGGGAAGATACCTGGAAACATGTATAGCAGAAAGCACAAGAAATAAAGGAGAAAATGGAAGCCTTTTATTTTACTCACTCCATTGACCATCAGGAGCACAAGGCCATTGTCAGCTGGTGTTCGAACTTCTATGTCAAAGCGCGTCACCTGACCATATTTCCCTCTCCTTGTGATATCTCTCACCACAGCATAACTGGAACCATCGAAGAAGTAGCTGGCAGCCCGACTCTGAGTGAAGGCCAGTTTATCTCTGAAATGAAAACCCAGGGATCTGTTACAGTTTCTATTATGCTTTTCAAGTGAGGCTCTTTCAACATTCTCAAGGTATCTTCCATCCACCTTACAATATATATAGGAAGTCCTGATGACTGCAGGGGAGATGTAAGACATAACTCACACATACAGGTACATTAAATGAATTGTTTTTAATGGATTTCCTCTATGCTCTCTATGCTAACACAATAGAAATATGAAATGGAACCCCTGTTGCTGGAATCCTAAATCAAAGCTGTAAACAAGTTTTTTTTTTTTTAACACTTTTAATACATGCACATTTTCTGTATGGTAGAGAAGAATTAATGAATGCTTTGTGGCTTGACATTAATGCACTTTCAAAGGTGGTATTCCCAAAGAGAAGAGTGAGATCCCACATACTGACCCACAGCTGTTTCTTCTGCTGCTCTTTCATGCCTATTGAAGTCTTCAGTTCTTTAACATTTCCTTACCTTGCACAGGGCACTGACTTGGAGGGATCCATATTATAGATGTGCTTGAAGTTGTACAAGCTGATCACATGGTTATTTAAAGTGGCCAATTCCAGGCAGCCAACGAAGCCAGGCAGGTCTAAGCTGCCAGGGAGCTGTGTAACAGGTAAGGTAAAGTCAATTGAGCGTGATCACATATCATCCAGATGGTCCAGAATAGGCAATGACAAATAACAGGTCAAGAGACCTACTCAGTGATATCTCTCTGAACCTGGGTTTGTGTCTAGTCTATGCCAAATCCATTTAAACAATGTTTTTTCAGTCATGCATATTTAAGCAGAGCAGTGGAATTTACCGAGCATATATACTCTGTGCTCGTCACACCCTGGACAATGAATGCATGACCAAAATCAATCCTTATACCAGCTCTGTTAGATGTGCATTCCTGTTCTTATATAAAGAAAGGGGAAGTAATTCTGAGAGTACAATAATATGCTTACACCTGGTAAGTGATAGCCCTGGAAGTGAAATCCTACATCAACTCATCACTTTCTTGGGGTTTTCTTTATCTTCCCTTCATCAGATCATGTCATACTCCCCCTTAGGTCTCACTTCTCCCCATCCTAGGTATTATTTCATCCCTAAATTCTCTAAGATAACTGAGTTTTTGAAACTGCCACCTGCAAAACTAAACATTAGATATAAACCCACAATGTTACCTTGTTTAGGATAAAGGTAATATTAATTACATAGGAGATATCAGAATGAAATGAACTGATATTCTGGTGTTAGCTACAGCTTGAAAGCATTTGACACTATGAAAATATAAGTATTAGAGACCAGATTTATAGAACCTGATTCAGAATTCTACGACCAAGTAAGCTAAGCTTTTCCTTAAAATGGCAAGGTTTCTGTTCTCCCCTTGACATCATTGTAGGTTTTATGAATTTTGAAAAATAATCATTGCAGATTTGTAATAATTTATAATATAGCGGGATAGCTTACCTTAAAGTTTGAAGGTACCCCACCAACATAAAACACAGTGTCCTCAGGGTCTAGGTCCAGTAAGGAGTCATCTCCTGAAAACTTCCCCTTTTTAATAAACTTCTCCTCTGCAGTGCTACTTAGACTTGGGACTGTTAAAAACACTTTTCCATGTTTTCCTACCCTGTTGAGATAAATAATTTTCTCCCTTAGCCAGAAAATATTTTTTAATGCCAAAATATTAGTTTTTTCTATTTACATATTGGCGATTTGATATTTTCACATTCACAAACATAGAGTACCAACAATCAAGAGATGTGAGAAAAAGGACATTCCATCTTGAAATTAATTCTTGGGTTGGCCAGATAAAAAGACCAAACAAATATATAAATAATACTATCTAATCTTTTTTTTCACTAAAGTTTGGGAAGGGATGCAGGAATAATGGAAGAAAGATGATTTAGAATAAAGGGAAGAAACTACTACTCACAACAACATCCACAGGAAGAGTGTGCATGTGTGTGTGTGTGTGTGTGTATGTGTGTGAGTACATTCAACAGATTTCTTATGAAATATGCTTAAAAGCCCTTTGTCACCGGTTTACTTTACCTTTCAATCTTGACAATGCTGAAGTAAGCAGGCCAGGAACTGACAGGCTTGGAGTCCAGGGGGATCTCTACATCCTTTGTTCCCAAATTATAAATGTATACCAGGTTGTCATTTTTGATTGCAAGACCCACATATTCTTTTTTGGCCTGAAATGTTAAGAAATCACTGAAATAAAATCCTTAGAAATGAATATCATCTTTATTTTCATTTCTTTAAAGGATAAGCCTGCAATCAAATGCTTGGCTGTCTACTAGGTATATCTGGTCTGAATTATTACCAGAAGCTCCAATTAAACTGGGCAGCACTTTTTCCTTTCCAGCTTCCTGGTCAGTGTTACAGTATTCTGGTCTGTGTGCTGGTTGCAAGTACATTGTGAATAGAAAGCAAGCAACTGCAGGCTTGTGGACATTTGCTGCATCTAGAAATGGGCTTACTTTGTTGGCTAGCCCAGGAATGTAAAGCAGCTTGACAAACATGTGCTATGAATCTTTAAGCAGGTGTCAGCATCAAACATAATAGGTCTCTGTTATTCCAAAGGTATTTGAAATGTTACATCCAGACTCCTTGAGGTGAGCTGTGTGATGCTGATAAGAAGCAGCCCCAGATCTATCTCGCATATAGAATGACCTTTCTTAAATCACTACTTTTGTCTTGACATTAAAATGATTTATAACTTCAGGTTCCAGAATGTGAATTTTTTTTGTTTGTATAGATAGTTTTGTTTTAAGGCAAGAGAAAAATACTTATCTTTTCTTTCAATATTATTCCATCTTTTAAAACCTCAATCTCTTACATTTTTGCTTCCGAGGTACAGGATAAACTGATCTGCAATCCCAGTCAGTTCTGACTGCTTCACAGGAGGTTTCATGTACAGGCTCAGGGATGTGAAGGTCTTTAAGTCATCCAAACTGGTTCTGGGGTGCACTTCGACTGCTGACTGGCCATCAAACATCATGGAGACTTGGATCTGGAGTTGCAAAATTATTCCATCAAAAATACTATGCAGACAGGCGCAAGGCACTTTCCCATCAATCTCAATGGACTTTCCTCATTTCTTAGAGGGGTTTCTGAGTTCTACTCTCCTTCACACCCTTATTTATTTACTTATATACTCAGATTGTTAGAGAAAGGATGTAAGGCAGACGAAAATGCAATAGTTTGGATTTAAAATAGAGTTAAAAAAAAGAGTGATGGGCCTCCCCTGGTGGCGCAGTGGTTGAGCGCTGGGCTGCGAAGCTATCCACAGCCTCTGCAGAGCCAGTTTGATCCCCGGCCGCTGGTGAGGGTCCCACATGGCACGACAGACCTCTTCTGCTGCACCTGCTGCTCCCCTCAGCAGTGTATTTCATCAGTCTGCCTGTTCTGTTCTCTCTGGTGAATTCTCTTACCCTCCCGCACTTCTGACTGTACCCCGGTTCTTGTATAAATAAATAAATAAATCTTAAAAAAAAAAAAAAAAGAAGAGTGACAAAGTAGATTAAGAATGAGAAGTCCGGGGCCTCCCCGGTGGCGCAGTGGTTGAGCGCTGGGTTGCGAAGCTGCCCGCAGCCTTTGCGGCGCAGGTTCGATCCCCGGCTGCTCCCCGGCCGCCGGAGGAGGGTCCCACATGGCGCGCAGACCTCTCCTGCCGCCCGCTGCTCCCCTCAGCAGTGTACTTCGGTCCTTCTGCCTGCTCTGCTCCCTGCTCTGGCTCTGGTGAATTCTCTCACCCTCCCGTGCTTCTGACTGTACCCAGTGCATGTATCAACAAACAAACAAATAAAGAAATAAATGAAAAACATGCCTCTAAAAAAAAAAAAAAAAAAAAAAAAAAAAAAGAATGAGAAGTCCACAATGAACTACATACTTGTTTGGAGTGAACTAAATATCTTAAAGGGATACCTAGTCAATTATACAATTCACAAAGTCCATGAAGTTAACAAGTAATTCACAAAAGAAGTATAACTAATCTTGGGTACTAGTATAGGCAGGACTTTCTCTCCAAGGTCTTCAAAAGAGGAGCATGGTATCAGGCTGTCAGCAACATTCTGACTGTTGGGAGGGGTCTAGAAGCACCTTTCAAGTCTGAACTGGGATCTTGAAATTTGAGTCTTCCACTTAGTAACAAGTTACTTAAAATTTAGTTTCCTCATTTGTAAAACTAAGCCAATAAATTTCTTGTGAGAAAAAAAGATAACGATAAAGTGCTGTCTAATGCCTGACTTTATCATTATAATTACAATGATGAGTTCATTTAGATGTTTTTTACAATGCTTCTCAGGAAGACATCATAACAAAGCACAACTCAGTAAACTCATTTCTAAGAAGCCCTGTGTGATATACTGAGCTGGATGCATAGTGGGTTTTGGAGCATTCAGAAGTAGATGAACTATGTATATTGATGCCATGTGTGTAAATATTTGTGATAAATTAAATGCATTGATATCAATTAATTAACATTGATGATCAGTGAGCTCAAGATTAGGTTCCCAAATGTCTGGAGTGTGAATGTCCTATGCTGCCTGTTGAGTCAAGATCAATACATCCTAATAAACAATGGAACAATGTTTGGGACAGAAGTCTTTTTGTAAAAAATGAGAATCTGAGAAGGATGTATATCAGCACAGAAAGCACCTCATTTTGGGGAACTAAGTATGCTTCCCCAACAGAGAGCCAGGAGTCTCTTTAGAAAAAGGTTTTAGCAGATAATGTACCAAAAATTCTGCTTCAATTAAGTAAAATTATAAGAAAGCACTCACAGAAACCTAGCTTTGAGGATCGTTATATTTTTATGATAAACCTTTTTTGAAATGTGCTCTAAGGGGCCTCCCCTGGTGGTGCAGCGGTTGAGCGCTGGGCTGTGAAGCTGCCCGCAGCCTCTGCAGCGCCGGTTCAACCTCCGGCAGCTGGCGAGGGTCCCAAGTGACACGAAGACCTCTCCTGCCATGCCCGCTGCTCCCCTCAGCAGTGTATTTCATCAGTCTGCCTGTTCTGCTCCCTGCTCTGGCTCTGGTGAGTTCTCTTACCCTCCTGTACTTCTGACTGTGGCCAGTGCTTGTATAAATAAATAAATAAATCTTTAAAAAAAAAAAAAAAGAAATGTGCTCTAAGGTATCTAAAAAGGGTAAATATCTAAAAAAAAATTGTAGTTTGGTACAGGCATCATAATACATTTGAAAGTTGGGTATGTTTAACAAGAACAATATCCTCATTACCAAATAATTGATTTCTCATTCTTATTTCTGTCACTAATTTGGGCCAATAGTGTGTTCCAGCCAATTCTCAATTGAGAAAATAAAACCATATGATTTGGCTGTTAAAAAATGATTCCTAGGCCTCCCCTGGTGGTGCAGGTGGTTGAATGCAGTGCTATGAAGCTGTCTGCAGCCTCTGTAGCGCGGGTTCGATCCCCGCCAGCCGGCGAGAAGCCCACATGGTGCGGCAGACCTTAGTTAGTATGTAGTTCTTCAGCTAAGTCTGTGGAGCAAATAAAAACTTCAAGTCACCTATGTTATACCCAGTAATTCATCAGAGAGATAGAAGTGCAAGATTATTAGATAGTAATCACATCGAAATAGCTGTTAAGGTCATTACTACTAGTATTACTAGTGCTACTACTATTACTACTAATGATGGAGTTTTTAATTGGGATTAGCTTTACTTGATTTCTTTTGCTCTATGAGCTTTGTTGACTAAGTCTCTGCTTCTTAATCTTGACTATAGATTTGACTCACTGGGGAGCTTTAAAAAACCATAGATGCTGAGGTTTTTCTGCAGAGAGCCTGATGTTTATTTTGAGGTTGGTTTCCTTTCAAAAACTCCTCATATGATCCTAATGAACATATGGACTGAGAACCACTGAGTAGTGTAATGCAGTGGAAAGGTTCCAGGCTCTGGAAGCTGCCTGAGAAATTGGAACTCATCCTCTTGTTCTCATTAGCACTGAGTGATGACTCTTCTGGGGTTACCTTGCTGGCGACACTTCTGGTCTGAGCAATGAGTTCTCGGATCCTCCGGATGCTGGCAGAAACATTGCTTGCAGGCCGCTTCTGCTCGACTGTACGAAGCTGGTCCAGGAGCTGAGGGACAACTTCTGACAGATTTCTTACTGCAGTTAATAAAAATTTATCACTGTAGGGTAAGGAAAAATGTCAGGCATTTCTGCCCTCCCACCATCAGGATAGATGACGGAACCCTGCGGTCCTGAATGCATGCCTGATGGCAGGCACCTGGAATAGGGTGTGGGCATAGGTAGATGGGATTCACCTGGGCTGAGACTGGGCTTTTAAGGGCGGTGTCACAGGGACGCCAGCAGAAGCCGAAGCCGAGAGAAGGCCAGAGAGCCCATAGAGTGAAGACCTGCTGGGGGCTGGGAGGCCTGCCAGCCCCTCAGCCTCCCAGCACCCCTGCCTGCTGTGTTCCAGGTAAATCCCAATAAAAGACCTGCAAAAACCACTGAGGGCTCCAAGGACTCCTCCTTTACCCGGTCTGCTGGATATTAGAAAACCTGCACCGTGTCCATTCCTGCCCCTACAATCACTTGTGTCAATAGCACAATATTAATATATTTTAGGAATCAGATGAAGGGGCAACAAATATATGGTTACTTTTGGTAGAAGTATAAGAAGTGATTTTTAATCCTGCAAAATTATGCCCAAAGCATAATCAATTCCTATGTTGTGGGTTTATAATACATACTGGCCTATAAACTGTATTTAGAGGGGCCTCCCCAGTGGCGCAGTGGTTGAGCGCTGGGTTGCGAAGCTGCCCACAGCCTCTGCAGTGCCAGCTTGATCCCTGGCCACTGAGTGAGGGTCCCACATGGCGCGCAGACCTCCCCTGCCGTGCCCTCTGCTCCCCTCAGCAGTGTACCTCGTCAGTCTGTCTGTTCTGCTCCCTGCTCTGGCTCTGGTGAATTCTCTCACCCTCCTGCACTTCTGACTGTACCCAATACTTACATAAATAAATAAATCTTTTAAAAAAAACCAAAACTGTATTTAGAGCAAGCGGACTTTTAATATACATTTCTAAAGGGCAGGGTCCATGACAGATGTCTCTTTTACCATACAGCAAATGGTGCTTTTTGAGTTTTGAATGTAACTGAAATAGCAGCTCAAAAGAATGTAGTGCAAAAGGAGGTAGAAAGGGTGTTTTCCAGGATGTCCATCACATATCACATTGCTGCTGCTTCTATGGTCTGCAGGTGGAGCTAAATGAAGGAAACAAGGTAGCACCAAGAAAAGTGGTGGTTTTGCCCAGGTGAGGGCAGGCAGCCAGAGTCTATGGGCCCAGACAAGGATGATGGTACAAGTTTTTTTTTTAAAAAAACAAACTATATAATGCACATATGGAGCAGAGCACAAATCATAAAACTACAGCTTGCTGAGAGAAACCCAAAGCACAGAGAAGGGCATAAATCTCTCTGAAATTTGAATGACTGGGTGGTTCCCTGACCATCAGTATAAGTTTCACTTAGGGACTGTATTAGAAAGACAAATTCTCTTACCCCGTCCCAAATCTATTGATTCAGAAACTCTGGGGGGTGGGGTTGGGCTTGGGGTTAGGAGTGGGGCTGCTGGACCCAATGGTTTGAGAACTGCAGCACCAGAGAATTAATATGTTCTGGGTGTTTTTTCCTACTAAGGGCAGGGCCTCACTAAGTATCAGCAGCTGGGCAAGAGCAAGCCTCTAATTGGAGTTCCCTGAACTCATTCAAGGACTACGTCAGTGAGTCAAGGAACCATCTTTTATCTCTACTTAGGGGATGAGGTGGAATGGAATTAAATAGGATAATAGCAACTATCAGTTTATTTTATTGATTAGTATTGCTATATAAGCAAAAATTCATTGTTGGGATTACAGACTGCAAAAGCCATTTTATAATGTAATAGTCTTTAAATATATAGTATATTTTACTTATATAAAATAAAGCATATTTAAAGCATCATATTAATTTTGACTATGGAAATGTATAGAAACCAGCATACTTTATCCTTAATTCTCTTAGCAAAAGGGAAACATCTTATATTTAAGTCTTTACAAGTCTTATATTTTGTTATGTTTTTTAATTTATTTTGTTATGAACCACAAAATGTCATTGAGGAAAACATAGTAGTCTGAAGTTATTTTAGTTGGTGTGACTTTTGGATGCTTATTGGAATCACTGGAATAAAAATCACTGGGGAATAAAGAATGAAAATAAATAAACCAGATTTAATAAATATTCATATAACCCAGATTAAATAAATATTCATGAGGCAATATCTTTATAAATGAAAATATTGGATGTCATATAGGCAAATCTTTTATAAATCAAATTTAAAATCAATTGAGAAGTTCATTAATTGAAAGGTAAGGACATCTCTTAAAATTGAGATGTAAGGATACTTGAAATTTTTACAAATATAAAAGACATATCTTCGTGTTATGGGAATGGATATTTATGATTCTGGATAAAATTTCTAGTAATAGGCAAATAACAGAGAGATTCATAAAGCCATTTCTTAACTCAGATGGAAGAAGGCAATATGGTCTCCAAAGTCATGCAGAGAACTGAAAATTCTAGTTATGACTGAGACATTGATATTTAAGATGAAGAAATTGAAGAAAAACACGAAACTGTAAAAAGGAAATTTCTCAAAAAATATGTAATTTTAACGTACATGCGTAACTAAATAAATTAGTTAGGCATCAAAATATTGCGTTGCTATAAATCTGTATATTCAAGTTGGTCAACACCATTTTTAATGGGAAGCTTGAGTTTACTTTGGCCATAGTTAGTACTTGTTGGTAATAACTTGGGTGAAAACAATGCTATGTAGTCAAAACAATGCCATTAAGTATTTTTTTCCCTAAACACAAATCAATATTTTGTTAAGATTATTGAATCTTAGATGTGAATGAGCTTCTTTCAAGGATCAGTCTTACATTGATAAAAACATGTTTTTCCATTACTTCACACAGAAATAAATGACTTTACCAATACAGATGAACTGAGCAAAAGATTTTCTCCTTTTCTAAGTTAATGTTTGCAATAGTCCAAACTAAAACCCAAAAGAAGAAAATTGCTTTTTAATAAAAAAAATGTGCATCATTTAATGGCTAATTCCTCAACTGGATGCAAACTGCAACATCCTTAGGCATACCTGCATCTCTGGCAGAGTCCACAGCGGTGTTGTAAGCAGAGGAGTCAAAGCTTTGAAGGTTCTGTGACCAGCTGGTTAGATTGCTGGCAAGCGGGTCGGTGATACTTTGGACTTGCTGTGTGGTCTTGTTAGCTTCCTCCAGGGTCAGCTTGGCCTGGCCCAGGCGCTGCTGAGCATCACCTTCACACAGAACACAAGGCTAGTCACTTTGCAGAGGAGGAGGACATTTGCTGGGGACATTGACATCTATTTAATCACTGGGATGAGACAAACTTCAAATTTTGGGCTTTTAAGCTAAACTAAAACTTTTAAATATGTTGATTTGGTATAAGGCACAAGAGTATTGTAGGAAGCATCAATAAGTGAACTTGACTCTAGTCTCATTAAAATTCTTTTCAAATTAAAAGGTAAATTTAACCATAATGCAATCTCACTTCACAATGGTTATTATGAAAAAGTCAAAAAACAATAAGCATTGGCGAGGATTTTTTGGTATTTGCAGTTTCTTTGGTCATCAAAAAATACTTATTTAAAAAAGGTTGATAAGGAATCACCTACTACTTCCTCAAAGGTTTATTTCCACCACTGCCCTCCATCCCAAAGTTTCATTTTAAAAAACAGATGAGTTTTTAGTTCTGTCTGTGATGCTTACCTCTCTCTGCTGCTTGTAACCTCTTGACGGCATCACTTAATCTGTTTTTAAGGGCGCTCTTCCTTGCTAGCGCCCCACCCACACGCCTGGTGGTGTCAGCTACTGCCTCTTCATTGCCTGCAGAGGAGCGGTCAAAACATGGGACCAAGATGCAGGGAAAACGTGTCCACAAGGAAAATTCTTATTGGGCCATGGAGTTATCTGCAATAGTATTCTGAGTCTGATCTGAACATAGAACACTAATTCTGAAAAGTGGCCTTTCAATTAAGAGGTATAGAATGGCAGGAAACTGGTAACAGTTTGGGGAGGGATTTAGGATGCCATAAATTTACTCATAAAAGCTATAGAATTAATGGCTAATTTCTTTGATTAGAAAATGAAGTGCTGCTGTGACAAATGACACCTAGGAACACCATTTACAAAAAGCTGAAAAGATTGATCTCTATTTGTGGCAATGACTGGTTATATAAGAATAAATCCATTTTTCTGAACTGTTTTAATAAAATTTTAGTCACTAAAACACACATTATAAGCACACAGCTTGATGAATTTTCACAAATTACTGCAAAGTATGTAAAGAAAAAACATTATTAACACCTTCATGGCTCTCTGCGTTCTCTAAGATTATCCAGAGGGGACCACTACTCTGAATTCTATCTCCATCTGTTAGTAGTATCTATTTTTAAACTTTATTCAAAAGAAATGATCAGTATTATAAATTTTAAATTTCATTTATATCTGTCTTGATTTCTGTAGATTTGTAACTCGATATATATTGAAGTCTTCCAGCTTTATTTTTTTTTAAAGATTTATTTTTATTTACTGATGCATACAAAAACTGGGGTATAGGCCAGGTGTAGGGGGTGAGAGGATTCGCCAGAGACAGAGTGGGGAGTAGAACAGGCAGATCTACTGAAATACACTGCTGAGGGGAGCAGCAGGCGAGACAGGAGAGGTCTGCTGTGCCATGTGGGTTAGATCCCTGGCAGGGGATCCAACTCATGCTGATGCTGCAGTGGCTGGTGATAGCTTGATAGGGTTGAGACTTTAACCCCTGTGCCACCATGGAGGGCCTCCAGCTTTATTTTTATCCTTCAAGATTGTGCTGACTATGCTTCCCTGCCCCCTATTTACATAAAATTTCTAGAACCATCCTGTATATTTACATAGAGTTCTGACACTTCAATTGATACCACACTGAGTCTAAAGATAAATTTGGGAAAATGATCATTTTTATAAATTTGTGTCTTCTACTTAATGTAGTTTTAATTTATTCTTCTTTAGAACTAAAATTTCAGTTTGATCTTTATTTAGATGATATTTAATTTCTTTTAGTTATGTATTATAACTTCATGTGTAGAGATCTTAGCATTGTTCATCAGATTTTATTTCAAGTTTTTTTATGCAGCTGCAAATGGTATTATTTTTAAAAGTTAATTTCTAATTGTGCATAGCCTAAAACTGAATTTTTATGTATTTGGAAACTTTGCTCAAAATAGGAGAAAGAAAATCCATTTTAGGTTGGATGTTTATAAGAATAGTTTAATAAAAATGTGTCCAATTTGGAAATTATGATCTGACATTAACATTTTTCACTTTACAAGTTAAATCAGTGGCAGATTCCTTTAAACAAGAGCTTCCTGACTTTATTTTAGATTGTTAACTATTTGATATAAATAATGAAGACAAGTCAAGCCTGGTAAAAAAGGTTACTGGTAATAGAAAGTTATTTGGAAATGAATTAATAGTAATATGAAATTTCATTACAACTGAGTTCAATTAACAGTAATCTGAAATTATAATGTAGTCCAGTAGATGAATATAATTCAAATTGAAAATCTGAATTCATGCCACAAAGCATGTGCATGAATAAGGTCAATCAAGTCCCGAGTCACACAGTCCTTACACCCTGCAGGTATCCCTTTTGTTGATAAATATATGAAGGAATTTAACTGAACCAGATCATGAAATAAGTGATCAGATACGCAAAGTGTTCAGAGATTTATCTGCACATAAAATGTGAGACTTCCGGGTCCTCCCTGGTCACGCGGCGGTTGAGCGCTGGTTGAGAAGCTGCCTGCAGCCTCTGCAGTGCCAGTTCGATCCCCAGCTGCTCCCCAGCCACCGGAGGAGGGTCCCACATGGTGCGCAGACCTCTCCTGCCACATGCTGCTCCCCTCAGCAGGTACTTCGGTCCTTCTGCCTGCTCTGCTCCCCGCTCTGGCTCTGGTGAATTCTCTCACCCTCCCGCGCTTCTGACTGTACCCAGTGCTTATATAAATAAATAAATAATCTTAAAAAAAAAAAAGTGAGACTTCGAAGAGCTTTCATTAGAAAGAAAGAAAAGAATTGAAAAGTCACTTGACTATTCTGAATAGAAAAGTCACTTTCATGAGGCTTAATAACTTTATAATGACAAGACTGAGAAAACACATTACAAATGATCAAGTAGAAAAAAATATATGTCACCATGTCATGAAGACCCACTTATTCTGGTCTTCATATCACAAGAAACAAAAGCAATATACAAATATGGCAGCACTTATTTTAAAATATTTTCTATTAGTATGCCAATTCTTTATCACTAATTTCCTATTTCTTTTCTAAAGACTGTTGAAATTAGACTAATACAATAAACTGATTAGACATAAATTGATTAGAATAGAGAATCTAAATAACATTTTTATTGCCTTTGTTTATCCAGAAAATATAAAACAGAATTGATTTATGTTAATTATTTAAATATCCTGCATCTGGAAAACAAAATGCATTTCTTCTCCATATAGTAACACTTAAAAGAAGATGCATGGTTAGATTTGCAATTAAATGCTTTTATGAAATTACATGAAATTTTTAGTATCCAATTTGATCTTTGCCTTTAGGGAAAAGTTAGAACCTAGATAATGGATTTGAGATCTCATTAGTCAATACCTGAATATCTTTAAGAATGAGATATCAGCTCAGCAATAAGCAATGTTGGTTGAAATTCTTAGTTAATTCAATTGTTTTTAATAATAATTCATAAGATTCAAAATTGACTAAAATGATTTTACTTTCTTTCATCCTCACTCTAGGACGGAGCTTGCTTTAGGAGGAGCAAAAACTGGCTTTTGGAAAGGCTTCTTTCCATATGGTCATTAGATTTGCCCTGATTACCATAAATAATGTATAACACTAGCCACAAGAAAGTGCATATAACCAGAAGGTTCTGTGTTATTATGACCTCCTGATTCTCACAGAGAGGACCCATCCCTTCAAGGTAAAAATTTAAAGAGACTTCTGAATTTTGCAAGAAAGATTTAATTATATGTATTATAGTTTTAGTATTTAATGTATTTTATAGCATTATCATCTTAAAAATTGGTATTTATGGGAAATTACTAGGAATTTGTCAATTTAATTCACAAGACTATTCATCATATCTTGAATAAATATGTGTCTCCACACTATTTCAGTACTTGAAAATTTTTTTAAATCACACTTTACTTAAACATATCCAATTGTTGCTTTTTTAAATATCCTGACTCTGAACAGAAACTATTAACATTATTCAATTGAAATATCATTTATTCCTTAATCCTAAAATTGAATCCTATGTACATGCAGAAGTACTGTGTGAAAGGAAGTAGCTATAAATGAGAAGGAAGGTAGGAAAGTGAGGATACTTACTAGAATCTGCCCTTGCTTGCAGTTCTCTGGCTTGACGGAGGAGGTTCTCGCTTTCATCTTTGTGGTAAATGATTTGAGTATCAATCCCACTCACAGCCTACAGAGGAATTGGGTGCAGAGAGAGTAAGATTAACAGCAGAAGAAATCATCTTTTTTTTATGACTTCTGGATTTAAATGACTTAGTTTATCTGTTAAACACCAGAGCAAAATTCATACAGCAGCATTTTCATATCTCAACATCAAGGTCAAATGTGAACATGAGAGAATAATGTCCTTGGCATTTTCAAGATTAATGCTTTTTCTGAGGAAAAGTCAGTGAGCTTAAAACAATGCTGGCCAGGGACTCACAATAGTACTTGGCATGTAGAAGCCCTTCAATAAATAATTTGGGGGTTGAAAAAATTTGAGTAAATGCATAAAGTATCTTGTCTATCAGCAGGAAGTAGTTTTATTATGTATTAGTCAGGGGCTTTTGGCTTTTGAAAGCTGTCAAAGGACTTGGCATTTGTTGTGTGGAGTGTGGCACATTTTAAAGAACTTGCACTACTTCATAAGATAAATAAAATGAACTTTTCTTAGTTCTGCCCTTTCTACTATTTGTATCAGAAGCTCAAAAAATGACATTAGAAAACAGAAAAGGCATTAATTTGGGGAAAGGCAATATATAGATGAATTTTAAAATAAGGTAATACTCACATCGTAAATTCGGTCAGTGATGTTCAAAGCCAATTCTGCTGATTCACTTGCTTCACTAATATAATTGGCAATATTTTCATAGACATTTGAAGCATCCAAAGCCTTCTGGACCAGCCCATTCATATCTGAACTGTGCAAATTCCTGTTAATAAATAAACCTGTCGTTACTTCTCCTTACTTCCTTGGGAAATGGAGCCTTTCTCAGCACTTGGTTTTAATACTTCTGGGGTCACAGGGACTCTCTTCCTTGTATTCATGCACAGAAGGGTTTAGAGAAGGTATGTTTGGGGAAGTATCAGTGGGAAGCAGTGACTAGAATTATAAAAGGGTGATAAAGAGAGTCAGGATGGATCTCAAGAACAATATTCTACCAAATACAGCATATTGTCAAAACAGTATTTATCTAAACTCCATTTTATTGGTTCTATCAAAAGCACACTTTCTGGGGGCATAACTGAGTTAAATATAAATCCATCTCACAAGATTTTTAATGACTGATCTCTCTGTCTCTCCCCCAGCCTCCCAGACACATTTTCTCTCTCATTCTTTTATTCTCTCTCTCAGTTTTTAGGCGATATGGAAGGATGCTTGAAAATTTTGGTAATCAGAAATAAAAAGTGACTTAAGTTTTGAACAGAAGTTAATATTGGCTTTTATTTTGTTCATGACTTTTATTGTTCCTTATCTTTAATTACCAGATTTGTAGACTTTCTCTATAGCTATCATGTTATTTAGCTATTATTTCAGGGTCATGAATTCAAATCCAACCTTTCAGTACATTTCAATTACATTGAGTGCCCAAAGGGTGCATGACTTGCTTCTAGATGCTGTGAGGAAAATTGTCAATTGATTTTCCCTTAACAGGTGTTGAACTCAAATAGTTCCTGCTAGGTGCAGTGGAGTATCTAGAGTATTTACCAAAGTCAGATGTGTTGCCAGCTTCCAGCCAGCTTTATTTAAGATACTTGGTTGTGGAAAGCTAATGCTGTCTATGAAATAAATACATGATGATGTTAGAATCAGATGTAAAGAGATCTGATTTATTGATATGTTTTGATATATAACTTCTGCCTTTAGACCAATATAAAGGCACTTTGCCTTTACCAAAATGCATTAGGTCATCCCATTAATAACTGTGGAATAGAATCCCCCCCCCAACACAGTTCTCTAATCTGACAGATTTTTTTATGATTAAAAATTGTCTCCTCAAAGCAATAATAATGAGCAATGATCGACTGACCAAGCAACCAAGAAACAAATCCAACCCTAATAGCAACTGGCTAACCTGGATCCCAGTAATTCTGACATGTGAAATTGGAATAAAGATACCTGAGTCAGCCTATGTAGATATTTGCATTCCAAACCTAGGATGTTACCTGTTCAGTTCATCAGCCTCTTGTTGAAGGTTTTGTGCATGGTCAATAGCTTCTTGGACTAAATCAGGACTGAGGTTACTCAGGTTGGATAACTTTCCTTGTAGCTCAGTTTTGGCTCCATCTATTTCAGCATAAATCCCTGATACATTCTAAAGAAAATATTTTTTAAATGAATTTAATTTAGAAGAAGTTATTTTATTTTTATTTTTTAATTTTTACGTAATTGTTCATTTTTAAATAATATCTGCTTCGGGCCTCCCTGGTGGTACAAGGGGTTAAGCACCACACTATGAAGCAATCCGCAGCCTCCGCAGCATAAGTTCGATCCCCGGCCGGCCACAGAGAAACCCACACAGCGAATCACACCTCTCTTATCTTGACCACTGCTCCCCTCAGCAGTGTATTCCAATCAGTCTGCCTGTTCCGTTCCCCACTCTGTCTCTGGCGAATCCTATTATCCGCGCCCCCCCCCCCCGCATTTCTGGCCTGTACCCCAGCTCTTGTATGCATAAATAAATAAATCTTTAAAAAAATAAATAATATTTGTTTCCCCCCACACCCTCAGGTGTAGTCCCCATAAAATTTCCTTCACCTATGCACCTGTGCACCATCACCTCAGTCCCCTGTGTTCCTCCCTCCCTCCCTCTGATCCCTCTCCCTTCTCCTCCCCTGCATTATGTCTGTGATAATTTAGAAGAATTTAAAGCGGGCCTCCCTGGTGGTAAAACGGGTTAAGCGCAGCACTATGAAGCTATCTGCAGCCTCTGCAGCATGAGTTTGATCCCTAGCCAGCTAGGGAGATACCCACATGGCACAGCAGACCTCTCCTGTCTCACCCACTGCTCCCCTCAGCAGTGTTTTCAGTCAGTCTGCCTGTTCTGTTCCCCACTCTGTCTCTGGAAAATCCTCTTGCCCTCCCGCACCTCTGGACTATACCCCAGGTTTGTATGCATAAATAAATAAATCTTTATAAAAAAAGAATTTAAAGCATATTTTCCTGGAAGCATCAAAAGATAATATCTATTCTTCCTTCAGTAAATTTCAGGTTAGGTCTATTTCGCTCGCATCTTCAAATCCTTCTCCTCTACTGATTGCTTCCTTGGCATTCAGACATGCACTGCCATCTCTGATCTGAAAACAAAATAAATGAAGCTAAATACACTTAGCTTCTGGGACACTGACCATTCCAGGTCTCCTAGGAATGAACACTGACTAGAAAGGAAAACATAACATTTGGTGTTCCTCAGGACTTAGCTCTGTCCTCTCTCTTACTGCTTGCTCTCTTAGAACCCAGTCTTTCAATCGTCTAATCCATTCTCTACTAACATACAGGAATGGTGATTTTTCTTTTAAGCATATCTGATCATGCTATTTCCTGTCTTAAAATCAGCCAATTGCTTTGTAGGCTCAAATCCAATTACTTAACATGGTTTCATTCACTGACCCCTCCTCTCTCATCATTTTCATCATTTCTTACTACCTCCCATCCCACTATACTCCATGGTCTAAACCTGACCGATTGTTGACTTTAAGTTCCATTATTATTTTTGGCTCTGGTCCTTGCATATACATTTTCCTTGTCTGGAATACCTTTCCTTTCTCTTCTGTTTGATCCATCTGGAAAATTTTTATTTATATTTCTGAATTCAGCTAAAATATCACTTCCTTTATGAATCAATCTCCAATCTCCCCAAAATAGCGTAGTGTTGCCACATATTTTCTTTTATACACCCATCACATCATGCTAATCCTTTCACTTGAGTATTACACTCACCAGAACATACAATCCTGGGAGGCAGAAACTATGTTTAATTTATTCTTGAATTTCCAGAATATAACACAGATCCTAGCACATAGGATTTGTTTTTATGGAGACAGTTTTAAGCCTCTAACATTAGGTTGGTCATCTGAGGAAAAAACTTTAAAATAAATTGTTTTTAATTATATAGGCAGATAAAGTACTGTTGACATTCTACTTTTCCTCTATTCAGTCAACAAATATTCATTGGGTGTCTACCATGTGACAAGCATTCTTACAAGAGATAGAATACATAGTTATAAACACAGTCTCTACTCTCAACTAATTTACAGTCCAGTGAGAAAATATGGATAATGATAAATCAAATAAGTGAGCAAGCTAATTTCAGGTAATAAAAACTATTTTGAATGAAATACAAAAGGTAAATGGGTTGGAGAGTGATTGAAGATAAGAGACCCACTTGGATTAAATGTTCACAATCAGTCTTTTGAAGATCTGAGGATAGCGGTTGCAAAGGTCCTCCTGAGGCAAGAAAAAGTATGGTGTGTTTGAAAAATAAAGTGGAGTAGGAGTGTAACAAAGAGGCGTGGGCTTGAATTTAGTGGGTGAGGGAGAGAGTGTAGTATAAGGTCAGAGACCTGGGCTAGATTCAGGTCACTTACAGCCTCATGGGACATATAGTAAGACAAGCTTGTTTCTTACATTAAAGGTCACTGCAGGTTATATGTAAGAGAAATAATGTAATCTGATCTGATTTTAAAAGATTGTTCTGCTATTGCATGAGCCTTGAGGGCAAGAGTGGAGGCAAATAATGAGCTGGAGGCTTTCATGGCAGTCTGCCCTGGAGGTGAGGTGACTCAGATAAAAGAGTAACAGTAGAGAAGAGGGTAGGGGCAGAAATCAGGATCTGTTTTGGACATAGTGCAGGTATATTTTGCTGAAATGAAAGTGAGGAAAAGGAAAAGTCAAGAATGACCCTAGAGCTTTGATTTGAGCTATTGGGTTGTGGCACTTTCTGAGACAGGCGAGACTAGGAAAAAGGGTTTTATTCAAGACATGTTATGTTTGATATGCCTATTACACATGTAAGTGGTAGATGAAACTGTGATTTTGCTATATACCACACGGAGTTTTATTTGAAAACATTAAGCATTTGGATTGAGGAGTTTGGAATTCAGTGGAGGTATCTGAGCTGGAGGTAGAATCCTGAGCTGCAGGTAATTGTTTTTTAAAGCCATGAGATTCAGTGGGATCGACGAGGGCAATATAGATGTAGATTTGGCAGATTTGAGGAAGAAAGATGAGGGGAGATGTTTATGTTCCAGTAAAGCAAGAAGAAAATTACTAGCTGAAAATGATAGATGGAGAGGTGAGTTCTCTGCCAGTTGTGTTGGCTACTCTGGTTGGTCACAAGACTGGGGATGTTTGACTTCACTGAGGATGTGAATACTCAGGTGAGTATCAAAGGAGAATAGATAGATATGGAAGATAAGGGTGTTTGCAAAGAATGATTATATTATATTGATATTTTTAGCCATTTAAGTAGGGAGGAGAAGATTTTAGAGGAGTGAGGTAAATGAGATGAAGAAGGTTTCAATGGGGCCAGAGAACTGTTGGGAAGGGCATTCTAGTGTAAGTGAGTTAAGAAGATAGAATTCAAGGAGAGAGGTACTTGAAACTACGATTTGGGAGGAAGTACCAATAATGAAGGCAAGACATGGGTATGGGCATGGGACTGATAATAGAGGTGAACTGGAAGAAAAGCTTGTTGGACACAATTCAAGGAGATGAAGGCCTGAGAGCTGGTTAGCTCATCCATTTGGATTTTGATGTTACCAAGGAGAGTGATGGGAATGGGGATAGAGGAGAAAAGAGGAAATTTGGTGCTGAAATTATCAAAGGATAAGATAGTGATCAGATAACTTTGAAATGATATCCATTCGAAGGTAGTAAAAATGAGCTAAGAGTAATCTCAGGAAGGCTTTGCTCACTGCATTTTATGGAAAATTTCTGCTGTATAAATGTGACATTTATTGATTTTTTAAAAAAAGATTTATTTATTTATTTATACAAGAGTTGGGGTACTGGCCAGAGGCGAGGGAGGGTGAGAGGATTCACCAGAGACAGAGTGGGGAGCAGAACCAGCAGACTGACTGAAATACACTGCTGAGGGGAGTAGCGGGGGTGACAGGAGAGGTCTGTCGCACCATGTAGGAATCTCCCTGGCCAGCCAGGAATCGAACCAGCACTGCAGAGGCTGCGAACATCTTCACAGCACTGCGCTCAACCTGCTGCGCCACCAGGGAGGCCCCATTTATTGATTTTGAATGTAAGCTTTATTAAACACACAGTTTAATGAGTAAAGAGTGAGTAGGATGGACATAGATTTGTACTTCGAATAGAACTTTCTGTAATGGTATCTGTGCTGTCCAATATAGCTGCCACTAGACACATGTGGTACTATTGAGCACTTGAAATGTGGCTAATGTGGCTGAGGAAGTAAAGTTTAAATTTTTTTCATTTTAAGTAATCTAAATTTAAATTGAGTAGCCATATATGACTAGTAGCTACTGTATAAGGAAAGAAACTGAAAAAAAGTCTTCTGGCCTTATTTTTACATCAGCTGACTTGATATGTTTGAATTGGATTTGATTATTCTTCATGACACTGAGTCACTGACCCAATATGCTATAAATACAAACCTGAGCAAGTCACACATGGGTCCTTACCTTTATTATATCATCAAATTCTGATAGGGTCAGATAAGAAATTTCCATAGAGTCTGAAGACGTCTGCAGAGAAGTGTTCACTCCTTCCACCTGCTCACCTACTCTCCCGTATTGTTTCTACAGGAAGGAAGTCAGGGGAGAGAGAGAAGTTCACTTCAGATAAAGCACCAGGGTGAGTGGCACATGTCAACTTGTGGTCACTGCATTCAGATGAATTCAAGTTCCTATCCTAACACCACCACCTGAAAGCAGTGTGACTTTGGGAAACTCTACCAGACTGATGCTGTTTCTTTTTAAATGTGGAGATAACAAAAGTAAGTACTATGGGAGCTTTGAAATACTTAGTTGTACTTCATCTCCAATATCATCATCTCAAAAGAGTTAACTATCCAAAGAGGACCCTGGACTCTTCTCCATAAATGCAAAGTGAGTCTAAGGGTATAGGATTGAATGTAAGGCCAATGTTTACAGTAGTAGGAAATGAATTAATTCAAAAAAGCATTTATTATGTGCTAACTTTGAACCAGGCATGAATAGCTCATTTCAGCAGGAAGAAAACACATAAAACAATGTTAGAGTCCCTTTACAATTTTTAAATGGCCCTGTTGTCAAAGCATATGATGTGATCTTGCTGCATGGCACTCTGAGCTATATGTTAGGTCATCAGACTTTATGAGAACAGAAATTGTCTAAGTTCTAATAGAGTTTTTGATAAATGACTTAATTTTTATACTCCTCTTTGGATTCTAAAGACAGGGATGTTGTGATTCTTGAAGAAATATTATGGAGCTTCAAATGTGTTCGGTATTTGAAAGCAACACAGTATGAAATTTTAGGAGGGAAAAGTGATGTGAATCAAAATGAGTTGAAGTTACTTTAAAAATGGTTATTTAAATTGGAGTTGAAATATGTAAGCTATCATATCATCTAGGATGTCATGGAAATAATTATAGACTAGCTATGGAACGTATTTTAAAGCTTTCTAAGTTCACTGTAACATCCTTTATTACTCCCTGCAGCCTTTCCTGATTTAGTGGGAAGGAAGCATGGAACTCATATTCTCTAAACACATTGCTACAGGGAAGAGAAAGGTCAAGGAACAGAAAAGAATCCCATTGGAACATCTCTTAATGCAAGAACATTAAAAAAAATCAATTTTTCCTCTATACCCATCAAGCTTAATACAGTATGACTATCTGGGGTTAATTATTCTTATCACCACACAAAAAGCTATGTTTTAAAGCAGGTATATTAAAATATCTAAGGAAGGGAAGTTAAAAAAAAAAGGTTTGTATTAGTTAGCTCTCTCAGAGCAGTTTCCTTTTACAGAGTCCGAGATATGACCCCTTTGCCTAGTATCTGGGTTTCCTTATGGGAATGTTGCTAACACCCTGAGGTCATAACCACACTTCAAAGTTATGTGAAAGTAGCACTGCATGATAAGTTCATTTGCAATAGCTAGAAAACAGCATCGTCCAAGTTCCCCCACTTACATGTAATGTTAGACAGAGATGAATACAATTAACTTTGAAACCAGTGAAGATATATCCATAGAAAATTTCAATTTCAATAAAAGAAAGTCTCAGAAACTAATAACTAAGAAAATCACATTGTTAGCACTATTCAGCATGCTTCAGTATTCAAGCTCAGCCTGCTCCATATAAGTCACATATCGAAACAGATTATCTGACTCACTTGGAGAAGCAACATACCTATATACATGGACACAACCCCCAGGTACAGTTAAGTTCTTATTATTGCAAGAACTAAACTGTTAGAAAGTTTCAACTAGATTTTACATGCACACAAAAATTAACAACTACTGTGTCAAAAAGTGCAAGTATCTAAAAAAAATAAATATTTAAATATACTGGTATTAAAAAATTGTATATCAGCTTTCCTTCTTGATTTAATTTGACATTGTCTATGCCTGAAATGCATTTTTAATTAGTGAGCACTATACCTCGTGCTCCCGCTGCCTGGCCACTGTAGCCCTGTTCATGTCTTCCGCATCCCGGATACGGTCAAGGGCCTGGTCAAGTGATTCCTGGAGGTCTGACAGCTTAGCATTGTAGTCATCCAGTTGCTCCAGAACAACAGGAAACAGAGAGCGAGTGTCATTGTAGAGTCGCTGCCAACTCTCAGCCTGGCTCAACACTAGGAAGAAAAGATATAGAGTCTCATCTGGGCTTCTCTTATCTCCTCCATCCAGCATTTGGCAAACATACAAACGTGTCTGACTATGCCTCCTTCAGCAATAGAGATTAATATTGTTCACAAAAATAGCCTTACATTTTATATTTGAAGAAAAATAATTCTTTTTTGTAGGATTTGAGTTCCTGGACAATACTCAGCAAAAAGAAAGGTTTGATTAGTTTTCCCACTGAGATTATGTTTTATGTTGAAACCATGCCATTATATTATGCTTATTATTACCCAGGTTATTAATTATTTTGTCAAATAAAGGAGTTTTGGATATATTGATAGTAAGTCTTACTATTAAAAATAATAAAAATAAATCTTTCCGTTACTGACAAATGATGTTCACAATCACTTACTCTCTGGATCCTCTGCAGACAACTGTTTCTAGTTAGTTCCTTTAGGTAAAACCAAAATCATTACTTTGGGTGGAAAGAAAATTACATGGCAATGATAAATTCTTAAATTTGGTATGTATCTTAAATTCTTTGACCAAAGGTACATGCATTGGCAATATGCCTTAATTCTATTTTCTCCAGGAAATATCAGTCTGTCTTGCTAAGGTCCTGTATTTTTTTCTTATTAATGTGAGCAAAAGATATAGTTTCTTTACTGAGTAAAGAAAATGGTTGAAAATGCATTCGGTAGGTAGAAGAGGGTTAAATGGGAGATATAATTGTTAAAGTAGACAAGGGTCTTGGAAGCCTCTGCCTGTGACCTCAGAGCTCCAGCTTTCTTGACTGTTGACCTCATCCTCCTTAGAAATGGGGTTTAATGGGCCTCCGAGGTGGCGCAGTGGTTGAGCGCTGGGTTGCGAGGCTGCCCGCAGCCTCTGCAGCACTGGCTGGATTCCCAGCTGCTCCCTGGCCACCGGAGGAGGGTCCCACATGGCACGCAGACCTCTCCTGCCACCCTCTGCTCCCCTCAGCGGTGTACTTCAGTCCTTCTGCCTGATCTGCTACCTGCTCTGGCTCTGGTGAATTCTCTCACCCTCCTGCGCTTCTGACTGTATCCAGTGCTTGTATAAATAAATAAATAAATAAATCTTAAAAAATAAAATAAAAGGTATTTAAAAAAGAAAGAAATGGGGTCTAAGGTTTGTACTTTACTTCTTATTTATTCAAGACTTTTTGTTTTTGCTATTGCAATTTGCTTTTATGTCAAGAAGAATAGTCTTCAGAGTATCATAATACCGTTAGCGGAAGTTGATAGTGACAATTGTAGGAAAATAACTATGTAGATATGTTCTAAACCTTTTTGTTTCATGGGCTCCTTTTGCAATCTAGCAAAGCCTTCAACCCCTTCTTAAAATATTTTTAAACACAAATGCCACAGAATGAAAAAAGAGACCAATATATTTAAAAAAAGTTGGCAATATAATAGTATATGTACTTCTTTGTTAATGCATTGAATAACAAAATCTAGAGGTGGGGTCAATAACTGCTATGATTTCAATTATTGATTCACTTAATGTTATAAGTTAAAATGTGTAATATGCAAAATATGTAAATCTGTGGTCTCTTTTGTTGATTGTATAGATTAAAATGGACAGTGTACTTCGGTCCTTCTGCCTGCTCTGCTCCCTGCTCTGGCTCTGGTGAATTCTCTCACCCTCCTGTGCTTCTGACTGTACCCAGTGCATGTATAAACAAAAACAAACAAATCATGCCTGGACACAAATTCTTTGTAATTTTTCTCCATCAAAAATGGAGTCTGCTTTCTTATTACCTGTCTCTGGACTGGTCTTCATGAATAGGATGGGTAAAGATTTCATTGAGTTCCAAGACTCGAGAGACCCTTCATTTTCCATCTTACCCTCTTCAAAGGCTATCACTGCATGAACAATCTGGGCAAGTCTCCTTCAGGGTGACACCCACGTGCAGTATGAGACCCAGTCATTCCAGTGAAGGCCCCAGACATTGAGTGAGCTAAGCCCATGTCATATGGAGCAGAGAGGAGCTGTCCAGTCCAAAATCCTGGCCCGTAAGATTAAGAACAGACAAATGGCTATTGTTTTAAATGAATACATTTAGAGTGGATTGTTGGTTTTTGATTATTTATACAGTGACCAAGTTATAGGGTCACTAGTATTACTGTATTTGTTGCCTACTTTCATCACTAAAGGCACTATAGCAGGTTCAGAGTTAAAAGTCATTAAGTCATTTATAGATTTCATTAGGTTTCTGGGTTTGTAGCTTTATTTTTCCTCTCAAGATTTCTCTTACTATTCCAGGAATTGGTTCCCTTAGCCTTCTTCTCCCTGTTTTAAATATGTTTATCAACTGCTAAGTCCCAATTTCATCTCAGGACTAAAGGTTCTATAGAATCCCTATGGAATCTCAGTTGTGCCTCAAAAGTTCAAGATTAAGCCTGGATCTCATAATTCTGATTCCCTGTCAAATATAAGTTCTAAATAGCTCTGAATGTTGGGAATGTGCTGCTTTTACCAAATGTTGCCTTGAGACTCTTTGTCCTCTCCAGGCCTCACAAAGAAGGCAGACATGTGCTGGGCATTACACATTGCATACACCTACATTCATGGGCTTCATCTGCCTCCTCATCCACAAGCTCCCGTTGGGTGTAGAATAGTTCACGGTGTCTAATCTCCTCTAGCATCTTCTGAGACAACACCAGCTTCTCAGAGATTTCCTCAGAGCTAAGTTCCTGCTTCTCTCCATAATAGAGCATCTTCTGATTGATCTCTGAAAGGAAAGAACAATGAGAGAAATAAGAGAGAGAGATGACAGGGTATTTTACATTTTTTGCCACTGAAATCACACGTCAGTGAGGACAATGGGCAGTGCTGATCCCACCGTGGAAAAAGAGCTTCACTCAAAGCATATTGAGCTTCATGCTTTGGAAATGGGTTGACCCTGGCAATCACCAAATATTTCAGGGAGAAAGTAAACCTAAGGAAACCACACCACTTCTCTGCTTCCCATTTGGTGTCACCCCCCACCCCCTTTTTTTCAGCAGCACACAGCAAGTTTATTAAGGAAACTGAAGGGGAAAAAGACTTCTACATAGGGCCTCCCCTGGTGGTGCAGCGGTTGAGTGCTGGGCTGCAAAGCTGTCCGCAGCCTCTGCAGCGCCGGCTTGATCCTTGGCTGCCTGCGAGGGTCCCACAGGGCACGCAGACCTCTCCTGGCGTGCCCATTGCTCCCCTCAGCAGTGTATTTCGTCTGTCTGCCTGTCCTGTTCCCCTCTCTGGCTCTGGTGAATTCTCTCACCCTCCCGTGCTTCTGACTGTACCCAGTGCTTATATAAATAAATAAATTAATTAAAAAAAAAGGCTTCTACATAGATACAGGCAGGCAGAGTGCTGCATTTAGAAAGGGGAAGGTTTGCTGAGAAAAAAGAGACACCTGCGTAGATGCAGGTGGGCAATCAGGGTAAGATCTGGCCCCATTTGAAGTCTTCAGAAAGGGAATGGAAGTAATGCAGAGCCTACCCCTGATGCCAGCTGTGGGTGGTTTCCACAGTGAGTTGAGAATGCTAATTAATGCTAACAAATCTGGAGTCTTTGAACAACCTATTATATAAAACACATAGCCTATTGTATGTAGGATGCATTGGAGATATTAATTGTATGTTAGCCAAGAATTTGATCAAGGTTCTAAGCAAAAATGAGAGAATATTGACAGGTATTCAAGAGGGTCTTTTGGATTGCCCCACAGAATGATTTAATTAGAGATGCGTTATAGTATGGTGTGAGTGCTTACATATAGAGAGACATATAGATATCTCAATTCGATTTGCTTTTTGCAGTATGACTACTTGTCAAGATTATGCCTTTTTACCTCTGGGTGATTTTCACCTCATTTCCATCAGCAGGATGGAGTATTTGAAAACTAAAGAGATTTCTGAGGCTCAGAATTAAATGAATTGTCTAAATACTAGTAGACATGAATAGTTCTCTGACTCCCCCGTCCTCTACATGGGATCAGATAAAAGTTATGTAATTGCCATCATGTCCTACAGCAGTTCCAGGAGGAAGATTTTTATCTCCTGGCATAAATGGAATTGAGTGTCTATGGCTTACTACGATCTGTGTGGTTGTCCAGGCAAAATGGGTGAAAAAACAAGAGGGTTACATAAATCAGAACCAGGAAAAGGGCTTGTATTTTATGTTATTTTAGGAATGTCTGGGAATAAGGAATGACACACTATTGGTATATATTATAGCATTCCTGAATTTCTTAGAGGGAGAGAAATGGGGGAAGAGGTTTTTAAAGCTATAACCATTTTTGAGAAAGTTACAGGAAAAACAAAATGGGCTAAAGAAAAAGCTTATAAAGGGATTAAATGTTTGTTTTTAAAGAAAATTATAAAATATGAACCCCTGAAATAAACCAAATGGATTTTTTTTTCCTCAGACCTAGCTCTTACAGTACTGAATTCTTTGGCATTTTGATGCAAATATTATATTTACAATTTTGGTCCATTTTGTTTTAGCCATTTCTGGTATAGATTAGAAAAAGGAAAGGGAAACAATATTTTTGTTTGGTCTTTGGAAACCATTATTTTTATAAGGTTAAAAAAATGAAGGAAATTATTGTTTCCCATTTACATTCCTTTTGACCTATTTTCAACTTTCCTATAATTAGAGGGTCAAATAAGGGGGTTTAGATTCTTTCCAAATAAAATACCCTAGAATCAAATTTTGAGTTACAAAAGCAAAGGGGAATTATTTTCTCTGAATAGCTTACTTGGATGCTGACTATCTACTGCCTTGAGGGGCATTTATTTCTTAATTAGAGGAAGTCAGCTAGCTAATCTAGGTTCCTTTTTGAATAAGTCAATGGTAACTCTAACATGTTATATGAAAGTAATGTTTCATTGATAGATGTAAAAGTGTGAAATAGTAAGAATGGGAGGTGGGGGGCCTCCCTGGTGGCACAAGAGGTTAAGATGCAACCTATGAAGCTGTCCGCAGCCACTGCAGCACGAGTTCGATCCCCAGCCAGGGAGAGATCCACATGGCACAGCAGACCGCTCCTGCCTCGCCTGCTGCTCCCCTCAGCAGCATATTTCAGTCAATCTGCTTGTTCTGTTCCCTGCTCTGTCTCTGATGAATCCTTTCACCCTCCACACCACTGGCCTGTACCCTAGTTCTTGTATGCATAAATAATCTTAAAAAAAAAAAAAGAATGTGAGGTGGGAACATTTGAAATGCATGGCATTTGTTTTTACTGTGTTTTATAGGCACTAAAGGAAATAAAGAAAATGAATAATCTTGGCTCCATATACCCCTTTGCTTGGAATACACCCCCTAAACCTCTGTATAAAGATAAGAATCTCCCACTGTGGCTTCCTTTACTGCCAATGTGCCTTGAGGTGCACTTGATGTTATCTAGTGCTTCATAGTAGGATAAGAAAAACTATGGAAATACAAATACTGCATCTTAGTAGACTGTAACCCAAGGAAATTCTCTTTATCTTGGAACAAATGAAGTTGCTTATTTTCTGTTGGCAAACTGAAGGTTGGCTTTCAGTGCATGCTGAAGATAGCCTTCAAATGCAACTTGCACATATCAGAAGCTAGAACATGAATAAGAAGTGGTCCAAGAGGAAAGGTAAAATTTGCCATGATGCTTTAGGGCAAAGAAACCTCACAGCACAAGCGCCCTCCCTGATTTCCTTCTGGATTAGGGACCAGAGGAGGTTTCCTGCCTGGTCTTAAGAAAGAACATCATTGGGACACTTTAGGGTGATTTAGATTAGTGGGCAGTTATTGCCACTCTAAAGGTAGTGTTTTCTCTGCAAATAAAAAAAAAAACAAACAAAAAACACATGACTCCTACTCAACCATGGCATTTTAAAGACACCAAAGCATGCAATTGACTCTGCCAGAAAGGCACACTATCTTGCTACTTCTGCGAAATGCCTGCAAAGGGAATGATTCTGTATATTTATTCTTGAAAATAAACAGTGGTGAGTAAGGATGAGTGCTCAGAAATGCCAGGTAAACAAACTTGTAGTGAAGACTACATAAGTTTAAACATTCTAGCCACAGTTCATGGTACAGAGTAAGCACTAACAGTAGCCATTATTCAATGGTTGTTAATTGCTTGCCATTAAGCTGAACCAGAAGAGCATACATTTATTTTTTTTTCATTTTTTTCAATAATTTTATTTTTTACATCATTGTTCATTTTTAAACAATATTTGCTTCCCCCTACCCTCAGGTATAGTCCCCATAGAGTTTCCTTTACCAGTGCACCCGTGCACCGGTGCACCATCACCTCAGTCCCCCTGTGCCCTCCCTCCCTCCCTCTAATCCCTCTCCCTCCTCCTCCCCTGCAGGATGTCTCTGATTTATAATTGTCTGTTTTCCCTTTGTTGTGCTTTGTACTGTTATTTTTTTTTATACACTGATGTCTTATTTGGTTCCCCTGTATTCCTGCTATAAGTGAAACCAAGCACTATTTTTCTTTTTTCCTTTGGCTTATTTCACTGAACATAATTCCTTCCTGAAACCATAAAATATACAGAAGAAAATATAGGTAAAACACTACAAGACATACATCTCAAAAACATATTTAAAGATTCATCACACAAAGCAAAGAAAAGCAAGGAAAAGATAAACACCTGGGATTACATCAAACTGAAAAGCTTCTGTGCAGCAAAAGAGACATTGACCAAAACAAAGAGAGACCCCACTGATTGGGAAAAAATCTTTGCGCTCCAGTCAGTTGATAAGGGACTGATCACAAAGATATACAAAGAACTCACACGACTCAACAATCCAGTCAAGAAATGGGCAGAAGAACTTAAAAGACATTGCTCCAAAGAGGAAATGCAAATGGCCAACAGGCAAATGAAAGAATGTTCAACATCCCTTATAATCAGGGAAATGCAAGTCAAAACCACATTGAGATACCACCTGACACCAGTAAGAATGGCACATATCAGAAAAACAAGCAACAACAAATGTTAGCAAGGATGTGGTGAAAAGGGAACTTTCCTACACTGCTGATGGGAGTGCAAACTGGTCCAACCACTATGGAAAGCTGTCTGGAGGTTCCGCAGTCTACTAAAAATTGAGCTGCCATATGACCTGGCAATTCCACTCCTAGGGAATCTACCCAATGGACACAAACACATTGATTCAAAGGAACACCTGTACCCCTATGTTTATTGCAGCATTATTTAAAATAGGTAAAACCTGGAAACAACCCAAATGTCCCAAAATAGATGACTGGATTGAGAAGATGTGGTATATATACACAATGGAATATTATTCAGCAATCAAAAAAGATAAACTCATGCCATTTGCAGCAACATGGATAGAGAACATATATTTATTTACCTTGGATTTTATCTCTCATATGATGGGCTTGCTCTACAAGCTGAGTGGCATGGTTAATGGTATCCATGCTTTCCTTCTGAGCCAGTTGACCCTTTCTTGAGCTTTGAATTTCCTACAAACAATTCATAAAAACACCAGATTAACTTTATGAAAAAGAAATGTATATGTGCTTGCAGGGCTGGATGGGCAAGCTGTAGTCCATCAACATAAATTTCCCTGGCAAGTAAAAGTTCTATAACATAAAATGGTCCCAGGAGTCATGTATGCAGGCTACTGTAATGACCAGCTTTAGAAGTACAGAATACTATAAAATCAGATACTATTCCTAAGCCATCAGTCACAGTTCAGTCCAAACCAACTGCCTTTCATATGTAATTTACCCTTTGAATTTTGACTGTGTCTCAAGATGTCAGACTAAGAAATTACCCATGTCTGCTGATCAGTATGAGATTGTGCTGGTTGACGGGCTTAAAGTTTCAAAGGGAAAACTGATGGGAAAGTAGGCCGATCTTGAAATGCTCCATGCATCCAGTGGCTCCTGGGTGGTCCAACACTGCTGAAGCGGAATCGCCACAGAGCTGTAAAGGATTATGCTCCCTGGCTAAATGCTGTTTTCGGTGCCGCCTTCCAAATTCCCATCAATGCGATGGCACTTGTGTACAAATAACAGCTCGAGCAGATTTGGCTCAGAGTGAGTGGAGCTCTTTTCTGAGAAGCTGACTTCATTTTCTCAGCCTGGAGCTTGATTTCACATAGCATTTGTCAAATTGAAATCCCAACTCAAATACGAATTCTGAAGAAAGGGTGAATGGGTGTGGATATGTGTGTGTGTATTTCTTTCTCTGTGTAATGATAGAAGCTGATCTAAGAAATGGTTCCAGTCCCGGACAATGGCCTTATACACAGTGTGGGGGTATGGACTTCCTTTTGGCATTAGAAAGATTGGTTCATAGGCTATATTTAAGAGGAGGAGGCCGTCTCCAGTCTGGCATTTGGTATGCCCACCAGTCTGGTCTGATGCTTTTTGGGTTCAGTTCTGTAGCAAAGCACTACAGGCCCTGAGTGGGCTGCTGTGTCTTCTACTGCACGGAGCCCTGGTAGACACATTGGAGAGTTTCCCCAGGAAGGAAGTGGGTGTGTCAAATTCTCTCCTTCCATCCAGTGTTCTACCTAGATGATTATGCCATGATTTTACTGGGAATGTTTTTATACTTTCCAAGCATAACCCCAACAAATGACCCTTCAGTGCAGGAAGCAAATGCCGACAGAAACGATATCATAGTAAACACATGCCCCAGGGGTTTTTATTTATTGGGCAAGTTCAAAATCTCTTCCATACAAAGATCCTTGTACAGCAGTAATGCAGCTACTGGTCTCTTCCCTAAACAGGGACTCTCTGAGTGGACACTGCAGTCTGAGTCATTGCATTTCTTCCTCAAATCCTAGTCTTCCTCTTGGCTTGTTCTGATGCTTTTCAGAGACACAAAAATTGTAGGCATTTTAAGATCAGATAATTTGAAAAAAAGTTGATCTTATTCTTTATGTCATCAACTCCTGGCTTTATATATACATATATATTTATATATATATAGAGAGAGAGAGAGTTAATATATAATTTATGTATATATATTATCTACACATGTATGTATATAAACATTCAAAACTTGTTAAAATTTGTCACAAGTTGATTTTTATACAGTTTAAATTGACTTATATTTGCAAAACCTAACACTTTTATTTTTAACTTTGATTCGTCCTTCAAGGGAAAAGGTCTATACTTATTATTGTGTTTATTTAACTTTTTTCTTGATGTGGGAACTTTGATTGAAACAATGAAAGTAAGGTGGAAGATGTCAAAGCTCTAAGAAAACCTCTTCTCTCTGACCAGCAGAGGGGTGTGAGTGTGTGTGTGTGTATTAAAAGTATATATATACATATATATATATATAAAGACCATGACAAAGTATAGCATGTATTACTTTAAATTGCAAAATTACTAGGTATAATATGTAGTGTTGCCTTATCTGAATGTGTTATTTTTTCCTGTCACTTTATTTATAGAGGGTAAATAATGATATGGGCACATGATAAATAGGTGTACCTCGTTTTAAGGAAATCTGAAATTAAAAAATAACTTCACAACTTTAAATCAGTTGATGGTTTATATTGTGAATGAATGAATTATTTACCAACCTCACAGTGAGTTCTCCTGTACATGTCTGATATAAAAAGTAGTAAGAATTTTTTTGTTATAACAAAGCATTCTAGTATGTAGAATACTAATGGTTAAAATATCAACCAATGGGCCTCCCCGGTGGCGCAGCGGTTGAGCGCTGGGTTGCGAAGCTGCCCGCAGCCTCTGCAGTGCCGGTTCGATCCCTGGCTGCTCCCTGGCCACCGGAGGAGGGTCCCACATGGCGCGCAGACCTCTCCTGCCGCCCGCTGCTCCCCTCAGCAGTGTACTTCGGTCCTTCTGCCTGTTCTGCTCCCCGCTCTGGCCCTGGTGAATTCTCTCACCCTCCCACACTTCTGACTGTACCCAGTGCTTAAATAAATAAATAAATAAATAAATATTTAAAAAAAATCAACAGAATAAGTGAGGATGATTATGAATATCTAGGGTGATATACTTTATTGTTTAAAATAGGACACTCTCCATAGTAAAAGGAGAAACATCTAATAGTCACTTCAGGAGACAAGCATGAACAGGCATAGTGCTGAAAGAACACTAGTAAGAATGTTTGTGTGCCATTTCAGAATCTCTGCAGTGACACCTACTTCTGTTGCTTTACCTAGTCCCTAAACATTAATGACATCCAAGTATCTTTCCAGCCTTGATTTCTTCTTTGACTCAAATCTTGAATCATCCTCTGTGCATCTCACACTTAACTGTCCAGAGTAATCAAATCTCTGTCTTTAGCCTTAGCCATCCATTTCTGCAAGACTGAGCTTCCCTCTTTGCTACTTCACATACTGAGTTGGTCACTAAGTTCTTTTAATTTACTTGCCATTCTGCCCTCTTCCTGTTTCCTACTACCTCAGCCTCAGTTTATCCCCTTTCAAATGAAGACAAGGTAGCAATCAAGACTCTTCTCTGGACAATTGCAGCTCACTGGAATTATCCCTTGCTTGGAAGTACTTGATAATCTTCTAGTTATTCTTCAATACACAGGGCAATAATCTTGAAGAAGACTTTCGTAAAGGACCCTGCTTGAAGAGTTAATTATTACTTCTTAATCTCTTTAGCCTGTACCATGCTTCTATTATTGAATACTGTGTTGCAATTATTTTTTTATATCTCTGTTTTCTCTACTAGACTGTGAGTCCCTTGAGAGCAGGGAACTTTTTATATTCCTTTCAGCACCCTTAGCACCTACCATAATCATGATGTGTGAACCAAAGCTTTTGTAATTCAAATATTCTAATTTTTTTTTTATTAATACAAGAGCTGGGGTACAGTCCAGAGTCGCGGGAGGGTAAGAGGATTCACCAGAGACAGAGCGGGGAGCAGATCAGGCAGACTGAAAACACTGCTGAGGGGCGCAGCAGGCGAGACAGGAGCGGTCTATGGTGCCATGTGTGATTCTCCCTGGCTGGCTGGGAATCGAACAGGCGCTGCAGAGGCTGCGGACAGCTTCACAGCGCGGCGTTCAACCCGCTGCACCACCAGGGAGGCCCCAAACATTCTAATTTTTGTCATGCTTTTTTCTTAGGATTGGAGATGAGGCTAGGGTGCTTTTAATGTAGGGTGCTTTCAATCCTAAAGCTCTCTTTGTGTACATTGAATGCAGGGAGATTTTGCTGTGGCTGAAGGAGTCGGGAGGAGAGCAAGGTGATGGAGACATGGAGAAGATGGTGCAGCACCATCCTGCTACTTGTAGATGGGGCTCAGGGCACGGGCTCCACAGTGTACCTTCAAGCCAAGAAGGCAAGGGACAGCACTAACATTGGGAGAAGACCACCACCTTCACTTTTGCTCATAGGCTGTTACTCTCTGACTTTGAACATGGTGGTTCAGAACATGGGAGAGGGGATCTGGACATGCAGTCTTTGGCACTCCCATTATAGGCATGATCAGCAAAGGTAAAAGTGAGGCCCTTTTAAGCAGTGGCTGTGAACATACATTCATACTTGGCATGTGGGCAGCTATTTAGGGAGTTTCCAGAAGCAGGGGGTGGGCAGAGGCTCTAGGATTTACCAAAAGGAGCAAGAGGACTTGGAATATGATGGTTGGAACAAAACCAATAACTTTAGCTTGATGTCCATTGCGAGATTTGGGTCACATGACATTCAGGTGATTTGCAAACAGATTGTAAAAGGCAACATTATTGTGATTTTTTTTTTTTAAATCACTGTGAGACTCCACGGGGAAATCTTTCATTCTATTTAAGCTCAATATTAATTATTTTCTTGATAGAAGCTTCTCTGCGACAAAGCTTTTCTTGAATCCTCTAAGAATAAATTATGGACTTTACTAGACTAAGGACTTCATGGATGCCCAAGGAGTTATTAAGACCAGCACTGGCTATTTGTTTTGAAATGTTTCAGCAGATTCTTGCACCATCAGAGCATTATTTTGAATAAGAATCAATGGAGGGCCTCCCTGCTTGTGCAAGGGGTTAAGCACAGCACTGTGAACATATCCGCAGCCTCTGCAGCACAAGTTCCATCCCCGGCCTGCCAGGGAGCTACCCACATGGTGCAGCAGACCTCTCCTATCTTGCCCGCTGCTCTCCTCAGCAGTGTATTTCAGTAGATCTGCCTGTTCTGCTCCCCACTCTGTCTCTGGTGAATCCTCTCACCACCCACACCTCTGGCCTATACCTTGGTTCTTGTATGCATAAATAAATAAATATTAAAAAAAAGAATCAATGGAAACAGCTGGGTGAACATTCTAGTAACTTAATCATCAATCTTCTGCTTTGGTGGCCTACTGTTGCCTGGGAGTATTTTTACACTGTGATGTCGCCTTCAGCTTGCAGTATTTCCTCCCTTTGAAAGCCTGCATTTAAATATTTTGGAGGTAGGAAATTTGTACAACAAAAAGATCAGTAATTCTATGTCTGAGTTGTCAGAGAAACTAATCTTGGCTGAGACACACTTGGCAAGTTCCAACCATGACTGAAATGAAATAAAAATGACTTTTCACAAAGATTTCTTTCTTGGAATTTCCTTTGAAACTTAAGAACTCTTGCTGCTCTTAAGTGCTCCTGGTTGGATTAATAGGCACCATTGCATGGGAAGGAAGAATACGATTTTCATACGCATTTCAAAATAGTTGAAAGTCCAGTTAGAATAATTCACAATTTTAGAAGCATAGTATCTTAAAAAGTTTAAGAGGTCCAAGACAAAAAGAGATTATCAAAATTATTTTAAACTTTGTTTTTGAGAAAATGAAAATTGTTTTGAAAAGTACTACAACAGTTTATAGTATTAAACACTAGTGTCTGACAGAAAAATTTTCAAAGCACTCTGCATAGCACCAGTGGTGCATACTTTGCAAAAAAAAAGTTAAAACACTTTAATTTGCTAAGTATGGTGCCTTGAGAATTATTTGTGTTTTCATTAGTACAAAGGAAAGATATTTTTCCATTAGGTTTTGGGGAGTGTATTTAATAGTTTTCCCTTCAACACTGTCCACGTTTCACTATTTTTCTTGTTAGTTTGTGAGAGCTTTTACAAGTCATATTTCCCTCAATGTTTTCCTTAATCTACTTTATGCTTTCACTTACTTAGTAAATGTTTTACTGGTTATTTGAAATTTTATCTTGTCAGACCCATTATCTTTTTCTATTATAATTCCTCATGTTATCTTTAAGTGTATTAAATATACACTGAAATTCAGGGTTTAAAATCACTAACTTCTATTTTCTTGTGAATCTGAAATCTAAACTAAAATCTTTAACTTATCTAGAATTTATTTTAGTGCATGGTATGTATTGAGGGTTGAAAGTGATTATTTTTCCTGCCAAACTACAAAATTTCCTTCTCAGTATAATTTCTCTTTTTTCCTTTCATTAATTAATACATCTCTTAGCAAACATTTCAATGTTGTGTTCTATAGAATAGAGTTTATTTCTGAGTGCTCTATGACTTTTCACTATAAAATGCTAGATATAATTGTCTGTGGAGGTGAATTATGGGTGAGTTGATGGTGGATTACTATGGTGGTAAAAACCTGATGGGGGTACCTCAATGTTATGTTATCTCAGTTAAAAATAAATAAATAAGCTAAGGTAAACAGTCAAATGACTACCCTGATTAGAATATATACCCACCATATTAATCAGAAGCAAATACATTGAAAATGCCCATCAACAGTTTTTCAAGGAAACTAATCAAAAGTGGAAGAAATGCCATAGACCAACAATGTTAACTTTCTCCACAGAACTTGCCTTGATTTATTTTAATGACACATGAATCACTGCATTTTTTTTCCTGGACAATGTTAAGCCTCAGTTTTTTTTTGAGTAGCTGGACTCACATCAGTAAAATCCTTTCTCTCAAGGTGTCCCAGAAACCGAATACATACCTTTTTAGCTAATTCCTCCACGTCAGACAGAAGGCTTTTTATTGTGTTCTCAGCATTGTTGATTTGTATCTTTCTTAGGACATACTGGTTTTCTCTTTCTGACAATTTTGTCTGTGGAAAAAGTTGTTTTGAAAAAATCAGCAGATGTGCACACCAGGTTTGTAAAGCTATACATAAAACTCTTTCACTGTAAGAAGACAGTATAAAGTGTGAGCCTCTGTTCCCAAAAATAATGGTTCTCGGGCTGCTGCTGCAGGCTGGCATGAAGGCTGGGGTCTGTGGGAGAGCACGTAGGGCTCTGGGGGCTGAATTCTGTGAGCTCTGCTCAGCAGCCTGAGATCCTGGCCTGGACAGTGCTGGCCATGTAGGAAGGACACCCTTTTCTTTTTTTTTTTTTTTAAGATTTATTTATTTATGCATACACAAACCGGGGCATGGGCCAGAGGTGTGGGGGGGTGAGAGGATTCACCAGAAACAGAGTGGGGAGCAGAACAGGCAGACTGACTGAAATAAACTGCTGAGGGGAGTAGTGGGTGAGTCAGGAGATGTCTGCAGTGCCATGTGGCTCACCTCCCTGGCCAGGGATTGAACTCGTGCTGTAGCGGCTGTGGATAGCTTCATAGGTTGCATCTTAACCCTTTGCGCCCCCAGCGAGGCTCAGAACAGGTAAGTTTAGACAAGAATAATTCCTAAGAATGCTTGCTTAGGATAATTACTGAGCATGCGCACTATGAGTCCATTCAGCTCTATAATTTCCCATTTTTTTTTTTATACTTTGATATTGGGTCAATATCACTGCCAAAAATTATATCATTTGGCTATAATAGAAAGTCCATGATTTAAAGGGGAAAAGAAATCACACCTCTTAGATAAGCTTAGCTATATAAGCACTTTTTTTTTTTTGACTGTAGCCTGCCTTGAATGCATTTATTAGATATTAACTATTAGACTTATGAGGAGAAACAGCAAGTCTCTGTTGAATGTGTGCATAAGTGTGGGGAAATGAGAGAAGGAAAGGTAAGGGCAGGAGAGAGGGAGGGAGTGTATGTGTGTTTGAGAGAGAGAGAGAGAAGTTTCTAGGGAAATTCCTCAAAATACTAGGCTAAGGTAATGGTAAGTTTGTGGCAATGACAATAATGAATGTACAACTTCACCATGGAAATAAGTCTTTCTCTTCCCTAAATAGCTTTGTACACAGATGCTAGTTTTTCAGTCACTTATTTTCCAAATTATTCTCTTTTATAGATGGCAGATCCTGGTTTAGACTGAAGCTCATGGTTGTAATAATCTGTAGTACAGCACTGGGCTCAGATACTATCAGAGAAAGGTATTAATTATTCGGAATAACCCTGTGAAAACAGAATAAAAATACACAGAAGGCACAACATTCCTGCATACTTTGAGGCGGTAGATGGTGGAGTTGATTTCATTCACATGCCTATGAGCAGCAGCACCAGATGACACACTCAGCAGACCCGACTTGCTTTCTTCAATGGAGAGTGCCGCCAACCGAAGGTCATCAGTCAGATCCCAGATGCATTTATCACAGCCTGGGGGAAAATCGGGCATGTCATTTCTTCAAAAGCAAAAGTTAACTGGAAAGCATGCCACTTTAAGTAGAGTGTTATGTGCACTTCTTTGGTTAGTATTATTTCTATTTTTGGTTTTGGAGGAGCTATTCTGGGACACATAACTAGTCCTTACACTCAAAGTGGAGGAGAGTCTAAGATGAGCCAAGCTCTGCATAAGACATTATTCCTGCTTGAAACATAACAAAGAACAAACAACATATGCAGCAGGAAAGTTCCTGCCTAAGAAAGAAGGGAAGCACAAAAGGGCAAGGCATCTAAGAGATGAGTGGGTAAGCAGAAGCCTTGTGCACTTTTCTTCAGTGTGGGACAGCCCACTGGGATGTCTCTCTTCATGTCTGGCTTTGGTCTTTGGCTTGGTTTCTACTGGGGAAGACAGCTATTTGCTAGGCACCCCTATTTTCCAATGACCTTTTCTGACCTGAGTTGTGACTCAGGTCCCAGTGCTGTGCCTTTGCATCATCCAGGGGTGGTTCAGTGCCTCCCCATGACCTGACCCCGTCTGGACAACCTCCACTGTAGCAGCAGGGGGGTCTGTAAAATACCCTGTTTATGAGCATGGTTCCCTGCTATCTGACAACGGTGCCAAAGGTCTGTTTGAACCTGGGCGCACAGTGAGGTAGGTCGTGGGCATTTTACATTTGTATTACACATTTGAGTTCCTCTGCCCACTGTCATCACCCCCAGGGACCAAGTGCCTTCCTGTGGGACATGGACTGGAGGATATGCTGTGAAACCTGTCTGACTGCTCTCTGAAACTACCCTGTTCCCAATCTTTCCTTCAGACTGTACCTTCTTTCAGAGAATGGAGACATGGATTTTTAGGTGTTAATGGTTGTTAATATGTTAATTTGTTATTTGAAGTTTAACATGGTCTTACTTGTCTGCTCTCTCAAAAGAATGACTCCTGAGTCAGGACATCTGGCCGCTGGTAAAGATGTGTGGGTTCAGGCAGGCACCTTGATATCCTTCTAGAGATCTTAGGAAGGTACCACCTGTGCTATCAGTGCGTAAATTTTGCTCTGTTGTGCCTCCCATCCTCCCCTGTCTTCTTAGATGTGATATTTTGGTAGCATTAATCTCTTGTGTCCAGATGGACTAGGGTGCTAAGATAATTTAGTTTGGGGAAGATGAATACTTAATATTAAAAAATAGTATTTAAACCACTCTACTTAAAGGCAAATATTACTACTGCTGTCACGATAGAAGGGTTTCTTAAGCAAAGCTTTTCTTTAATCCTTCTAAGAAACAATCTTGAATTTTTCTAGGCTTGAGAAGTCATTAAGATTGGCCCTGGGCATTTGTTTTGAAATGCAACAGGTATTGGCCCTATCAAGACTACTTGTGATTTGATTGACAGGAGTAACAGAAAAATTCAGGTGGGTAAAAAATGATGGCAGCTCCATTTCCTAACACCTGAATATTTTATTTCCTGTGTCACTTCAGATTTGGAGTGATTTGAGAAAAGCCTTAAATCTCTTTATATCCCAGTTTCCCAGTACAGCATTGCTGTTTCTCATATAATCTGAGGACCTGAGGGGAAAAAGGAACTAAAATGACCATAGTCATTGGGAGTTATATTTCTGACTTTGCCTTTACCCACTAGATAAGATATTGAATTTAGAAATTTGATAAAATACATTTTCCAAAATAGAGGTGTTTAAATGTGAATCACCTATTTGCCTATTGGAATCAAGGAGACTACGGAATATCTTATGTGCGGGTTTCATTTGGTTGAGGCACAAACAGAGTTAAAGCCAGGGGTGGGACTCAGGTTTTCTAGAGAGAGGCTTTTACATAGCTCTTCTTAATCCTACACCTGTAGCACATTAGAGAAAGTGGGGTTAGTCAATCATGTACTGTTATTTTTACTTATGGTTGGGCAGTCCATGCCTGTACGGGCTTCAAAACCTTCCTCCAAGCATTCTCCGGTTACACTGTCACACGGGCCTCCCCCACAATTGCACACTGTGGGAAACAAAAGCAAGAGATTAGGGATTCATTTCTTAATGCTTAAAATATGGCAATGTTTTTACAGTTTCTGGAAATACTATTAGTATATAATTCTTCAATGGGGATTAATTACATTCTTTTTTAAGACTATGTGGAATCTGTGATGTTCCTCTTGTAATTAAGGCCCAGTCCAGAGAAATTTTCAAAGTGACTGTAGGGTCAGGAATGGACACAGAGCAGGTTTTCTGATCCAGCAGACTGGGTAAAGGAGGAGTCAGAGTCCTCAGTGGCTTTTGCAGGCTTTTATTGGGATTTACCTGGTACACAGCAGGCAAGGTTGCTGGGGGGCCAGGAGGCTGGGGGGCCATGAGGCTGGCAGGCCTACCAGCCCCCAGCAAGTCTTCACTCTATCTGGGCTCTCCGGCCTTCTCTCATGTTCTCTCTTTTTCGTCTCTCGGCTTCTCTGCTCCTTTCTCGGCTTCTGTTTGTTCTTGGCTTCTGTTGGCTTCCCCGTGACGCCACCCTTAAAAGCGCCATCTTAGCCAGGTGAATCCCATCTACATATGCCCACACTCTACTCCAGGTGCCTGCCATCAGGCATACATCCAGGACCGCAAGGATTCATCATCTATCCTGATGGCGGGAGGGCAGAAAAGCCTGACACATTTTCCTTACCCTACAGCGACTTTGGATCAAAAGTGAATCTAAATTTTCTAGAGGACTCTTCTCCCCATTTTTGGGGGACTCTGACATGATTGTGCATCTACTTCAGTCCAAAAAACCTCCTGGGAAATTGTACCAGGTACAAGACAATCACAGAGCCCATCATTCAATTGGAGTCATCACAGGCTGATTCTTCAGCTGAATCTAACTCCAGGGTTGATCTTTGCCAGATACGAGGGAGGAGCAGCTCAGGGAGGAGTGAGGGAGGAGTCCCAAGAGCCATTCCTGGCTCCCACAGCACTCATTTGGCAAGGCTGACTCCAAACCTCCAAATAACTATCTCTGGGATAACTGGGGATAATATCATAGAATGAACAACAGATTTATGTACATTTAGATCTGAGAGTTCCTTAGTATCAATGATTTTCCAGAAAGCCTTTTGGAAAAATAAACAAACAAATCCTAATCTCATCAAACTATTTTCCACTAAGTTTAGGAATGGAAATTAATTTGTGACATTTAAAAAGGATTTCCTAAGCTAGCAATGAGCTGGAATAGAATTCTGAATTTCCTCCCACTTCTTCACTGTCTTTTCAGAATAATCATAAAAAATTAGCTTCAAGGGAGACATTTATTATATTTCAGCTGTTTAATGTTCCACAAAATGTAGATTTATTAAACAATTCAGCAAGATCATGCTTTATTGCTTCATCCTTAGAGTCTCTGGCATCTATACAATTTAAACCCAAGTGTGTAAATGTTGTGAGAATCAGGATGTCAACATTTAAGGTATCAGTTCTGCCAACGCTTGTTCTGGGACCTGCTTTCTCTCTGTTTCGACGGACTGGACGCAGACCTCTTCTCTTCTTTCTTTTATCCCTGGTGTTAAGCCTCTGTGAGCATGACTTTTCAATAGACAAGTTTACTTTTATTGTGACATCTGAAGATCACATGTGCTTCCTCCTCATTTTTAAACTTTTCACTTCTTTAAATGGGAATCGGTCTCAGTGAGAGGGTTTTCAATAGAAATTTAGTGCAATGGCCAGATCCCTTTTCCTTGCCCTTTATCTCCTCAGAGTCACAAAAGAATAAGAAATATTCAATCTCAGCCTTCCTTTATTCCTCAAGGAAGAAAGCTTAACTTTACTTCTGAAGAGTTTCACTTTATATAGTAAATGGATTGATGAAATCATGTATAAAATTTGTCCATTTCAGCTTCAGCTGTGGAGGTTTCTTATACTATCCCTGAAATACCCTATTTCAAGAAATTATGGGGAGGAGATGGTGATTGAATTCTACCCTGGGCTTAGTAATTTATTTTCCTCAAGTGTCATTTCACCAAATATAAATGAAAAAAGGGACTTAGTTTTCAGAATAAGCAAACTGATGTGAATCACACAAGCTTTCATTCAGTCTTTGGTCAAAAATAGGTAATCTACAGAAGTTGGATTTTTTTTTTGACCAAAATTGGATGAATATAAAATAAGAGTTCATTTGTGTTAATATCTTATGGTTTATTCTCCCCATAAACTAAATCACAGTAGTTGTTTCGATAAAAATATTTATCTCTGGTGAGTTTGGCTTGACCTTCCTAGAATGTACATTGCTCTTTCAAAGTGACACAATTTCCTCATGATACATTCATCTCAAATCAGTGTTGATAGAGGATCTTCTCTTATCACACACCTGCTGGCCAGTAGCTGACCTTGGATTTCTAGTACTGTACCTGCACAGTTCTTGGCTATCCTGGCATCCCCATAGTAACCAGGGGCACAGCGTTCACACTTGAATCCGGTTGTGTTGCGGAGACAATTCCTGCACTGGCCGGTGACCTCATCACAGTCTTCAAAGATTAGGTTGGGATCTGAATTTCCACTGCAGTCACATTTCTTACAGGTGCTTCCGATCAGCAAGGGGTTACCATAGTAACCGGGAGCACATCTGAAGGGAATCACATGTTAAAATTTAACAGCTGTAATGTTCCTTCCTTTTAATTTTCTTTCCTATCTAGAAGAAAGTATAAGAAATATTTGTGAATTACTCTCCCAGAGTTTATTCTTACCCTCCTATGTTCCTAAGGACAAGGCTTTGCTTTCAGGGAACCACTCCTGGCCATCGTTACAGCCCACTTTGTTCAGCCAGAGGTGAGTGTCTGGATATAACTAGTGTGTGAACATTTTTGGTCTTCCCAAAATGAGGTGCAGAGCTGGCATATGAGGAGAGGTATCAGTTGTGCTAAAATGTACTTCAGATGTACCACCAGGGCACAGCTAAGCATTATCCTGGATAAAATGTTAATCACGTTTTTTCTTTAGAAATATTGCCTAATCACCATCCAATAACCTAAACTGAATTGATTAGAGTCTGGCATTGTCCTGACCAAAATGGACTGACTCAGGGGTGATTCAACTGGAGTTGAGCTTGGAGCACTTGTGGGAAGCATTTTTCCCATTTCTGATAGGGAGACAGACAATACTCTTAGCTGCTGGCAGCTGGTTATGACTGGGAGATGAGAGGATAAAGGACAGACAGAGAATACAGCCATACTTCTGGATGTTTTAGATATATGAGCCTACAAAGACCAGACACCTAAGTATGTGTATTGGGGGGGTGTTGAGGGGGGCTGTGGTGCCTATGGTCATGCCACTGGCTCCTCAGTGAGAAAGTTCAGCCTAGTTGGATAGAGGAGACTGAAATCCATCTAGTCTGTGCTGGTCTTGCCAAGCTGTGCACTCTGGGTGGAGCCGTTTCTGCTCAGAGGAAGAAATGCCTTTCTCTGTGCCCTGTGAGTCACCAGAGGCCATGCTATGAGTGGTGGGAACACAGGCCCCATCTAAGGGCGCAGTCGCTACTCAGCTCCTGTTAACTGTCACCAGACTGTATAGCCTTGAGGGGATGAGAGACTCATCTGGTCAAATCTTTCTATTTTTTTTTTTTAAAGTGGTTGAAATTTGGATACTGATGTGAAACGTCAATATTTAAAGGTTAGCTCAGTTTTTACAAGAATACTTCATGAGCCAAACTATGCATTTGCTGACTGGCTATGACCCCGTCTCTGCTATGGTCCTTCAATTAGTGTTGGAAATTGGTGAAGATGCTTTGGGAGTGGCTGGAAAGAATGTGTGATCACATCCTCATGGGATTGAAGGACAGGCACAGGAATGAGTTCTCACATAGAGAAAAAGAAAGAGAGTCAGTGAAGATTCTGAGAGCCATAAAAGAGGTTGTGCGGGTTGGGCAGGCTGGAAGGGGGAGACCCTGTTGAGGTGCGGAGGGCCAGGGCTGGGCCGTTGGCTTTGGGAGTGGAAAGGAAGGGAGGATTTTCCAAGGAAATCACTACAACCTGGCCAGTAATAATAAGACATTGCATTTTAAAATGTTTTCCATTTTAATTAAGGGAATTATCTGAAAAATAGAGAACCTAAAGAAAATTCACACCTCTAATCTCAGGACACCAACAAAATCACCATTGAAAGTTCGGTTTAACCAGAGACACACTACAGTGGTGGGGTGGAGTGAAGGGAGGATTAGGGTCAAAATAAGGGGGGATGGGAATTGTATGGAAAATATAACCAAGATCAAAATGAATATATTGTGCAGAAATGAAAAATGATGTAAAAATATATATATAATAAGATAGAGTTTGGTTTAAGTTCTTCAATCTTTAATTTCTATGTCTCTGTCTTTTTTTCATGCATTTGTAATGAAGATATATGTTCATTCTTTACACCCTTTACTTGTATTACATCTCATGGTTTTCTTTAGTGACTAACTTTCATTATTATAAACACTGGGGGCTTGACCTCATAGGCCTGGCATTCTGAGGTTGAAGGGTAATTTTGGTTTCCCAGGATCACAGACCTTATAACCCTGATGTTCTTCCCTTCACTCCACCCTGGACCACACTGTGGCTTCTAGAAATGAATGAGTGAATTCATCCAACAGAAAGGACAATTCATGTCTATTTTATGTAAGGCATGGAAGGAGACAGGAAAAGGAAAAACACACAGCCCTCTCTGAAAGATCAGGAAATGAATTAATCACAATTATACATTATAGTATCAAGAGTTCTAGACGCTGAGGCTGTACATACAAATGAGACCCATATTTTGAAAAGATTTTATAGAGATGTGCAAGTTCAGAAATATATATCAAAACCATAGAGTAGATGCAACTTAACTGGGGCAACTTAACAACTTGGCTGTTAAACTTAAAAAAAAAAAAACAACCCTCTTATTCCCAGAGTCAAATACAAATCAAAAGCAGAAGTGTCATTTCCTTTTGGATGTTCTGGCCCCTCTGTGAGGAAGAAATTACGTTTCTAGCACTCTTTTGAAGAGCCTTTGCTTGTCCTTTCACTCAGAATTTCCATGTTTCTTCCTTGTAATGAAAGGTTTTCAGGTTTGTCCCCCCTTCCATCCTTGATTTTCACTGAAGCAAGGGACCAAGTCTTAGATGTATCAAACTCCTACTCCCATGACCAATTTACTTGTGTGGTCATTTCCATTTTGAGGAACAGTTCCCTGGACAGTAGGATAAATTTTTAATATAAACTACCTCAGTGGACAGGTAGTGGATGGGAAAGAGAAAGAGACAGAACCAAAAAAGTTGCTCTGAGTGACAGCTCCCATACAACAGACTGAAAGGCCTCAGAAGGGACACTTGCTTCCAGCTCCTGTGTAGACATGGGCTCCTATCAAAGGGCATCTGGTAACAGATAACCAAATTTTCCTCTGCATATCAGAGCCTCATCATCAATTAATTGTCAAAGTTTAAAATAAAAACCCTTAGGAAGTCATTTGGAAAAAGCAATGTTGGGGCAGGGAAAGAACTGAGGTTTTTAATTCAAACTGGTCCCCAATTAGCAGAGATGGGATTTGTCTAAAGTCCCTTAGCCTCAGTTTCCTCATTTGCAAAATGACAAAATTGTAACCTCCTCTCAGGTGGTTATGAAGCCGAGAGAGAAAGAATGTAAAGCAATGATGACACAAGAGACATGCAGTAAAGGGCACTATTTAACTTAAAGCCTCAATTTCTATCAGTGGAAAATGAGATTCAGGGAAATGAGTTCAGTTATCCAGGAACACATTATGCCAGGACCACAATTACTCATACTGTCACCAGCTGATTTTTATTAAGCCTTTATTAAGCACCAGGGGCCATAGTAAAAACTTGACCGCATAACCTCACAATAGCCCTGTGAGGTGAATATTTCCATTTTTACCACTATGGAAATGTGAAAATTGTCACTTGGAAGTCAAATAACTTGCTCAGGAGGATCACAAAGGACTGGAGATGAAATACAAACTCAACCAGGCCAAGACTAAATCTCAACACTCTTATTTCCAGCTCTCAAACTAGTGTTCTCATCTCAGAACCAATCTTGATCATTTCAGGTAAAGATAAGCAGTACATCTGACTCAGGCTAACTGGGCAGTGGATTTTCTGAGGACCCTTTGATGTGGGCTGGGCCAGGGGGCTATATCAATCATAGCCCATGTCTAAGGCGGGCGTGTTGTCCTGTGCCAGGCCCCTGCTATTGCTGACAGAGCCCTTTGCTGCACTGCTGTCTGATTTTGCTGAGTCCTTGCTCACTTCAGCTCACTTCAATTCTGAGAGGCCTTGCACTTGATCAGCAAGGCTCTATTTAAGGCCATTCATCCCTTCACTCAAACCATCCTGTCCCCATTAGCTGGTGATGGTGCTCCATCTTTATCAGACCAAACTGAGTTTAACCTAGACACTGAAGGGAAAGAAGTCCAGCCCTGGGGGCTTCCTAGGGGCGCAAGTGGTAAAGACGCAAACTATGAAGCTATCCACAGCCACTGCAGTACAAGTTCAATCCTGGGCCAGCCAGGGAGCAACCCACATGACGCAGCAGACCTCTCCTGTCTTGCCCGCTGCTCCCCTCAGCAGTGTATTTCAGTCAAGCTGCCTGTTCTGTTCCCCACTCTGTTTCTGGTGAGTCCTCTCACCCCCTGCACCTCTGGCCCGTACCCTAGTTCTTGTAATAAATAAATAAATCTTTAAAAAAAAAAAAAGAACTCCAGGGCCTCTCCGGTGGCGCAGCGGTTGAACGACGCACCGCGAAGCTGTCCGCAGCCTCTGCAGCACCAGTTCGATTCCACGCCAGCCAGGGCGAACCCCACATGGTGCTGCAGACCTCTGCTGCCCCGCCCACTGCTCCTGTCAGCAGTGTCTTCGGTCTGTCTGCCTGTTCTGCTCCCCGCTCTGGCTCTGGTGAATTCTCTCACCCTCCCATGCTTCTGAACTGTACCCCAGTTCTTGTATGAATAAATAAATAAATCTTTAAAAAAAAAAAAAAAGAACTCCAGCCCTGACTGTCCTCTAACACCCCCTCTAGAGAGTCAGAAAATGAATAAATCGGGTATCTCATATTCCTAGGTCCCCGTCAGGAAATACAGAATGAGTGTGTCCCGGACATTAATCAGCTGAAGCTAACCTGATCATCTGTAGCTGTCCCCCCACAGGATGAAATCCATGGGGCACCTCAGCTTTCACTTACTTTCTTCTTTCCTTGGAGCAAGGAGTCAAAATCATAATAGCCATGCCCTGGAGTACAGAGATTTTCTCTGTACCACAAATACTGTGCTTTTTCAAAAGAACTCCGGAACTCCTTTTTTTGAGAGATGGAGGATGTTTTTTTTTTAGAGGTGAGATGAGAAGTCATATAATTTCAGGCTTATACTTCCAGCCCCAGGCAGCACTGAGAGCCACCTCAGGTTGTCAGATGGGCGTGTGCTGTTGTGAGGTGAGCACACTGCGGGTGTTGCCTTGGAAGTAGACTGGCTCTTCCTGGCTGTCTTTACGACACCACATATCATTTCAGGCCTAAATATAATGCTGACACCAGTGAAAATGGCATTTCTGTTAAAAACAAGAAGCCCTCTCCATGAGACTCTATCAGAGGAAGCAGCTTTACCTTAGAACAGTGAATGGCTGACAGGTGGGGAGAATGGGAAATGTCTCACCAGGAAATCACTCTATGAAGCCCTGCACTGCACTGAGTGACCCTTAGTCACCAGGCCTTTCTTATTTGAGCAAACCCACAGCCAATTTAAAAAGAGTATTAGGTGTAAACACCAGACAGATTTGAAAATCTAAACTCATGAAATCTGTTTACTTTCCAGGAGAGGAGATGACATAAAAAATGGCTTAATTAGTAGGTTAAATAATACAGGTCAGTGCTTTTTTCAGTTTATTCCTCTATGAGCTGACAGTAGATTGGATTTACTTTTTATTCACCTAAGATACTTCTCTCTGCTTCATTTTGTTTGAATATTAATTGCACTACTGGTTCTCAGTGATAGAGAGAAGAGAGGACTGTTATCAAAGCCTTGTAGAGACTTTCAAAATACTCATAGCCATTTGTTCTTTCCAGGCCTATTTGTCCTGAGAGGGGACTCTGGCCTCGGGCCCTGGAGAGCATATTGTCATAGCTGTTTCAGGGAGAAGGGATTGGAAAAGGCCCCCTCTGGTTCTGAAACATGATCCCCCACCCCCTCTTCTTAAACACTGAAGACCTTCTGAATGGGAGCATGGCAGGAACTGATGAGTATAGAACTAGAAAACTTCTTTTAACACACACAGAAAACAGGTTATTAGCCTACCTTTCGCAGTTAGGTCCAGCATAGTTTTCATTGCAAATACACCGAACAGCTCCATTTTTTCTGTAACAGGATTCTGCAAAACTAGAAGTGTAAGAGAATATTAGAAATCAATTTTGCATATCATTCAACAGACTGCATGAACTATTGATTAGATTATCTTATCATGGTTTCCTCTCACATTCTAATGGGTGAGATCTTTTGCTTTAGTTAAATTAAATCCCCTTCTTTCAGAAGAGGTGAGACCAGCAAACCCAAATAGAAAGGGCCACTCCAAGGGCGGAAAGGTAGGCGGGTGGGGGGTGGGAGGAGACATTTGCCAGGACAATTGTAAGTTTAAATACAAGTCTGAATTAGATATTCTAAAGTCAGAAATAAGGGCCTCCCCTGGTGGCGCAGCTGTTGAGCGCTAGGCTGTGAAGCTGCCCGCAACCTCTGCAGGGCTGGTTTGATCTCCGGCCTCTGGGTGGGCGAGGGTCCCACATGACGTGACAGACCTCTCCTGCCACGCCCACTGCTCCCCTCAGCAGTGTATTTCGTCAGTCTGCCTGTTCTGTTTTCGGCTCTGGCTCTGGTGAATTCTCTCACCCTCCAGTGCTTCTGACTGTACCCAGTGCTTGTATAAATAAATAAATAAATACTAAAAAATAAATAAATAAAACATTTAAAAAACAACAACAACAAAAAATAAAGTCAGAAATAAGGTAATAAAATTTTGCCTGCGATTTTAGCTTTATGTGAGACTTTTATTCCCATAACTTTTTGTATACAGTTGAAATTTTCTCTTTTTTTGTGGCACTAGTTCTCTTCTGCTCTTCAAGATCATGAACCAATGCTAAACTATATGTAATCTTTACAGAACCTCAATGTCTTTCATGTGTACCTTGAGATTGGGAATAAAGGGTCTGAAGGGGTTTGGTTCTGTTGAACAAAGTCACAAAGCAATACATAGGAAATAGGACCCACAGTAAAAGAATTCTAGCCTACCACCTCTCTCTCTTGATTATTTTTTTACTAATTATAAATTAGGACACAGAACAGAAAAATAATAGACATGTTGGTTCAGCAGAACAAATATCTTAATAATTAAAGCAGGGGAATAGAATTATTATTGTCTACATGTTTGGAAAAATTTTATATCGACACATGAATCCATCCATATGAGGGAGTGTGAAAAATTTTAAGGACTTTTAAATTACTTTTGGCGCAGTGCTATATAAGCAAAGGCGTGTGACCTGCTGTCTTCAAATTCCTGCAGTGATTTTACCTTAAATGGTCTTTGGAGGAAAGTAAATGGATGTGTTTTCTTTGTTTGAAGACATTTATAAAATCAGTCAGAAAACAATCTGTGCTTCTCTGTGAAAGGCAATACCCACAATTTATTTCCTCTAACAGTTTGGTTAGAAACATTCCAGTGAAATTACATTTCTCTGTCCTTTACCCTTTACTTTGCTTGTTCTTATTCCTTAACCTATAAAGAAACACTCTCAGTGAAGGGTCCAAAACAAGAACAAGCCCTCATGCATCTTTCTTTGAAGATGTTCCACTCAGCTGCCTGCCCCTGGCTTGAAGGACTGAAACATCTGCCGATGTCTAGAGTTGTCTGCCTTGAGCTTAAGTCCTGCTGTTTCAAACAGATGAAATTTTGCTTAATTGGAATGATTATCACAGCTACTTGGTAGACAAGGAGGATGTCTGGCCAATCCCAAAATAAATAAATGAGCTCTGTGCAAATGGTCCCTGGGAATAGCTGCCTGACCATTGGTCTCCCAGGTGGGAGACTTAGAGGCAGTGGCAGCCATTCAGGGCTCTTTCTTTGTTTTTCATTGGCATTAATTGTTTATGTTTTCTTAGGGTAAAATCTGATTTTGGCTGGGGAAATGAAAACACTGTGCCTCTCTCAGCCTACACTAGCAACGGTGGCACTCTCTCCAAGTGAAAAGGTGCCTTTGCTCCTGGAAACCCTTCGGGACCCGAAAAAAAAAAAAAGGACTCAGCGTTGCTTGTTTGTTTACCTCTCTCAAGCATTATCTCTTTGCTTTCTGATTTGACTGCTGTAACTAGAAATCCAAAATTCTGGGTCTATAGATTCAGTTACTGGGTGTTTTGAAATATAATTTAGATTCCATACTAGATGACTTTCTGAGCTCTGATAAAAGTACGGGCACTTTTATTTTTATAGAAGGTAGGAATATGAATAAAGAAAAACTGAAAGAGGAAATGGAGATTTGACTTTTGGTAGGATGTTTGATTTGTTTTTGAGATTAGTTAACTAAGTTAACAATAAGATCATATGAAAGGCTAGGACTTCATAGGGTTCAGGCAAATGTGTGCCAGTGTGTGACCTCAAAGTACCTCTTCCTTCCCCTTTCAACCAGTTTTCCCTCCAATGGATTCTGGGAAATAGACCTATTGCCATACAGAGAAAGCAGATCTCTCATGCCCTTCTCAGTTCACCCACATTCTCACATGATGTCCTTTACCTATGGGTAGTATATGCATATTTTTATTAATTTTCAGCATGTTTTTTAGCCTCAGATCTGCACTATTGAACTTCAGTTTTCTTCTTTGTGAATTTCTAACTTCAGTTGCCTCTATTAAACCCAGATCCACTCACACACACACAACAGAAAGAACATGAGTAGAAATGATGTCAATGGAAACTATCCTCTTTCAAGACAGGAAGCTCATTTCCCAATTGACAAGTTTTTGCTTCATTTATTTGAAACAGTTAACAAACTTCAGAAGAAATTCTTTCAACAGAAATATTAGATAATATGTCTCAAAAGGTAAAGATTCACTTGTTTTAGGAGCTTCAAAATACTGTTGCATCTTGACCTATTGTAATGAAGGTAGGCCTTTTTGACTTTTAGTTGCCACTGTGCTAGGTACATAATAAATGCTCAATAAATATGTGTTGGTTGCATAAGGGCAGGACTTCTCAGTCTATAGGAATGAGGTTCCAAAAGTCTCATATCTAAGGCATTAATGCCATATAATTTAGATAAGAATGTCTTGTTACATGAACGGGGCAAAAAGTTAAAAAAAATGGGACAATACAATGAGAAGGAAGCATTTCTTTGAAAGGGGTTTGCCTTTCTAATTCATCTGTTTCCCAGGAAACTTGCTCAAAGCACATAAACCTGTTTTGAGCAGAATGTCTTTGTTTCCTTGGGAGAATGAGTGAAACTTGTTATTAGGAAGTTAATGATAAATATATTTAACAAAATAACAATGCCAGGGCAAGAGAGAAGCATGCTGAACATCTCATCAGGGATGGGTAAGACTAATGTTTGAGAGCAGAATATTAATGAACAATTAAGAATATACCTCAATGAGGAATGGAAGCTCATAAATCAGCACACACTTGAATGAAAATAACAGAACATTTAATTTTTGAATTTCTGAGCTCACCCCAGTACCATCCATTTTGCATACATAATTAATACCATCAGACATGAAAAATCACAAAGTAAGGGCTGAGGCAGTTTAATGGTTTTTAAAGAAAGATGGGGCTGTAAAACATTTAGCTTCATTGATTATCAGACTCATCAAAGGATTTGATCTGCTCATAGATGAAACATTAGTTGATGCTGGTGTTTAACTAAGGAAAAAATTAGGGGGAAACTTGGTTTTCATCCTTTTTCATTTCTTACTGTATTGAAAGTGTGTGTGTGTGTGTGTGTGAATGTGTGTGTAAGCAGGTACTCAGGCCTTTTAAAAGAGTTATGCTATAGGCATTATTTCATTCCATCTTTATAACAACTACCAATTCCATATATATCACAACCAACACTTAGAATAGTGCCTGATATAGAACAAGCAAAATATAAGTATAAGAAAAAATACAGTATATGTGTTTACTAAAGCCAGCATCTACCATCCATCTTCCCATATGTAAGGCACTGGCCCAAGTGCTCCACACATACTATCCTAGTCCCAGTCTATAAGGCAGGCCCTTAGACCAACTTTCATTTCCTAAGGAAAAATCTGGGCTCCAGAACAAGTAAAGAAATCAATGAATGGAGCCAAGATGTGAATCTAGTTCCCTTAACCCCAAGTCCTATGGAAAATGAGACCTAGGGAAAAAAAAAAAAAAACCTTGTCTAAGACCACACAGCTATTAGGTGTCAAAGCAGAGATATGAACCTGGGTTCCTTACTTTTTCCACTGGTGTTATACCAAAAGTATACACATCTAGGCCCAGTTCCTAGCACAGAGTTCCTATAATCATTGGAATTTTCCGAGTGATAAAGCAATCTTTCATTATTCATAATAAGTCCTTTCCAATTGTATTTGAGTTTATGCTAATAAAATGACTCTTGCTAGGTCCCTTAAAAGCTTAAAGATGGGGACTGATCTGCTAGAGGGACCAAGCACATGACTGATTAGAAAGTTAGAGTATTCAACCCCATCCCTCCTTCCATCTCAGGGGAGGAATGAGGGGCTGGAGAGATGGCCGTTCATTATTGTGCCTATGTAATTAAACTTTAATTAAAAAAACCTCTTAAACAACAAAATTTGGGAGCCTCTGGGTTGGTGAACACACTGACTGATTCTTTTTTTTTTTTTAAGATTTATTTATTTATTTATACAAGCACTGGGTACAGTCAGAAGCACAGGAGGGTGACAGAATTCACCAGAGCCAGAGCAGGGAACAGTACAGGCAGACTGATGAAACACACTGTTGAGGGGAGCAGTGGGCGCTGCAGGAGAGGTCTGTCATGCCATGTGGGACCCTCGCCGGTAGCCATGGATGGAACCAGCGCTGCAGAGGCTGTGTGCAGCTTTGCAGCCCGGTGCCCAAAGGCTGCGCCACCAGGGGAGGCCCCACACTGACTGTTGATAGGGTGGTGCACCCTGAGAGTGAGTGCATAGAAGCTCCTCCCTCCTATCCCCTCTCCATACCAAGTCCTATGCACTCTTCAATTTGTCTGGTTTTGTGTTGTATCCTTTATAATAAAACTACAATTGTATGTATAGTGCTTTCCTGATTTCTGTGAGTCATTCTAGAGAATTATTGAACTTGAAGCAGCATTTAGGGAACCTCTGAATTTATAGTTAGCTGGGCAGGATTGTGAGCAACCTGGGGACCCCAGTTTGTATCTGGTGTCTAAAGTCGGATTGAGCCTTAATCTATGAAATCTGCATGAACTCTGGGTCATATAAGTATTGAATTGATTGTCGGACTCCTACTTTATGCCAGAGAATTGAGAACTGGTTAATATTTGGAAACCAAATACTATTACACCAAGTTCCACAATTGTTAACCAATACAATGACTACTTATGAGTTGACTACTGGATTTATACAGATTAGGCACCTGAAAACAATTCCATTGTTTTAATTAAGATGTAAGTCTATTCTTTTTAATTTCTTACTCAGGTCAAAATATTGCGAGATGAGAACTGGTTTACTTGGAAGTCTTCCCTGAGCTGATTGGACTAAGCCTACATTCTGTTTATCTGTATTCTAATTCTGGTTGAAAGCCAGTTTAGCTGCCACATGTAGGAAAATGTCCACACTCTGACAGATGAAACACTACTCCTAGAAATACTAGATTATAACAAGTTTGTTGACATTACCAATCATGATTTCTCTAACTCAAAGAACAGTCAAGAAAGATGAGATTAGTTTTGTTTATAAGACTTGGAAGACTTCATTAACCTTATGATCACTCCAATATTTTGTGAACAGCAAATGCTTAAGCTTCCCTGAAAGTGTATCTTTTCTGGTCTTACCTTGCACCAGCTGCTCAGCTGTAACTGTGGGAAAACCTTAGAACTCTTGATAGTGGAACAAAAGAAGAGGTGGGGGAAGCAGTACAGAGACCACCTTCCTTCAGGACTTACTTGGCCATGTAGGGCAGGGGACAGGGGCATGGCTGACAGAACCGGGGTGTGCCCCTAATAGAATCTCCAATAAAACCATTTAGACATTTCTCACAGTGCTCTCCAGTTGTGTTCCGCTGGCAGTGCTATAAGACAAAAGGACACAAAAGAAATTTTATAGACAGCAAATGAGTATCAAGCAACACTTTAGTCCAAGGAGATGGCAGGCCTGACAGAAGAGAAAGTGTGCTTTGGGACTGGGCAGCACGAAGGAGCCACATGACCTCCTCCACTAGGAGGTATGTACAATGGCAGTTGACTTTATCCTAGACTTTTGTGTGTCCATTAGCATTCTGGGGATACACTTTAGAGTTTGTGTGAAGAGGGGATTATTCATCAGTTACTTATTTCAATTCAAAATGATAATCATAATGATCAAACTCTTGGTGTCCTAGAGCCATTAACTTACTAACTTGGAATAAAGATAAAATGGAAAAAAAAAATCCCCCTGTTGCTTACCCTAAATAAGGGAATAATTTAATAACTTAAGGGCTTGAAGAACATAGTGTGTCAGATTAAAGCATAAGTGGAGTAGAGATAGGTAAAGAATATTCTGCTAATGGCTTCATATCTTGGATAGTAAAGTACAAGAAATAATAAGCTTATTTATTTGTATGATTTTTTTCCATTTGTGATAAAGATAATTAGAAGAAAACCACAAAATAGGCTGATTCTCCTGTTTAGAAAGCTTATTCATCATTTGATATCTACATCAGGCTCCCCAAAGCCTCCCTACCCTCTTCCCTCCTATTGTAACAGGGTGGTCCCCAGGAAAGGGGGAGGTTCCCTGCCCCACCCAAGGGAGGGTGGGAACCTCCCACCCAGGGAACCTCCCCCTTTCCTGGGGACCATCCTATTGTAACAGGGTGGGGAAGGGAACCTCCCCCTTTCCTGGGGACCACCCTGTTACACTCCTGCTACCTACAGTGCACAGTAATCATCTGCCCCAGTTTCAGCATTTCCCCCCCACCCCCCCACAGATAGTAGGAGGCAAAAAATGAGATTGAAACTCAGACAGGCTTGGCGCTACTTTCCTTATTATATTGCATCTCCAGTGGGTAAGAGAAAAGGTCCTTTCCCAAAAGAGTTTTATAATGACTACATTAGAAGGTAACAGACTATTTTATTACCAATGTGAGCTTCAAATGAAGTACACCACACAGTCAGAAGGGAGAAACTTAATGTGGGGAGTAAGCTATTCCTGGTGGAACACTCTGGGTATCTTATCAGCTATCTTTGATCCCTGACTAGAATTATGTTAGCATAGTACCAATTTAGGGCAAGTTCAGACTAACTGACAGATCAGTGAGAAACTGAAAAATAACGTATGATCTGCTGACAACAGATGTTAACATATTTCCTCACAGTTCTTAATACTGTCTTGCCTAAGTCAACCTTCAGTAAATATTTGTTTTAAAAAAATGAAAGAAGAGGTAGGAAAGGGTGAATTAATAAATTACCATATGGAGAAAATAAAGGAAATTAGCATGTATCCTAAATCAGCCCAAAATCGGTGGCAATCTCTCATCCTAGGGAAAACCGATGAGCCTTTGCCAGCGACCAGGAAGAATCTACGGCATAAGCAATCTGGCAGGACTGGGGTCAAATTTGTCCGAGTCCTTGTTGGACAGATGAAGCCCATCTGTGTAGGAGAAAACAAGCCCAGTTTAAGTTGCCAGGCTGTACTTTGTGCTTATAAATATTTGATATGAAATTCCCTAAAAATCATCCATACACATTCTAGGAGGTGGGCAGAGAGAATGCTGGAGGCAGGGGTAAAGCTTTCTAGCTGCTCCATTTCCTTGCTGATCAACTTTTTAAACAAGTCACCCTACCTTTCCAGTTGTCTTTTCCCTATCTGTAAAATGAGGACTTAGGCTAAAGTGCTTGTAAGTTTTCTTCAAACTCTTAATATCTTTTACTTTGAGAGTGCTACTATCTTTTTCCCTTCAATGCTCTGCCATTTAAAAAACAGAAAGCAAAAGTGACAACCAGAAGTCTGTTGCAGCCTGTTTTGTTTTGTTTTAAAGAAAACTAACTCCACTTAAACACGAAAAAGCATTGTGAATTTTTGGTCAGTGGTTAAGAAAACATTTTCTAACCTTGTTAAATACTTGAGCCAGCAGGGACTCAAATTCTATGTTTTCCCATTTCTAATAGTTTGGGAAATTGTCTATATTTTAATGTAAAAATAATGCACTTGATCTAGGTACCAATTTTATAGTTATCAGTAAAGCAGGAAAAAGAAGACTCTGCAACTCAATTTCTTTTTGCTCTTGGAAACCTAATGAGTGTACCTATTTATCAATCACACATGCTTAGTCTTATAAGGATTTACATTGGTTGATTTCTCATTTATATATAATAAAGGAGAGTGTGAAAATCATGAGAAAATACAGTGTCTGTAGAAATTAGAGATATAGTAATTTTTTCTTTTGTGAATGGAGTTTTAGCTAGGCTTTGATTAATAAAAAAATTATTACCCTTTAATATGTTCGATTATTTCCCCTTCTCCATTGTGCTTAGGGTGGGACAGAAGTCCATGTAAATATTAACATCTTTTTAATGATAAAATTGTAACAGGGTGGTACCCGGGAATTAATACAAGAAGCTGTAGAAAATTTGGTCATATATAGTCCAAATGAAAAGAAAAAAAATCCATCCATACTTCACCAGCCAGATATAATTTGTAACAACTTGATGGGATTCTGTCTAGATTTCAATAATAATTTTTCTCATAAGAGCTGAATCTTCTTATTCATACTTGGATTTTTCTGCCCCTAAAATGCTAGCAGAATCTTTTTAATTTTATGTTCAATTATCACTGAGCAGATAAGTGTGTCTGCGTGTGTGTTTTTAAAACGAGTACAGCCCCACAGCTTGCACTTCATTACATGGTGATGTCCACAAACATTTTCAAGTAGGTGGCTCTGTCCCCAAGATTCTTCAACCACACGGTGGGAGTCATTTAATTCAGAGTCTCTGTGATAATAAGAAATAAATACTAGTCTTTGACCCTGCATCTAGCGCAGAACTAAAACCCTTGGATTTCTCTAAATTTTGGGAGCATGAAGTATCTTTTGTAATTTTATTTATTTTTAAATATTTATTTATTTATTTATTTATACAAGAACCAGGGTACAGGCCAGATGCACGGGAGGGCGAGAGGATTTACCAGGGACAGGGGACACAGACTGACGAAATATACTGCTGAGGGGAACAGCCAGCGCCTCAGGTGAGGTCTGCTGTGCCATGTGGGACCCTCACCCACGGGATCGAAGCAGCGCTGCAGAGGCTGCTGACAGCTTCACAGAGCAGGGCTCAGCCTCCTGGCCACCAGGGGAGGCCCTCTTTTGTAATTTTAATGAGGCGCCTGAGGCAGGCATCTAAGGATGGGGGCTGGTTGCCAAAAGAACCAACAAGGGATTAGAGGGATGGGTCTTTCAGTCCAGTCCTCCTGCCCTATAGGGAGAAGAGTGGGACTGGAGTTTGAATCAATCACCAATAACTGACGATTTAATGGCAAGCCTTCATAAAAACCCAGAAAGACAGGGTTCGGTGAGCTCCTGGTTGGTGAATTCATGGAGATGTTGGGAGAGTGACCTGCTAAGAGAAAACCTGGCAGCCCCAGATTCTTTCTCCATGTCTTGCACCTCTTTCTTTTGGATAATTCTGAGTTGTGTATCTAGTGAATGACAGGTTGAGTTGATTAGGACACCCTGCTGGTGTATGAGGATTCCATGGATGTGTGGACAAGATCCCTCCTTCACAGGAATTAAGTAGCAGAACATCTGAACTTAGAATAGTATCTGGCATATATGTAGTGTTTAAAAAATACTCATTGATTAGATAAATGGAATCAATAGATAAATCAATCCTTAATCAAAAGAGAACTGAGGAGCTACATTTGAAGGGTTAGTGTTCCTTTTGTGAAGATATCTATGCTTTTTTGATATGTCTAAATTAGCAGCATAAATTTGTCTGCCCTTTATTTTATTGTTAAATGAACTAAAATCAAGGAACTAAAATCAAGTCTGTAAGTACAAGAATATTGAATTTAAATATTGAATGGAGGAAGAACAGAAACAAAGACAAGACAGAAGCATTAAAAACCTTCAAAATAAAAGCAAAATGGAATGAAATTAAACTAAAGAAAGCCCTTTATTTTTGATTGCTTCTGGAAGGTGAGGAAAATGTGTTAAATTGGAAAACTGTAAGAAGTGATTGAAACTCTGGTGCCCACGGTAAGTTACAATAATGTGCTCATGTAGAGTCACTGCTTCTCTGGACTCCTTAGAGCTGAAAATGAGCTGGGCAGGAGGGTCTGAGCTGAGACACCAGCCTTGCTTGTCCTGTAGGCCAGATAGGGATGCCAAAGGAAACAGAAGAAGATGAGGTTGATTCCAGTTTGACCCCCACCAAAGACAATATGACAAAATAATCTTTCGGAATTGTCAAGCTTTTTCTGCTCCCTCATTTACACTTAATCAAATTCAAGTTATATTCTTGTTATTATCTTTAAAAATTATTTTTTTTACTTTCTTTTGTTAGATTCTTTTTTTTAAGGTTTATATTTATGCATAAGAACTGGGGTACAGGCTAGAGACGCGGGAGGGAGAGAGGATTCAGCAGAGACAGAGCAGGGAGCAGAACAGGCAGATGGACCGAAGTACACCGCTGAGGGGAGCAGAGGACGAGACAGGAGAGATTTGCCCTGCCATGTGGGTAGCTCCCTGGCCAGCCGGGAATCGAACCGGCACTGCAGAAGCTGCAGACAGCTTCACAGTGCTGCGCTCAACCTGCTGCACCACCGGGGAGGCCCTTTAAAAATTAAACTTATAAGATACCTTTATACATATAGATCTGAAGTATAGGATTGTGGGTACATTTTGCTTTGAATTTTATGTATAGCATATATATATAAAATTTATGCCCAATGTAATTTTTTTTTCCATGTGGGTAGAGAGGGGTGGGGGAACCACCCTTAGGATGAGTAGAATGGTTATTTTGTCTTTTAAGATTTTCTCTTTTGGACACATTAATTGCAAGAAAACTGGCAACTTCTCTGAGGGTACATATAAATGTCTACACCCAGCCCATTTCCAAACTTATATTAGAGTCTCCTATGCCCCAGGGGATCTTGAAGGAACCACATCATGACTCTCCCCCTCAGAAACTGGCCTTGCCCTCTTATCCTGGTAAGTGTGGCTTTGTCATTGTTCTCTTTAGGAAACTTGCAGGTAGATTTTTTTCCCCCTTTAATTTATTGCCTAACAGCAATTGACAGGCTTGCCAGTACCTATTGGCTTACATTTTAATAAACCAGATTAACAAAGGGACTATAATTGGTCAAGTTATCAAGTCGTACATTATTAGTTCAAGTGCATCCATAGGATTTTCTTTTCAAATGTCATGGGATTAAAATAACAGGAAACCGGAGATGGAAGAAATAGAAAGGGGTAGATTTTGGCAGCTGTGGGGGCCTACACTGCTACAGAGAACATCCTGGATGTGATGGTTATTTAAGAAGGTGGGGGAAGGGAAAACAGAAACTCCAAGACAAAATAAACAATACAAAGCAATAGCAATGTTTACTGTTTGCCATTAAATTCTCTCAGTCCCTAGGAAAAAAATGCAACTGCTGAGTTTCAAAGAAATGAAAATGCTCTAATTTGCATCTTAATGTAAACACACAGAAAATAATACCACTCACACATCCTGGAGACCACTTATAATCAAAATGATCTGTTTAATAGGTATTATTATACTAATTTTGAGGTAAATAGGTATGCTTAATTAAGTATTCTTATAGTTTATACAAAAATACTCTTGCAGCTTCAGAAAGTCTCTTTTGCCTCATAGGAACTTGAAGAATCTAATTTTCCTGCTAGTTCATGAAGGAAAAAATGATCATAGAGCATAGGTCTTGAAAAAGGCCACCTATGGCTTCCACTGAAGCCACTTCTGGTAGAAATATTTCAGTACCTATTTTCACTCAGTTTTCAATCCATTTGGAGAAAATGGGTGATATGTAACAAGCACTTTTTTTGCTAGAAGGCTTTTTTGTCTCTTCATAAGTCTTTGTCATATTTTACTAAGGGATAATCTTGGAAAACTCATTTCAGTTAAGGAGAAAAATAAGTTTGGGGGTTTGAACACAGAATTACATAGAACACAAGGCCAAAGCTTCCATTTTTATGAGTTATTTGGTTCAAATCTAGTTTCTTTCTTTTTTTTTATCTTTTCTTTCTCTATTTACTAATTTTGATCGATAGACCTATCATAAGTTGTAAAATAGGCTATGAAACAATTGTTTCATTCTCCTGGTTTATGTGGAGTGAAGCCAAACATATGGCAAACTATACTATTACAGAGGAATTTGGATGGATGATTTCCTCCTTGTGTATTATTTGCAACCCCATCACCATTGGTCTATAGCAGGAAACCAGCTGCCTGGAGGGAAGGGAATGTGGTTACCTCCAGGAGTGCTTGCACATTCAGACATAACTCCTTGGGGGCTGGCCACTTACAGTCCTAAGTATCAATAGTTTTGTGAGGTGATTTACAGGAAAGGGTGAAGGGTAACAAAGAGAGCTTAATTAGTAGTCTGTAGCCCACATGTCCATGAAGAATATTTTATTCCCACTTAAGAATCAAAGGTCCAGGGCCTCCACGGTGGCGGTGGCGCAGCAGTTGAGCTCTGGGTTGTGAAGCTGCCCGCGGCCTCTGCAGCACCGGTTCTGTAACAGGGTGGTCCCCAGGAAAGGGGGAGGTTCCAGGTTCCCTGCCCCACCCAAGGAAGGGTGGAGCTGAGCAGGAAGAGGAGAAGCTGCAGAAGAGACTGAGGTAGGAAGCAGGATGGAGCCAGGAGACCTGGAGGAGGCGCATGGAGCCTAGAGACATGAAGAAGCTGCGCTTGTCTTTTGGTCGTGGACGGGGTGACACAGATGTGGGTGAGACCCGTGGGGAGGTGACAATGGCAGCTTTTATCTTGATGTTGATTTTGTTCTTTTCCTTCTGGGCTTGTTTGGTTGTTTCTGATTCTTTTCTGTGGGTCCCCACTGGAAGATGCTTTAGACTTGTGGCAGGCTTTGGGGCCTTGTTCTGGGCCGATCCCATATGGATGGAGTTTTACCCACGAGGGGACGGGTAACTTTGGGTGCTTCATTTAGAAACTAGACTCTTTGCCTTACCTGTATTGTTTCCTAGTTTTTATTAAAGTTCCTTCCCATTAAAGTCTCATATGTTTTGTGTTGATGTGGCGGATGGCAGAACCCATTTAAAATAGACAATAGGCAGGTTTGCGGGGTTTGGGCTGCCCCTCTCCCTGTCCTATAACAGATTGATCCCCGGCAGCTCCCCGGCCACCGGAGGAGGGTCCCACATGGTGCGCAGAACTCTCCTGCCGCCCGCTGCTCCCCTCAGCAGTGTACTTTGGTCCTTCTGCCTGCTCTGCTCCCTGCTCTGGCTCTGGTGAATTCTCTCACCCTCCCGTGCTTCTGACTGTACCCAGTGCTTGTATAAATAAATAAATAAACAAACAAACAAACAAATAAATAAATAAATCTTTAAAAAAAAAAAAAGAATCAAAGGTCCAATGAGATATGGAAAAGTGACAGGTGCCCCCAACCTACCACACAGAATCCGGAGCCATCCAAGCACTCGTTGGAATTACCATTACAGCTGCAGGGCAGGCAATCTCCTGAGTGGGCACGGAACAAGCCAGGGCCACACTTCTGAAACAAACACAACAGAGAGCAGTTCCATTATTGAAAAGATCATTTTTAATCAATAGTTTCTGAGAGAAATATAAGGATATGATTATTAAACTACCAAAACATTCTTTACAAAACATACCAAAATGAACTGTTCAACTACTGCTTAGTGATAGCTGATGTATATTCAATTTTCTTTCTTACAGAATTCCCCCCCTTTCAGGAGAACTGGAAGATGTTTACTTAATATGTCCTATAGTTATAAGGAAGAATAGGAGTCTTTAGGTAACAGTTAGGGAGAAAGTAGTTTTCTCCTATCCAAAGTAAAACACCACAGTTATTACTTTGGAGGTATCATGTTCCCTATAGATACAGACTTATGATTTCAGGAATTTTTGGCTATGGCATAATGAGTTAGAGCTGTGTGTCTTCCATAAACTTGGGCTCTTAAAAAATCTGTCTTTTTCAGATCTTAAAATTTCAAAGGAAGGAGTAAGGAAATGAAGGAGCTCTTGTCACATCCTGTGTGGGTGCTGTTCATATAGTTATTTATCCTCATAACTCTGTGAGGAACACAGATGACAACGATACAGGGCAGCAAGGGGCGCTAAAACTGGCCAAGTACAAAGCCCAAATAGTTTACTAGTCAGTGTCTGAGTTCTTCACCCACACATACAATCGCCAAGACTACTCAGGCTCAGGGAACAACAACAATGGGATTTATTTAACAGACCAGAGAAAAACAGAGTTATGAAAGCCAAAAATGGCCTTTACCTCACCCTAAGCAGTGTCCAGCGTTTTCAATCCTAAACAAAAGTAGTAAAATGGCACTTCCCACCATTGGAGGATGCGCGGCTCCTCTCCCAAACAATAGGTCACGTGTCCAAGATGGAATCTTCCTGCCTATGCTGACCTGGGGCACACAGCAGCCTGACTCTAGGTCAGGTTCCAACTCATGAAATCAGCAGAAGATGCTACAGGAGACGCTCCTGGGGCTTCTGAGATGCTCCAGCACAGAACCAGACAAGCGACACTCAAAACAGCAGCTACATCAGTCAAATGACTCCATAAACAGCAACACTCATGCATCTAGATGCCTGGCTCAGCCTTCACCTCCTCTGCCAGGCTCCAACACCAACAAAACCAGAAAACAGTTTCAGTCACTCGGATACTTGCAAAGCCTCCAAACTTTTCCTTTCTGAGGTTGGCTGCTGGAAGCCTCAACCTTCAGAAGTGCACAACAACCTTCTAGAAGATCAGCAAGTTGGGGTCCAAATCCCGACCCCAAATGCTGAATCCTGAAATGCTGAATGACCCCGTGCCCCCTTCAGCAGTCACTTACATTTTTTATCAGTCGCTCCACCCCACTTTTTAGCATTTTCTCTGGGGCTATCTTTGTCACCAGCAACCCCCTCCAGGAGGGACGACCTGCAACTTGTCTTTTGGTTTCAGCCACTGGTTACAACGGGATATTTAGACCCAGAAGTGCTGTGTGGCTTGTGGTGATATGAAGCCATTTTGCAAATCACTTGTTGAGTGGCACAATGAACTGTCTCCCCAAATACCACCATTGTTTCAGGTGAGAAACTGTGCGGGATTGTTGCTGGTTTATATGTTATGGATAGTGTTTTATATTTTCTTTGGAATGTCTGGATGATGCAAGGCAGAAATGGCTTTACATCCTCCCTGGGTATCTGGGGAAGATTAGTTCCAGGTTTGGTGCTAACACCTAAACCTGCAGATACTCTAGTATCTTATATAAATTAGAGTATCTGCATATAGTCTATGCCCATCCTCACATATACTTTATTTTTTTTTAATGGAGGCATGTTTTATTTATTTATTTGTTTGTTTGTTTTATACATGCACTGGGTAGTCAGAAGCACAGGGGGTGAGAGAATTCACCAGAGCCAGAGCGGGGAGCAGAGCAGGCAGAAGGACCGAAGTACACTGCTGAGGGGAGCAGCGGGCAGCAGGAGAGGTCTGTGCGCCATGTGGGACCCTCCTCCGGTGGCCGGGGAGCAGCCGGGGATCGAACCGGCGCCGCAGAGGCTGTGGGCAGCTTCGCAACCCAGTGATCAACCGCTGCGCCACCGGGGAGGCCCCCTCACATATACTTTAAATCATTTACACATCACTTAGAATGGAAAGGCTAAGTAGTATATTGTTTAGCAAATAATAACCAGGAAAAAAAGTCGGTAGTGCTCAGTTCAGACACAACAATCATAAGCCTACTACAAAGCATGTGTTTTCATCTGAGGTTGGTTGAATCCCTGGATATAGAACCCACAGAAAGGGCTGACTGTATAGGTCTAGAAGTCCACTTCCTGCTTATCAGACAGGGTTATGTCTAAAGAATTGCAGACAGATAAGAATCTGGATTGTTTTCACAAATGGACAGAGTCGATTTCTCATCACTCCTCCCATTGACCCATTGTAGTCCATACAGTCCTGGCTTCTAGGAAATTTTTCATATCTGACTGAGGTCTTGCTGACTGCTATGCAGATCCATTTCCTCTTGTTTTTTTTTTTTTCCTCAGTAAAGAAAGAATAACCAGTATAATAATACCACCAGTTTAGATCCTACAACTAAAATTTACTATATTCCATTTGGAGAAGTTTAATAAAAAATGACTTTTACCAATGAAGAAAAGAAACTGAGAGAAATTAAGACTGAGGAGGACCAGTTTGTAATTTATCATGGGAAGTTTATAGTTCATTGTGAACCTTTTTTTTCTCACTTTCCACAAGGGATCATAAGAGAGGAAATGGTACAAAAATTGTAGTAGAAAGCACTGAACTTACACCATCTAATTTCAAGTTTTTGAATTTTGTTCCAAAGTAAAATATACATGTTTTCATTGTGATACAATGCACAGATAAGTAGGGATATCTACCTGACATCTACCCCGTCCATCCATCCATCCATCCATCCATCCATCCATCCATCCATCCATCTCTACCTACTTATCTCCATCTATCTATCTATCATCTGATATAAAACTACATTTACAAAACATTGATCAACCTTACTCTATGTAATTTACCTTAAACCTCTTTATTTTATTTATAAATATATCCTGGTAATGACACATCAAAGTGATTTGATAATGCATGAGTATGTAGCATCTTGCAGTTCAAAATTAGGAGGATTTCACTTTTAAGAGGAAAGGAAAAGAATATAAAAGAATATAAAGCTTGTTATCAGTTATCTTAGTAACCTCTCAAAAAGTGATTTCTGAGCTCTCTAACTGACCATGTTAGAGACTTCTGGGAAACTACTGCTTCAGTTCTGATGGTGAAGCCAAAGAATCTGTCATTTTATCCATCCTGAGATACAATTGACTTGTAACATTGTGTAAGTTTAAGGTGTACAAAGTGTTGATCTGATATACTTAGTGCCAAAATGATTAACACCATAGCATTAACACCTACATCATGTCACATAATTACCATTTCTTTTTTGTAGTGAGAACATTGAAGACCTAGTATTTTAGCAACTTTTAAGTATATAAAGCAGTATTATTAACTATAATCACCATGCTGTACATTAGATCCCCAAAACCTATTCATCTTATAAACTGGAAGTTTATACTCTTTGGCCAACATCTCCCCATTTCCAAATGCCCCATCACCTGTGCCTCTATTCTGGTTGCTGTTTCTATGAGTTCCAATAAGTGGGGATGAGACTGGAGGTGGATTTAGAGAGGAAAACCACATTGGTGGTGGCAGGGAGTCTGGAAGAGGTGCACATGGGAACTACTTGTACCATCAACCACAGTAAGGACCTTCCTTAGGGTGAATGAAGTTTCAGTAAAGGTGTTTTAAATTGATGTCACTGAAAATCTCTTAGGCATTCCTACATCTGAAGAAGACAAAGGAAATTAAAGATTTTCCTTAGATAAATAAATCATTATGATTACGGCAATGGCTAAATGCTATGTCCCCACTGGCTAAATCGACTCATTTTTTTTTTTTTAAATAAAAACATTGTCACAATACAGAAAAACAAAATAAGCAAAAGAAAAAAATTGTAAATTTTGTATTTCAGAATAGCTTCAGATTTGGTGAAAAATTATGAAGAGTCTGTATTTTTAAAAAGGCCCCTGCAGATTCTGATGTGCAGCCAAGTTTGGAAAAACTGCTTCAAAGGCTCTCTCACAGTGAGTTGTTCCTATTAATTGCTCAATGAATGCTTGTGATTTGAGTGGTTTGGACCAGGATAAGAAATCTGAGGCATACTGTGTGTGCTGTTGGAAACCAATGGTTTATACTGCTAGTTTACCCACTGTTCTCTGCTAGGCCTAGATTTGGTCTCCAGCCTTTCTTACTATGTGCAAAGGTGAAGTCTTCAAGTTACATCAAGTTTAGAAGAGATCGGGTGCATTCAGGGAGGTATGACTGAACATATGCCAACTTTAGGAGACTTCACACTGAGAGTCTGGCATTGTCCACTTACCTGCTGCCCAGGCTAAGCCTCTGATCTTGCTTTTTGAAGTAGACCTCTAGGATTTATTTTTAAGATTTTTTTATTTATGCATAAGAACTGGGGTACAGGTCAGAGATGTGGGGGGTGAGAGAATTCACCAGAGAGAGAGTGGGGAACAGAACAGGCAGATTGACTGAAATACACTACTGAGGGAAGCAGCAGGCGAGACAGGAGAGGTCTGCCTTGCCATGTGAGTATTTCCCTGGCCTGGGATTGAACTCGTGTTGCAGTGGCTGCAGGTAGCTTCATAGGTTGCGTTTAACCCCTTGCACCACCAGGGAGGCTTTAGACCTCTACGATTTTGATTCAACAACTTTTACATTAATTACTGAGGATCAATGTAGAAATCATAAACCACAAACCCAACCAAAACACCTTTTTGAATTTATTTGTTTACAGAGTCAATGCTACTTTCCAAATTAGTATTCTTCAAATTTAACAGCCCACATTATTTGGATTTTAATGTATATAATTATATAATGAATCATTTTTTTCTCCTGTTTCCTGGCAACAATGATGTTAGCTTTAGTTC